GCATTTCAGCGATCGGAGGGCACCTCGGGGAAAACCAGACGGAAGAGAAAACCGCCGCGGAGGGCACAATAGTTAAAATGGCGGGAAGTCTACCTCGAGAATGTTTGATTGTTGCGACTTGCTGGATGGGAGCGCTGCCGCGTCCTATCAGGACTTTACATGCGCAACGCGGAAACATGGGTGAGCACCTTTCTTCACGCGAGGGGGAGAAAAGCTGAGGACTCCACTGATGCTGACAGACGCCAGCGGCTAATCTTTCATCTCGCACGAATGCTAGTTCTGAAAGGGCGATTAAATTGTCGCAACTGGCTCACGAGGCAGCTGAAGCGCATTGGCTTCCAATGCGCTTCAGCTGCCTCGTGGTGAAGTGATGGTGGTGAAGTGATGCAAGCACTTCACCATCGAATCGCTGGCTACCAAAACTCGAGGCATAAATGCTAAACAAAACGCTTCAAATTGTGCGAAAATCAGTCAAAATAGCTTGCGTGACTGGAGCCGACCAGGGTTGCCAGGTGTTTGAACTCCAACCCGCCAAACGTCTACGAGATATAGCCCAAAAATAGCCAAATGTCGATCCAGAAAAATAGCCCAAAAATAGCCGAAAAAAAAAACTTATCATTTGAAACGTTTCTTTTGAGCAGAAAAGACACATAATACATTTTTATCCATCAAATGTCCCAGAAATGGCGTCCCACGCACGTTCGGCGAACTTCCTGAAACGCTCGTACAAGTGCGTGACAGCATACCTTCCACTGTATGGGACGCTTACTATCGGGGCATAGTGACCAGAATGACGTCATGGGAGAACTATGCAGAATTCAGACAACCTAAAGAATGCGCAGAACAGGTGCTGTTAAGGTTGCAAGGAATCGCGCCGTCACTTGTTGAGATGGAGGAATAACAGCACATGCTTGCATTCGGAGTTAAACAATTGCACAAGGCGCGCAAAAAGAAGACGAATTTGTTTGCTGTCGCAAACTTATCAGGGTTAAGGGACTCAAGCGCTAAATGTTCACGTAACTTACTCTAAAAATACATTCGAACCTATAAACCCAAGTGCTTTCAGGCATTTTGGTTCCAGCACAGGTCAGAAACTGCCCAATGCACAGGTCAGAAATAGCCCAATGCACAGGTCAGAAATAGCCCAATACTAGCCAAATAGCCAACTACCATTTTTTCCCGCCAACTGCAAATAAAGCTAGCCCAATTTGGCTATTTATAGCCCAACCTGGCAACCCTGGAGCCGACGGCAGCGCGGGCAGGAAGGAATGGTACGGGTATTAAAGGGACACTGACAGGGTATTTATGCTCGCCGAGGTTTTTAGTTGTACGTGTCATATGAGAGCTCAACTACCCAGAACAGAATTTGCGGCTCGAAATTCGGTTTCTTTCCGCCCGAAAACCGCCGATCAAGAACTGGCCGGTTCGACTCTCGCTCACTCTCTTTTTCGAGGTCACGGGCCGTTTTCTAAGGTATCGATGCGACCACCAAATTTAATCAAAGTCGTGGGTCACTGAAGGCACACACTCAATATTAAAAATAGAAAAAAATATGAAACCCATTTTTTGTGGCTTCTAAAAGCTGTAAATACGTTGATTGAAAAAAAAAAGTTCCACAGAGAACCGGAAGCATTCTGTGCGTTCGTCGTTTCGCGTTTCGTGGGACTCGCGGGGACGGCGATGGCAACGGACGACGTGGGACCTCTATTTCAGAACTGTCGTTCGCGGTACCGGCGAATTCTGTCAACCGTTAAAAGAGAAATTTGGGACTGATCAAAAGAATTGGTATTCATCCCGTACGACACGCCCGGCCACCAAGCCGATGTGCACGGAGACGTCGCCGAGTCGTCGCTCCCTTCTCGTGGCTGAAGACAACGCTCGCGCAAACGTCGAGCACAACGTGTCTACTTTGAGTTGAATATGCACGCGTACGATTTCTTTACTAGGTGCGAATGTCCCCAAAGCGTTGGTGCTTCCCGACTTCGACCCGGGAGTGCTTTTGCTAGAGAAAAATCGACAGCAAACTTTCCAACTTACAGTCTACCTTCTGAATTATTACTAAGGAAAGAGATTCACCTGAAAAGAGATGCTCCAGTAGCTTAGTGGGAAAGACGTCCGGTTCACACGTGGTACGACCGGGTTCGATCCCACGAGAAACTTTGTTTTTTTTTTCAACATTTCCCGATGTTTACATATCTTTTTCTTTTTTTTTGCAATCATCACTGAAGAAACAAACAAAAAAATAACAAACAAATGTTGTGGACGATACTTCGCTGAATTAAATGGTATGGGATTTCCGTTTTGACACCTGCGAACTCAATGTAATCACTTTCCACAAAATGCAAGGAGCATATAAATCAGGTAGCGTCCGGTTTCCGAGGTGCCCGTATATGTTCTACGGGAATTGCAGCCAGCCATTGGTCCCGATCCCGTTGATCTTTCGGAAACTCTGTCGCACAATGCCACTTTTTTCGGATACAGGAAATGTGAGCCAGCTCTTCACGCAACATCTTGGGTGTATTCTTTTCGGAGCCGATCATGGAAATTCACCACGGGCACTTACTACTCATCTCCAACTCCTCAATGTACAAAACAACTCATCTTGGAGTACAGAACAACGAGCGGAACAAACATAACTGCAAAAGAATCGCACGGCGAGCAGTTCCCGCACGCCGCATCGCACGCCGCATGTTGTGTCGTCTGCTACGGAGAGAAGAGAAAAAAAAAAAAAAAAAAAACGCACGGTCGGGTGTAGCCACGTGACTTCCGCCACTCCACTCTCTTCTCTCCACTTCTCCGACCTCCGTCGGGTTTCGGTTTCGGTTTCGAGCAGTTGCGTCTTTTGGCTTTATTAAAAAAATACGCTACTTCGTTGCAAAATATTAATTGGGTAGTCCTCCGACACCAGAATGAAGCGCCTGGCAAAAAATAAAAATAAAATTTTGGGGGGTGTCAGTGTCCCTTTAAGGGGCAGACGGAACTACAGCCTACAGGGCCAGACGCGAGACGCACATGGTACGGCATGTGTCATAACAAAGACAACATCCGGGGCCGTGGATGATACGTTACTTCCGGCGTCGTAGGAGTGGTTTCCACAGTTTCCACTCGTCCGTCTCTCCTCCAACGGGTCTACGTCACTTCCAGCGCCGGAGGAGTGATTTGCACACAGGCCTCACTCGTCCGACGGGCGTCTGAGGAAGCACTCGTTCAGCGTAGCAAACGCGGCACAGCGCAGCGCACACGGATACCGATTGGTCGCAGGTATAGTACCTGGTCACCGGCCAATGGAAGGCGCACGTTCTGTGCTACGCTGCGCTGAGCTTATTAAATCAACACCGTCAAGGCTGCTTCACACATTTGCGACGGTTGCGTTCGTATGCAACCGAAACGTCCGTAACGACCAAAACACCGCAACGACCGCGACTCACGTATTGCTTCGCGAAGCTACCCCTTGCATCGCTTGCCATGCTGTGTACGGCGCACACTTCTCCCGGCGACTTTGTCGTTACGGTTGTTTCCGTTGCATGCGAAAGCAACCAACGCAAATGTGCGAACCAGGTTTCAGAATAGAGTCCGACTTCGCTCTTATTTCCGTCGGTGAAAGTATAAATAATCCTACTAAAGACGTCAAAGTGAGCGTTTGGCAATCGTGAAAGGCCGATCACAGCCAGTTTGATCACAGCGACGCTTTGGTCGCGCACGTCGCCAATGGATGGCGGGGCGGTAGTCACAAGATGGCGCAAGGGACGTGGAGATTCTCCAGGATTTCCCGTGCACCTGCTCGCTGACGCTGTACTCGGGTACAACTTTTTCTTGCATTTCCGAAGTAAAGACCGCGCGAGCACAGCTGTGATCGGTGCTCAATATGCGCGAGCGCACGGTTGCCCATAGCTTCGACTGTGCTAAAAGTAATTTGGCTACAAATACAAAGCGGTCAGGGCAGGTGCATATTTCAGGCGATGGTGTCGTGCGTTTAAAACCTGTGAAGCGGAACACCACAATTCCTATTTTAACGCACTCGCTTTTTCCGTTAAACTGCACGATGTACGAACACGCCAACCAGAACCATGCGTTAAAGGGATACTGAACCAAAAAATTTAGTGCCCGTAATAAGTGGCGCACGTTCTTTCTACGAGCCAGCAGCCGCCGGTGTGCGCGAGCACACGCAACGAAATGACGTCAAAGACCTCCAGTCGCGCTTAAAGTGAAATGCATGGGCTTCGGGCCAAAGGAGAATAAAGACAGGTTTTTCATCTCTACAAGTGAAAGCTACGTGCTTGTTAGACCAATTAATCGCTTACCTTTTACACCAGACACCACTGTGTAGATGGAAAACTTGTCTCGATTCTCCTTCGGCCCGAAGCCCATACATTTCTCTGTCATCTTAACCGCGAAAGGAGGTCTTTGAAGTCATTTTTGTTGCGTGTGCTCGCACACACTGGCGGCTGCTGGCTCGTGGAGAGAACGTGCGCAACTTATTATGGACAGTCAATTCCTTGGTTCGTATCCCTTTAACAGCAGCACCAAGGCCTACAGTCCGTGCCGCCGTCCCCGCTCATCTGGTTCCTCGCCTGACCACCAGAGGGCGAGCGGCGGGCTGGAGTTGCGAAAAGAAATTGCCATCTTGATATCAGGCAAGTACGAGTAAATTAGAAATTCAGCTCGATGGGTACATCTGAAAAGTGGCGTTTCCGACCGGACACGGTTTGGCAGTACAAATGGGCAGAGTTTAGGGTTGGACTGATTCATTTTTAATGTGTAGGTGTAGGTAAAGTGTGTTCGCTTCGCATATTGACCCCCTTTTTTTTTTCACTTTCATCTTATTTTGAGAGCTTTGTTGAGCTATGCTGAACATTTGTTGCAAGGCTCTCATAAAAATATAAAATGGCAAAAAATCGGCAAACGTTTCGTAGTACAAATACACCGCTGTTAGGTGTCAATACAAGGTATCCAAACTTTTGTGCAGAATGTAAAATCATGAACAAAAACAAGAGACAGCATAAAGAAACGGACACTACTTCTCTTTACTGTACAACTGAAGGCAAGGAGCAGAAATGGGAACGTTACAAGGCAATCACCACATCTTCCCAAAGATAATGACAGTAACATCCGTAATTATGAAGAAAAAAGTGTTCTGCATGTGCAACATTCTAAACTTGCAGTTGCCACTGCTAAATATTTCTTGGGAACGGTGGACTTAACATGATCCATGTATGACAGTAGGCAATCCATGAAACTTCCCTATCAGATGAGATGTCTCCACAGTCAAGCAGGCTTGCTGGTGCTAATTATATGTAACTATAGCCAATGCTTAGTTCTTTTCTTCCTTCTTTTCGGCATTATCACTGGTGCTGCTACTACTGTCACTGCTTCCTGATGATTCGGAACTTGCCCTCTCGGATGCCATCTGCAGGATCAAACAAGATACCAAAAACAATCAAAATATAGTCGCACAATAAATAGTATACTGGCAACTAGAACTGTCATGCACAAGTATAATGCTTGACCTCCACGAATTCCTTGTTGTTTCGTCACACAGGGTCAAGTCATCTCTTTATTTCAAATATAAGATTTCTATTGAGTTCATAAATGTGGGACATGAATTCATCAGCTTGGTGGTAAAAGGAATGCATAGTCAATAGAGCGAGCATGGTTATGTCCTCAAATTCTAGCCAAATATACAAGAAGTTGTGGTCTGTACCCAGATTCCGCTCTCTTTTTGGCAGGAAGAGTCGGTTTGGAATTAGTTCAGACGATGTGTCAACCCACAAGGAAAAGAAGAGTGATTTCTGGCACAAATTTTTTCCTTCCCACTCTTTCACTTCACTTCCATTCAGGTATGGATCTCGAATTGCACAGAAAGTGTGTGCTTAGGGATAATTTGTGTTTTTCTTTTAGACTGAAGCACATAGATCAAGTTAGAAGCTGAGCTCAGGAAATACTTCTCCTCAAGGAAAGCTGTCCATTAGGAGACGAAAAATAGTACATCATTGCTCAGCATATAATGGCCACAGGATGCCTCTACTGTCACTAAAGGTTATCAAATATAAAAACGTGCTACACACACATTCTTTTACTTTTGCAAGACCTCTTACACTTGTATAAAAGTATGTGCATATATCTCACCTTCTTGTATGCCATTTCAAAGAGCTTCAAGGAAGCCTGTTGCAGGTCAGTGGTTGCCTGCTTTATCGACTCTGGCGACTCCTTCTCTTTATTGCTCAAAATTTCCCGCACTTTGGTGATTTTCTCTTTCAACTTTGAACACTGCAGAAAAACAGAAACACAGTCATTAATATGAGATTTTGCCCATCCCAAATTCAGTTGGTTAGGGGAGTGTCACTCACCTCTTCTTCAGGTAACTGATCCTTGAATTCGTCCATCTTTGACTCGGTGTCGTGGATAATACTCTCCGCCTGATTCACTGCCTCCACAGTTTCTTTCTTCTGTCGGTCTTCTTGAGCATAACGCTCAGCGTTCTTGATCATGTTCTCTATTTCTTCTTTGCTCAAGCCGCCCGATGACTGGATCACAATCTGTTGCTCCTTGCCAGTGCCCTTATCTCGTGCAGACACGTGGACAATGCCATTGGCATCAATGTCGAAAGTCACCTCAATCTGGGGCACTCCACGGGGAGCTGGCGGAATTCCCACCTGCACAACAGGGCTTGTTTGGATCACTAGCTCCAAAGCAATAAACAACCCAATGCACATATCTATTATCACACAACTTATAGAGTATACCTGACATAACCAAATCGAGTTTTTCAAGACCTTGCACATAATTAAAATCACTACCACCAGTGAAACATTGCTAAACTCCTATATCATTTCCTGGGCTAGTTGTACACATGGCACTCACATGCAAGCAAGAAACACAAAGAATAGCGGTGGCACTAGATCATAGCAACTTCATTTCATTGTATCAAAGACCAGCACTAGCCTAAACCGTGAACCGATTCTTTAAGACAGTTGACCAGGCATTTATGCCATAACTTGCCAGCTCCTCTCCTACTCAAAACTTCTGCATGCACACTCAGCTAAATTAGTGGTTCCTTCAAGAACCATGGGAAATGACTCAAAACAGGAATCGCAACCCAGTTCTTATTCCTTTCTTTTAACAGTTATTTTCATCACATGCCACCATGTGGCAGTTTCAAATGTAATTAAGCTGTTCCAAATGCTTCTTTTAGACATTCTCACGAGAGTACGGAATAAAACTCGAACCCTAGATACGGTTGTTACATTCTCAGATAATGTTTCCACTTAAGTGCCAAAGGACAGGTTCAGTAGGCTGCTGCATCATGACTTGTTTTACCAGATCAGAGGAATAAATGCATGTGACAAGTGAATGGTCCAAAACCATCATAATATTATGGAATCGGTGCTAGGGCACGTCACAATATTTGTTTTGGCATCGAAGCCAGAGAAAGCCGCGAAGTCCAGCAGAACATTTACCAGCACTGACTGTGGATCAATTGCCCAGAGGACATCTCGCAAGGGATTGCAAGATGTCCTCTGTGTGGCCTTTTGAGTGCGCAAACTTTTCGGTGCACAAACTTTTCGGTGTAAGACGGTTCGGTGTATGGACATTTCAATGTAAATATGTGCCTCGAATTATTTTTAGGATTACAATTTAATTTTTATATCTGTAACTGTATTTTACTTTTTTTTTAACAGCTTGCAACCTCTACAAGGAGAGCAACTTTCAATTTTGAAGCAACATTCTCAGCTCAGTATTTTTTTTTAATGCGAAAGCATTAAGTGGTCCTATGGAGCGAGCCGACGTCATCAGCTTTGAAGCCGCGCCAAACGGCACCTTAAATCCTTTCTCCAAGTGAAGCAAACTCCCAGCTATGAAACCACATGGAAAGCCTAGCCAAACGGCTACTAGTTTCCCCGATCCTGAAGGAGCGGAGTAAAGCTGATGGATTTTAGCTTTGGATCCACTGGCTGGCGCACGTCGACGAGGCTCCCATTGGCTGCGGCACATCAGTTTCAATGACCGCCACCCCATGGTGCTGCGTGTCCGCGTTTCCGGTCCCGCTGTAGCCAACATGACCTCCGTCTGCCCATTCTTAGGGTTCTTCTTGTGGTCCGCGTTTTTCGAGTGCGGCCGCGAGAAGATGAGCCGTCTGCCGTTCCTGTGGTCTCAGAGTGCGAAGGTCTTTTGCCGACAGGCTTAGTATTGAAGAGAGCTTGGTAAACTAAACTTTGTTTCCCAATAGTGCCAAATGGCGCCAACTTCAACTTCGCTGTTTGTGCCAACGAAGGTGCAGACAAAGCACAGCACCGTGATCAAACAGATCAACAAACGAGTGAAAAGTGAACAGTATAAGGCGGAAGCGGCACAAGAACTTAAAACTGACATCAAGCAAGTGGAAAGTGGCCAATACGCAGCGGACTATGCGAGGAAATTTTATATTTTGGCTGAAATCAATTTTTTGGACCACTTGATTATTCAGACATTTTCGGGGTCCCCTCCAAGTCCAAAAGATCAACTGGCGACTGTATTTCTTCCGAGTTTACAAAGCACCATTTTGTGACGCAAATTTAACAAGACCAAATTTGGAGAATGTATGTACCCTGAAGTCGGGAGTTGTGCTTTCTTCGAAAAGTACCAGAAAAAAAAAAAAAAATTTTAAGTACAAGTACATACTCAGTGTATGTACTTCAAGTACAGTAAAGTTTTCTAAACCTACTGGAAGTAGTACTTAAAATACAATGTACCTAAAGTGCTCCCCAACACTTCCAAAAATAGACTATAGCAGAAAGTCAGAAAGTGGTTTAGTGCCCCTTTAGGAGTGAACGCCTCAAAATACTCCCAAGAACCCATGGTCTATATGCAAGCTTTTAAGGCCCATTTCTGTTTACATCACCCAAAATAAGGCACACTAACATATTGAAAGATGCCATCCAGTTAAACACAGAAAGTTGCCAAATTCAGTTTTAAGCCAATATGAAAGGCAGGTTATTTGTGCAAGAGACTAGATATAGACTCCAATGCTGCCTCACCAGACTGAACTGTCCCAAGAGCTTGTTGTCGCTGGCCATTTCACGCTCTCCCTGGTGTACTTTGATCTCCACCTGTGTCTGTCCATCAGCAGCTGTTGAAAACACCTGCACAGGGACCGAGCATTATTAGAACCAAGGCAAGCAAAAAAAAAAAAAAAAAAAGTTCAGATGTGAAGAGCCTAGTAACAAATGCCGAGCTCAGGAAATATTTCTCCTCAATGAAAGGTGTTCATTAGGAGACGAAAAATACTACATCATTGCTCAGCATATAATAATGATAGGATGCTCAAGCAGTTATAAGGGATCATAAAATATGGGAATTTGATACACACACCTCAAGTGCCTTTGCCAGATTTGTAAAATTTACGGAAGTAATAAGTAAATTGTTGCGCAGAAGAAGGCGTGTCTCTGGTGTGGATCAGTAATTTAGCCAGTGCAATACGACCACTAGCCTGGGGTCTATAACATGCATCGCGCAGCAGTAATGCACAATTGCACGCCGGTACAATGTCCATCCAGATTAAAGCGGGCAGGGCTGGGGATGAAACCCGGGATCCCTAGATGCTCGGAGCTCCAGAACGCTAACACACTCAGCTATATAGTCCTCCCCTCCCTTCCCTCAGGGCTTATGGGTATTCACGAAAACACGCAAACCCAGTTATATGTAGGATTCCGTGTTTTCGGACTTTATTTTCCGTGAAATGCCGAGGGTGTTTTTCGGAGTTTATTTTTCGCGGGGGATTCGGAGCTTATAGGAGTTTATTTTTGTCATATTCCGAATTATTTTAAATTCAGTAGATTTTACTAAGTAAAATTTTTAAAAAATCAAAAAAGGTCTTGATACAATCACCTGTTGTCCTGAAGGAACCTCTATGTGCTAAAAGGCAAACCCCTTTTGTCAGTAGTTCTAGATTTCAAAGCAAACTGAAGTGGAATCTCCTTGGGACCAGTGACCTTGTGCTCTTATAAAGTTTAGTTGTAAAACTCGTTCTTTTTTGCTGTTTATTTTGTCACTGTGACCTCGAAAGTTTTAGTTTTTCCGATAAATAAGAATCGACAGAAAATTTACCGGCGAATATTTCTTGTATTTTTTTCAGATTTATTTGAAAACAGAACCTTAGCTATATGTAATGAACACACTCAAAACTCAAAATAAAAGTTAATACTATACAGCAAACCTTGTAGAGACAAACCACCATCAAAATATACAAGCAAACACAAAGTGCGAAGAGTATATTTTGTACTGCATGGCCTTCAAATATAATAAATGCTACAAGTCTACTTTTGGCACAGACAGCCTCTAAATAGCAGTGTGGAAAAAAAAATATATGTATATATATATATATATATATACATGTGCAAGGTGATCGCTCTTGTAACCTACTTAGACATGTTGATAATTTCCAAGATTTAACTATTTTATATGTGAACATTTTGAGGGGGAAGCTGGCAAAAAATGTGTGAACTAGAACAAGTTACTCTGAACGCCTTTATTTTTGCGAGCTCAATATTTCATTGCTAAGTATCGTTAAAAACCCGCATATAATGCAAGGTTTTTTTTTTTTTCTTTCAAATTTTGCCATGTAAAATTTGCGGCTCATATAATATGCGGGTCCCAACAATTTTCAGCTTCGATGAGGCGCAATCTAATGCATTTTGACAGTTTCGGTTTCGAAGCAATATGGCATTTAAGGCAGCTATCATCATTAAAATCACAATGTCCGATGCGCCACTATCCGTCCACAGTCAGGCTAGGCAATGGCCGTCGGCGCAAAAACAATACTCGGCCGCCTTCAAAAGAAAAGTCATTTTGGTTACGGAAGACATCAGCAACAGTGCTGCCGGACGAGAACTCGCCATAAATGAAAGCAGCATCCACGGATGGAGACGACAAAAGCAAGCTCTGTTTGCGTGCAACGGAACGAAAAGAAGCTTTAGAGGCCCAAAGAATGGCTTGTTCGCCAATATCGAGGCAAGTCTCAGCGACTTTGTTAAAGAGCAACGTGAACGGCGCCTCGCCGTAAACATCGAGCTGCTGCAAGTGAAGGCGGGAGAACTCTGGCGAGCCGACATTGGGTTGCTCGCCCGCGCTGAGTTTTCACTGAGTCAGCGTACGCTCGTCGCTCGCTCTTGCAAGAAGTGCAGGATTTCAAATGCACTCGACGGAAATGAAGCTGAAGATGACTGCCTTTGGGAGGAGGCGCCCGACAAGGAGTGTGATGGAAGCAATGACAGTGATTAAGGCTCGATTACGACGCAAATAAATGCTTTTCTTAAGACTTCCTGGGTTGTATTTTACGCGGAAAATTTTCGCGGTCCTTAAATTGTTTCATATTAAACGCGGATAAAACTTTTCCTTTTTTTTTTTTTCGTGGTCCTTAAATTATGCTTTGTATTATACAAGGGGTTTTTACGGTACGAGTTTCAGGAATTATCCCGAGTCATCGCTAACTTTCTTTGCCTGAAATTCATAAAAAAGCAAAAAATAGGGTGAGCCACGTCTCGTGGGTAAGCACAAAACTTTTAGAAAAAGCAAAAAAAAAAAAAAATTTCCCTGTACGTAGGAATCTATCACGGCTGCACAGGCTATACTATAGTGTTGTGCGAATATCCGAATAGTAGTTTCGAATATTACTGTATTTGATATTCGCTTCGAGAGCAATTGTGATGTTTGTGCTTTTCGAAGTGTTGGCAAACTCGCAGTCGCAAGTTTGTTTACTGTCTAAAAACCAGAAAGGAACGACTTTTAAAAACAAAAATATACTTACACGTTCGGCAGAACGGTATAAATATTATGGTGGGAACTTTCAAATATATTAATCGTTATTTCATCAACTTTTTTTTAATGGCGGGCAAAGAAACCGAGCAACAAACTCCAGAGACGCCAGCGCCATCTTTCTCAATGTCGGCGCCCTGGTTGCCAGCACTGTTTTGTCACCGCCACCGCGTCCAGCCATAAAGTTTGAAAAACAAGTTTAGGATAAAAATAAATACCGTTAGAAATTTCTCATCACCTGCATAATTGCTCAGAAACTTTTATTTGCGAGAAAACTTAACACCATTTCAAGACATATTATATATGAAATGATGTTATATTATTACAGCGACGGTATGAGTGAATCACATCAACATGATCAAAATGGCGGGAGCTAGGTCGGTTGGCAAGATGGAGTTTAACGACAGTGGAAAAAATCCAGTTTGGAAGTATTTCTCTAAACTTCCATCTAAAAACAGCCAAGATTTTATAACCGCAAGTATTCGATATTAGATTCTAAAATTTTCGGTCAAAATCACAATTCACTTTGAATTCTATCGAACTCAAAATCCACTATTCGCACAACTCTAGGATATACATTAAACTCAAAACTCTAAATAATTTTATTGTTTAATGCAAGAAATGCTCATGAAAGGTTTTACTGTGTGCAGCATTCCAGCAAATCTTTATTTACCCGTTGGCTCTGCCTCAAACATTGCACAACCTTACCAACCGTGGTCATGACATTCTGGAAGAATGGTTGGGTATTCGCAGTGACCTTATTTCAGTGGGAACTGACTTTGACCTTACACTCCATGGTTGCATTTCAGGATATGGGGCGGAACAAACTTTTTTGCAAGCAAGTCAAAGTTTAATTTTCCTTTAGCATGCATGTACTCGGACTTAGGGCTCGCAGAAATCGGGAAGGACATGCGTGCCCTAAAGTAACGCGACTTCCTTTTTTTCATTTTACTTTGTCAGTGACGTCCTCCAACTGCAAGGTCTGCAGCCGCATAATTTAGGTAGGATGAATGTTCAGACTGCGGGGTCGGCGTTGGGGCATTTGTAGGGGCGAGCAATCACTAGGGGCCTTTTTTGGAAATCGATATTCACCTAAAAAGTGGGGTGGGCGAGTACGGTAGAGTAATATGCTATGTATTTATTACCATGGGGCCGATTTATTTGCACGATCAATTTTTCAAGGTATTTTCAATGTTGTGCAATTCACAAGAATTAAGTCGCTTACAATAACGCAGTCTGCCTGCTCTGTAGGTCTGCTGATAGGTTAGCTCGAAACAGCAGTTGTGAAAAGTGAGTTTCCTTTTTCAAGTAGAATATTCTACAGGCAATCATGAGCAGCCCAATAAGCTAATAGTACAAGAAAGCCCCCACACACTCACCTGACTCTTCTTGGTTGGAATGGTAGTATTTCTGTTGATTAACTTGGTGAATACTCCTCCCAGCGTTTCAATTCCAAGCGAAAGTGGGGTCACATCGAGAAGAAGGACATCTGTCACGTCCCCTGCCAAGACACCACCCTGTAAAACAATGGTTGGTTCCAAGGGGCATTAGCCAGAATTGCCAAATAAACACTTGCAGGAACTTCTGAGAGGTAGGGGTTACCAAGACTCAGAAAATTTGTCTCCTCATGGCACTTTTGTGTTAGGAGACGAAAAATATGAAAGCATCATTAACACAAGTCATACAATCCCTTAAGAGCAGATAGCAATATTTCTTACCTGGATGGCAGCGCCAACAGCAACAGCTTCATCTGGGTTTACGGCTTTGCTAGGCTGTTTGCCGAAGATCTCCTGTACAGTTTCCTGCACCTGTATGCAAAATTTGAACATGTTTCGTGAATACCCAGGTACACAACCAAGAAAGCATAGCCCAAGCTTTTCCAGAAATAAAAAAATGTATACTGCAGATTTTGCTTGCATTCTTCAAAATCTCTCATTTTCTTGAGAGAATATTGATATTAAGCTCCTATAATATAATTTATTTTTTTTTCAGCCCCCCCCCTGCTTTTTTGTTTTTTTTTAGTAAGGTTGTTTTACAATGTACCACCAATTCTAATTTCTCTTCAATGAGCCAGAAAGATGTGAGGAATAGCCTATTCAAACTTAAAAGCCACAGGCAGCAATTTTTGTGCTGCTGCCACTTCCTCTCCCTCTGCAGTCTAGGCTGGACTTTTCTCCTGCACCTCCTTTCCCAAAGAAAAAGAATGCTACCAACAAAGCTGGTTTGTGTCCAGGTTGCGGCTCGAAGCAAAATGAAATCTAAACACCAACAATATTTTTGTTTTTTTCTTTGCCAGGTGAGAGTGCTACAACTCTTATCCTGACCGCACCCATAGGCCATCAACCACCGGTATTCTATGGTTTCCAAGCGCCGTCAAGAAATTAAATTTAGTGCGGAGAACTATGTTCCACAATCTCGTCAATAGCCAAAGAATTCTAGTTCCGGTTTCACGTAGGTTTGAGCTTCATCACAAGGGGTGGGCTGTCATAAATAGTCCTGGGAACGGTGGTTGCACTTGCCTAATGTGGCTAACTGCTTGCATGAGTCTTGGTAACAAAGATGGCATTATTTACATACCGTAAAATCCCGAGAGATGCCCCACCATCCAAAGATAGCCCACCCCAATTTTTGGATTGATTTGCTATATTTTTTTAAACACCGAAAGACAGCCTACTACTAGTAATAGTAGTGTTGTGCATACCGTAAAAACCCAAATATAATAAGAGGTTTTTTTTTTTCTTTTTTCAAATTTTGTTATGTAAAATTCACGGCTCGTATTATATGCGGGTCCTAACAATTTCCAGCTTCGATGAGGCGCAATCTAACGCTGTTTGACGTAGTTTCGGTTTCGAAGCAATAAGACGCTCAAAACAGCTATCATCATCATTAAAATCACAATGTTCGAAGCGCCACCATCCGTCAACAGTGAGGCTCTGCAATGGCGTCGGCGTGAAGACGATAATCGACCGCCTTCAAAAGAAATGTCCTTTTGGTTGCGAAAGGCATCAACAACAGGGCAGCCGGACGACAATTCGCCGTAAATGAGGGCAGCATCCGCGGATGGAGAGGACAAAAAGCAAGCTCTGTTTGCGTGCAACGGAACGAGAAGAAGCTTTAGGAGCCCGAAGAATGGAGTGTTCATTGACGTCAAGGCAAGTCTCAGTGACTTTGTAAAAGAGCAACGTGAATGGCACTTCGCTCTAACTTTGTAAAAGAGCAACGTGAACGGCACCTCGCCGTAAACACCGAGCTGCTGCATGAGAACTTTGGCGAGCCGACATTGGGTTACTCGCTTGATGCGCCATGCCAAGATTTCAAATGCGCTCGACGGCACTGAAGACTACTTACTGCCTTTGGGAGGAGGCGTCGGACAAGGAGTCTGACGGACGTGATGACAGTGATTAAGGTTCAGTTATGACGCAAATAAGGAATATTTTCGTAGTCCTGATTTTGTTTCGTATAATACGCGGATAAATTTTTTTTTCTTTTTTCGCAGTCCTCAAATTATGTTTTGTATCATTCGCGGGTTTTTACGGTACTCTTCTACTGGTCCGTCGTTCGTTTGCGCTGTATTCTCGTTTCAACAAGCTTCGAAGGGACACGACCTACTTTTTTCTTCAATTTAAAAAAAAAAAAAAAAAAACTTAAAAATAGCAATTTTTTAAAACTTCTTGATTGTACACCGAAAGTTAGCCCACTTCATATTTTCACCCGATTTGCTCTTAATGTTAGGTGGGCTATCTCTCGGGATTTTACGGTAATTCAACTGTATTGTGTCATATTTTTTAGACCTCAAGAGCTCTGGAAAAACTTTGTTATAGGCATCGCTTAAAAGATGGCTGTCGGCACGCATGTTTTATGTTCCCAACAAGGCAGACAAAAATGCTAAATATGAAGGAACTGCAATCAAGGCTATGACAAAACCAAGGTAGAACAGAAAGAAAGCTGCTCGGGATGTGAGGTGTACTATCTGTGTTTCACCAATACAAGTTTCCTTCGAACCAAAAATAGAGGACGTCAGTTAGAGTGCACCAACCTGCAGAACAAACAGCCGTAGGTGTGAAACACATTTTGTGTATTCAGAATTTTTTTTTATTCATTGTTTAATTTGCCATAGCTGTAGAGAAGTTTGGGCGTTTTTACATCTTCCGCACGTGCATTGTATTTTTAAGTAATTAAATTCTCAAATCTTTTTACCCCATTATGCCAACCTGTTTCTTTTAAAAAAAAACTAATTGGCCACATGTGTCATATATATACAAATTGCCGTATTTGCACGAATATAACACAAGTTTTTTTCTCCGAAATTACGTGCTCCAAACTGCACCTCGTGTTATATTCGGAATCGAGTTCATCCACGAGGCGCGCGAGTCTGGAGAAAGCCATCCTTCTGGGTCAATGCAGGAGATCGTGTGGGAAAAGATGTGGGGGTGTGGGAGGGTATTAGCTATTGGGCCACGTGAAGGGGGGAATAGAAAACACAAAAAGCATTTTTATCAGTTGTGTGTTTGCACAATGCACGCTGAGAAAAGCACACCGCAGGAATGCGGGCCCTGGCCAATTCAAGCCACGCCAAGTAAAGTTAACAAAAGCCAAGCCAAGACCACCGCCCTGTTTACGCAATTGTGCAACCCCAGGTGTTTGTTTATGAGGAGGGACAAGAATAAGAATGTGTGGGATTGGTGTATCAGGTTCAGCAGTCTTTTTTCTGCCTGCCCATTGAACTGGTGTTTGTGTGTTGGTGCTTCTGCTTCCTGCCTTGCTTTGCTTGTGGGCTGCCAGGAGCTACCCTAAGGAAACTGCCAGATAAGCGGGGGCCCTGCGGCTGCATATCTGCGAAGTCCCCAAGTGGATTGCAAATGGAAGAACCTGAGCAGTGAGGGCGAGGACAGTCAAAACATTAAAACTGATATTTTTTTCGACCTTCATTGCATTTTCACTCCTGCAATACCTTCGAGTCCGGTAAACTTGTGTGGCCTTGGCTGCGTTATAATAGTAATAAAATTTTTTTTTTTTTTTTTCTTTTTGAGAACATTAAAACCTGCCCTCGCGGTATATTCATGGAATAAAAGCGGTTGCATGAATGCTTTGAAAATTGCTACTTTCAAAAAGTTGAGCCCAGAACCAGCAGCACAAAATCATTGTTTCCTATGCACCATAAAAAGGCATCAACCAGCACTCCTAAAATACACCAGGATAAAACTTTTCCACAGCCTGCTGAAAAACATATCAATGTGGTTCTATAGCCGAATGCCAGTAACTTGGCGAGAAAGATTTCCTCCTAAAAAAAATTGCTAAAAAAATTATTCTTTTTTGCACTCCCCCTCGCAGTCTTCTCTCCTCCTCAGACAAATCCTGCAGGTCCGTGGAATACTAATTCCAATAAAAAAAAAAGGATGAGATTCCCCCTTCCCAGTTTTATGCTGGGCTTTAGCACCCTTTAAAACTGAAATTTTGTCCAGTGTGTGTGCATAGCCTCCTCTATACGGAGAAAGCCTGGCACATCGACGACGGAGCCATAGAGAGCGCGGCCGCAGGAAAAAGGAGAGGAGCGCGCCGAACGGTGACCAATATGGTAGCGCAGAGCAGAAAGGGCAGACCTAGACAGCGAGCGCTTGGGTCATGAGCGGCCGCTCCCCGAACCACGCTTGTTTTTGTGTTTTCGTCACAGTCGTTTTTGTACTCCGGGAGAAACGGGCGCGGCGATTCGAAAGGGCGCAGGGAGAAACGGGAAAGGGTGGACGTTGAGTTTCTCCTCTCCACGATAGCGACAAGAAAAGAGAGAGAAAAAAAAAAAAGATTGTTTCTGCGTTTGGCCGCTCGCTCTTTTGTGGCGCTAGCGGACAAGGTTCTCTCCGCTCCCGTTTCTCCGCCCCTCCTTTCCCATTTACGGCGGCCGTCTTTTCACACGACGCGCCAGGCTTTCTCCGTATAGAGGAGGCTATGGTGTGTGTGACAGATGCTCAAATAAACAGGAAACGACTGCATAAAATCATAAAATGTCGAGCATGCACTCTCGTATTTCCGGAATTCGATTTTTCTAAACACTACCAGCAAGTGATTGTTTGCTCCCCACCGCCTCCCAGAGAAGTTGTTTTAATTTGTTTTTCCTGGAATTTCCATGGTGACAGGATTTCCTTGTTTGACTACATATTTCATTAAAAATTGATTAGTACTCAAAATCAGATGTAAACACTTAGCTTAGTTCCGGGCTCTTTGGCTATGGTGCAAACAGTGCAAACTGTGTTCCATATTGCTACTTCTACTGGCCACCACTTTTGTGGCCTGTAGAAGCTGAGTAATTTCTACATTTCGGCTGAGTAATTTCTAAATTTAGGAGGGAGAGGAGGGAGAGCACACTAAATAATTTATGGAAAGTGTGTCTCATGCGCTTACATTGTAGTTAACCGAGATGGCTAGAACTTATTTTTATATGAATGTCACCACATTGTCAACATCATTAGATGGACCTGACTGGCAGTCAACGTTTTGGTTAGAGCACTTCAGGGCCCCCAAGAGGCTCGCTTATAAAAATATGTACTGCAACATCTGAATGCCAGGAGATTCATTCTCAAGACCTTCCCACCAGCTTCTAGCAGATTTGTGCTTTGTTCGGACATACCTTGGGCATCCGGGTCATGCCGCCAACCAGCAGCACTTCGCCAATGTCAGTGCGCTTGACCTCGCCGTCGGACATCGCCTTTTTGCAGGGATCTACCGTGCGACGAATTAAATCCCCCACCAGGCCCTCAAATTTGGAGCGAGAGAGCTTGAGGGTCATGTGCTTTGGGCCAGACTGGTCCATCGTCAGGTAAGGAAGGTTGATGTCCGTCTGCAACCACATAGACACACTCCTTAGTGTTCCGGTCAGTTTTGATTGCATAAAGTTGGTTTTCAAAAAGCCCAACCAGGTGATACTTAGTCAAAACGCTACTTCAACTTTTTTTTTTTTTTTTTTTTTTTGAGTGAACCACACTGAAACTAATGTTTGTAAAGACCTGCAACACCCCCCCCCCCCCCCCCCCCCCCAAGGTAAAGCAACTCTGTACCAGTGGAAATAGGAGAAAAGATACAGGCGAGCTGGTGAACTTCCAATGTTCTGGAAAAGAACCTACCTGAACGGAGGAGGACAGTTCAATCTTGGCCTTCTCTGCTGCTTCCTTCAGCCGCTGCATGGCCATGTTGTCCTTGGTAACGTCGATACCTTGCTGCGAAGTGCAAAATGAAGTGTCAAAATGGCATCACAATTAAGACTATGTGCAAACCATAATGTCCAGGTACATACCTCTTTTTTGAACTCATCTGCAAGAAACTTCACAAGGGCATTGTCAAAATCCTCTCCACCCAGGAAAGTGTCGCCATTGGTTGACTTCACTTCGAAGACGCCTTTTTGAATCTCCAGGACAGAAATGTCGAAGGTCCCGCCTCCAAGATCGTATACTGCAATGCTGCACATGACCACAACAAAAGTGAACTATTAACACTTTGACGGTCAGCGCCGTACATGCACAGCGGAGATTAAACATTTTAAAGTGCCCGCCCTAATGAGACACTACGCGGACTGCAGGAGGTATTTTGCTATGTTTTTGGCAAACTAAAAACAATATATTAGCACGGTCACTTTGCTGGTCTATTTATGTTTTTCAAATTAGACACTCCGCACACGTGAGGCTCATTTCGCATACCGGCTGCTCTGGTGGTAGTGTCAATGGGAGCACTGGCTTTTAAGATTCAGATTTCCAACGCTTTTGGGGAGTTAATTTCAGAGGATAAGAGCTCATCATCCGTCAGAGATGCTATGTAAAGTACCTCCAGGAATCTGAAGCCGCTGGAATGTTGCGGAAGCGGACACACCAAAATGAAACCGAATGGAAGAAAAGTGACAACTCTGCCTTTTTTATTTTTATTTTATGCTTCTAAACCTAAACAGCTTGCAAGCACTTCATGAGCTCCAGCTAGATAATCAAGAAAAAACATTCACATTGACCCTTTTCTTGATACTATTACTTCGAAAAAAAAAAAAAACAGACACTGGAAAACATCTTTTGGAAAAAAAAAAAAAAAAAAAACTCAACGATCAAAGGGTTAAAAAGTTGCACAAAAATGGATAACAAAGAAAATAAAAATCTGTTTGTAGCACCGAATATAAAAGAAGCACGAAATGAATCGAAAGACAATTTCAGAAACTAACCACACTTTCTGCGAGCCATGAAAGGCAGCTAAATACTGTGGTCACCACCGTTGGTGCGGTACGCTGAACAAGATGCTCGGGCAAGGTCACCAATAAGCTACCTCACCAGACTCCATCTGCTTCTCTGTTGGCGATCGTAAATGAATGATGCGTATTGAAAGTATGCGTTCCAGGCAGTATTTAGCAGTATTTGTTACCCCCCGAAACATAGCACCCTCCACGCCTCACTGTTACTATCGATCAGTCCCATGGTAAGTCAGGTAGGCAATCATTGCCTCGTTCTACCACTCTACCACATGAAGGCAATGAGAGAAAAACTTGCAATTCTGTCCTGCTGTCACCTTCAACCCTCCCCCCCCCCTCCCCCTCCCCCCTCCTCCCCTCCCCCCCCCCCCTCCCTCCCTCCCTCCCTCCCTCCCTCCCTCCCTCCCTCCCTCCCTCTTTCCCTCCCCCCCTCCCCCCCCCCCCCCCCAACATGAGGAAAACAATCTTTTGGCTGCATCCTGCGGTGAAAGGGGCCAGAAGATTTTTTTCACCTCATCCTGTGAAATTGTGTCGATGTCGTCCCACTTGATCAGCAGGGAGCTTTTCTCCCGCCGCTCACACCCGAAACCGATGCTGCCAACGTCACTAAGCATAGGACACACTACATCCTTGACAAGAAGTGGGCACATTATGCCAGTGGGCGAAGCATGTCCTGCATTTTAAACTGTCACTGACAGCAGCTATTGACAAGTCTAAATATAGGTTGTTAAAGACTAGAAAGCAACTCTCAGCCTATATTCAAAAAAAGCGGTGCAGTCATTTCATTCCAACTGTGGTTTTGTGGCCTAAAAAACACGGTAAACTTTAGACCGGTGTCCCAACGTAGCCAATGTGACCGGCGGCATTCGGTGCGGAGGCACCGAATGCCGCCCACTCTCTGGGCGGCATTCCGAGGCAGCGTGGAAAGTTTGCACGCCCACTTTCTGGGCAGGCACAGAGGCAGCGTGGAAAGTTTTGTGAAACTGACAGCACTCAGTGTGCTTGTCACAAAACGTTTTGCGCATGCTCATTTGCCAGAAAAAATGCAGTGTGGCCTGGGCCGACGTCAACCACTGCACGACAGCACACCGAAAACATTGTACTATAAATGAGCCTTAACGAATTAATGAATCCAGTTTACAAAGGAGATTACCAGTTCATTTGAAGACATGCATGCTTCAAAACAATCCATTAAGACCAACTTTCAAGAAACCTAACCCAATTGTTTTTTGTTTGTTTTTCATTCATTTATTCAAACCTTGGTAATGATGCACAACAAAATGTTCACAGGTTATTTACCAAAGTCTTAAAAGCTACAAAATTTGGGTTAAAAACATAAATATCTGCTCCCCTGAGGGTATTGTAGAAGTGTTGAATATGGATCATGGGACTGGTTTGGACGACGTGATTAACATGGAAAGTCGGAGAAACCCACAAAACTCGACTTGGAACGGGAATATTAATAGCAGATGTGAGATCTGGGCAATTAATTAATCCATAAATACATTTGTACAGGAAAACAAGATCACACTCACGCCGTCTGGAACTCATTGGGTCACGATTTAAGGGGAAACGCGGGGATCGAATCGCAAAATATGTGAAAAAAGTCAGTTTTTAGAAATTCGAAGTTTCGGCATCCTCGGGTCTTTATGTATGCGATCGTGAAGTTTCTGATTTAAAAACGAACTACATATATCCTTCATGACCAATTATATCAGCGCCGGTAGTAAAAAAAATGATCTCAAAAACGCGAGAAATGCGCATGTTTCAAGCCCTCGTATCTCCGAAATGCGGCGACTAGGCGCGGCCATTCTGGTATCGATGAAACGCGCGTTTCGCAATTGTTCCGTTTCCCGCCAAGACGCTCTTCTTCTGGAAGAAGTAAACACATAAAAAAGAAAAGAGCGAAGCACGGGGAGACGTGAATGGCGCGCTACAATTGGCTCCCTCTGGCTACGTGCTGTGTCACGCTTCGTAATTGGCTCGCGCCGCGGTTGCCCCTAGCAACCGCTCCCGCCGCGTTCGCTTTCTGGTTCCCGGCGATGGTTTCGGAATCACACGCGAGTTTCGGGTTTGCTGGATCGCAGCGTTTACTTGGTTTACTTGCGTTAGTTCTGACTCTGACTTGCAATCTGACTTTGACTTGCAATCATGGACGGGCGCTCGTTCAAAAAGAAGTATTGGACTACACGTCGCTTCGGAAACCGCAAGTGGAAGTCTCCGATGGAGAAGAAACGCCGGAAAGTGGATGACCCGCGGTCACACCTCGCATGTCGATGTAGGAACTGTCATCGAATTTTACACGGGTTTGGTCATAGACTCTGTCGTCCTCTGTAACTTGTGCCTTGGGTGCACGCTGGGCCAGAACGAAGAGCATGTCTGACAAAAGAACACTGATGTGAAGTCAGGAAGAATGGAGGTCGAAGCTGCGCTGCTGCTGTTTCGCCGTTCCCTGGCCAAGAACGATCTCCGGTATACAAACATTGTGGTGGGGACAGCCCTCAACGAGGATGCTACGTACGGATTCATCCCATTCACAAAAAAAGATTGTGTGAATCACATTCATAAGAGAAGAGATTCTGCATTGCGAGCTTTCATCACCAAAGCCAAGAAGGGGGAGCCGCTTGGCAGAAGAGGGGGTCTCACTCAGGACCTCATCAAGCGACTCACAAGCTCCTACGGGATGGCTCTGCGGAACAACTCGGACGTAAAAGAAATGCAAAGGGCAGTGATGGCGACGTTCTACCACATCACGTCCACGGATGAACAGCCGCATCACGACCTCTGTCCTCAAGGTGCCCTCAGCTGGTGCAGGCACCGAGCAGCAGAAGCTGAAGGGCGACCTCAACCAGTACACAAGTACAAGCTTGCGAGCCACGTTGCCGCCGCACTCCTACCCGTCTACCAGCGCCTTACGGAACCTCAACTCCTCGAACGGTGCAAGGGAGGGAAGGCCCAGAACGCAGCTGAGAGCCTTCATTCTGTCATTTGGTCTATCCAACCCAAGGAAGAGCATGCCTCCTTGATAGCAGCAGAGACTGCTGTCAGCGAGGCAATCTGCCGCTTCAACTCTGGTAACCCTACGAAGAGTTGTGCTACTCTTTCGGGATCCAACCAGGAGCACTGGCACTCCGCAGGGCCTTGGAGAAAGATGTCTTAAGGCAAAAGAAGGCTTCACGAGCTCTCCAAGACAAAGGACAGAGGGCCAAGAAGAGCCGCGCTCAAAAGGACACCAAAGACTATAAACCTGGAGGCTTTTAGGGCGTACAATGGAACTTTGAACATTGAACCTTTTTTTCTCAAAACTATAAATTTGGCTATCCATTCGGCTTGTGGAGCCAATATCTTGGGAACCACTTGGACTATTTGGGTTCTGTTTGTTTTGTATTACTCTTCTAGCCATTGCATACATCATGACCATTCTCAGTTTCCTAAAATAATGTTCAGAAACTTTGTAAAGCCATCTTCAGAAAATGCCACGAGTGCATTCATCGAGCCTGGTGGAAAACACTGTTAGTTAAAAAAAAGAGTGAAAAAAAAAAAAAAAAAAAAGCAGGAATGTCATGATGTGTAGCATGCATTTGGGCATGCACTCAAAGTCCAAGCAACTTTGTATTATGTTTTGGAAAACCTGGAGGCCTTCCACTAACTTTCAAAAAGTAAAATATTGTCAATAAAATGTTAGCAGAGATATCCCAAAGAAAACTTGCCTCTTTTATAACATAAGCATTGCCACTATGTGTGCAAAGTTTAATATAAATCCACCCACAAACAAAGAAGTTATTGTCCATCCCCACCTCCTTGTAATATTTTATAGCGCTTCAACAATGTCTTAGCTAGCGCACGCGACTCAAAAAATTTTAGATACCAAAAAGTGGAATTTGCGACCTTATATTTCTTATGACAATGCAATTTTTATCTAAACACTGATCTAAGCTCCTTGGAGTACCAGTGTGGATAACAACTTGTGTAGGGACGCTTTTTTGGGCACGAACCTTTCAAGTGCATATACGATATAGTTTGTAAACACTTCAACGACACGATTTATATCGGTCATACTATATATGGAAGCCCAACCTGCATTATCTAAATGTTGATAAAGGCCAAAGTAATCGCCTCTTGAGAAAGCAAGTGACTCACGGTTTTTGTGCTTTACTTTCCACACAGAAATCATAAAAGGAACATGCCAAACATCCGGTAAAACAAGCAGATTCGAAACTGACATCAGGCTGTCGATAGGTAAGTTGGCCAAGGACAGATCCAGCACATGTCCTGCTGAGTTATGAAGACCGTTCATTTTGGGTAAATCCGAGAAGGTTAACAAATGAAAGAAGGGCATTCGCTTTAAAAGATGCAGTATGAGCAGACAGTACAGGATGTACCAAATTTCAGTTTATTTCAGGAATATTAAAATCACCAAGTAGGAGTATTCAATCTTGATCCACATCCAATTTATCCCCTAGCATATCTAATTGGTCAGAAAACTTTGATTCGTCGACAGTAGGAGGAAAATAAAAAGTGCCTATAAGTAAGCTTTTGTTATCACGTAGACGTATTTCAATCAAAACGGACTCGCACTCGAATTCGACATCAAACCGGCGAATAGCCCGTAAATGTTTCTTAACTGCAATTAGTACACCACCACCGAATTTAATGGAAAGTTGTTCATAATCTCGATCCCGACGAAACACTGTATATTTAGTAGGGAAATAGTCCAGGAATGCAAATGAGCTATTTAACCAAGTTTCACCTAGAACAGGGGTGGCCAGGCTGGCCCGGCCTAAGAGCCGCAAACAAAACCACGGAACTTCCAAGAGCCGCGGAGGGGGGGGTGCAGACTTGACTTTTGTTTAGAATCTGACTGTACGTATGGGGGCACAAGGATGTATGACTGTACGTGTGGGAGTACAAGGCTGCCAAACTGCAAGCTGCAGTGTGCTTTCTTCTGAAATCTTTTTTTTTTTTTTTCCTGGGGAAACGCGGAAAGGGGCGAAAAGGGGGGGGGGGGGGGTCCCTTAAGTGGGATCCGCGAGCCGCATTCGGACCAGCAAAGAGCCGCATGAGGCTCGCGAGCCGCGGTTTGGCCACCACTGACCTAGAACAATAATCACCTAGAACAACGTTATTGAACAAAAATAGGAGCCTTCGTACGCAGGCCGCGGACGTTTTGGGTGTTCTGGGTGCAATGAACATGCAGAAAAAAAAACATGCTATTTTGGACACGCAGGGTGTGGCAACACACTCAAGAGCATAGTAAAATAATTTGCTGCTGTTAAACCACCGAGTGAAATGGACAAAAATAATGTGTGCGAGACCTATGTTATTTTAAAATAATTGAAAATAGCAAAAATGCTATTTTCAAAGAGCTAACAAAAGTTTCTTAAATTTTGTACATAAAACCTTGATAGTTGCATTCTACATATTCTAAAGCATCTGCATGCAAAATTTGGTTCTGGTAGGACAATACGACGACAGCACATAGACATCGTGAAGAACACAAATTAACTATGTTGGAAAAAAAAAAATGTGGTGCCCAAATTGTGCAACGATTTTTCGATGAGAAATTAAAGCTAAAAAAGACTGATTGACAGAAGATGGCTAGGCCTACTTGAACATGAACTTGATGGCTGGCAACGTCACAATTTGAAGAACCGCGCAAACGAAAATGTCCCAAATTTATGCATTTCTTGGTTGCTAGGAGTTCTTCAAAATTACTAATTTTGCGAACATAATCGGTCCTTATTTTCATGCATAAAATATGAAGATTAAAAAATAGCAAACACCCTAAAACCTGAAATCACACATCTTGCAGATCTCCACTTAACCTACCGTAAAATACCGGGCAAGCGCCCACTCAAAATTTAGAGATAATCACGAAAAAATGGGGGATGGGTGCTTGTCCGGTCATCAATTTTACATATAATTGTACTGTGCATATTTTTTTATATCTTAGAAATTTGGATATGGGCGCTTAATGTGGAATGGGCGGATGCGCGGTATTCTACGGAATCTACATTCCAGTGATGTGATTGGCCTAAGCCATTTTGGAGCACCTTTCGGAGCAGCCGAAACAATGTTTTGGAGCAGCAAAAGTGGCCTTTGGAGCAGCCAAAAAAGTGTTTTGGAGCAGAAAAAGTGGCTTTTGGAGCAGCTAAAACAGTGTTTAGGAGCAGCGAAAGTAGCTTTTGGAGCAAATATTCTTATAAAAATTAAAATGTTTGTTTCAAGTGCTCGACAAACGAAGGACACTTTGCTTGCCACAATAAACAAATTATAGTCGTTAGACCACCTGGGAGTTTTTCAACATGTAACTGAAATGCCAATGACATGACACATTTTGCAATGCTTTAGTTAAATAATGCATATATATGTACTTGCTATAGGTAAATAAGAACTAAAGTGCACATATTAAAATTGATTTGAAAAGGACCACTAAGTAGTAAATACCACAGCATTAGGTTGACTAGTTCTATAATGAATGGAAGCTGTCTCCAACTGATGAAACACGTAACTACTGCAGTGCAATGCAAAATTGTCGCTCGAGCGGAGATGGCTGTTCAATCTAAACCATGCCACTCCGCTCCGTCGCCAACACAAGAAAAAAAAAAAAAAAAAAAAAGTCCAGCGGCACATGCTTGCCAGGCTGACAGGCAAGGTACAAGTTAAACACACACAAAAAAAAAAAAAAAAAACTGAGCACACTGATGCCAGACATCGCGAGAGGGTCAAAAAGTTCTCCGAGCGCTTTGTGCAATGACTGAACTCAAGACAAACAAGTGCGCTGTGCGGGTTCAGCGTGCAGACATTGCCTTCTTTGCTTTAGCTCACTTCTCTTCACCAACTTTCTTTAAAGGCAGATTTTTCCGTACTGGGGTCCCCCTCGAACTAAAGCCCACAGAGAGAAACCTAGGCAATCAATTCTCCGACACAGCAGTCATTGAGCTAGAGGTTGTTTTGCAGTAGCGTATTAAACAAGAACAGGAATGTTGATGAACATGCGGCGGTCCTTACGTTTTAGTTTAAGAAGCGCCGCGAAAAAACTTGGTTTTGTTTCACATGACGGCATGGCTGGTACCCAGCACGCTAGCGTCGGAGCATCCGCACACGCCCACGTCTATCGTTATATTTATTTTTTTTTTTTTTTTTTACAACACGAGACAAGCGAAAACGCGAAACGAGAGACGGCAGGAAAAACCTTGCAAGACCGGATGAACGATTGAAGCAGGGTACTTTGTGTCGGGCGGCCGCTTGCGCCACCTAGCTTATGGTACTCAGTTTTCGGTCTTGGTACTCAGGTTTTGGTCTTGAAAGGCAACCGAAATTGGTCCTTTGGTGCAGGCTTGGTGCAGATTACTCATATTTTGGCAAAATGTAGCAGGATGTAGCAGGGTTAGCCCCTTGGAGCAGTTTGGCGCAATTGGCGCAGCAATCATATCACTGACATTCCAACAAACCGTTTTAAATATGAGGAACACTTAGCATGGTCATAGCACTTCACACAAATTCCTCATTTGCTCATGCTTTATGACTGACAATATGCACGACCTAGTAAAAGCAGACTTTTTTAATGCAAAAGCATTAACTGTCTCATGGAGCGAGCCGACGTCATCAGTCTGAAGCGCGAAAACGGCAGATATTTCCCTCAGTTCCATTGGCTGGCGCGCGTTCACGGGGCTCCCATTGGCCACTGCGCTCGTCAGTTACCACGACCGTTCACCCCATGGCACAGCGTGTCCATCAGCGCGGAGCGTCCAAGGTCACCAGGAGAGCACATGCGCCGACCGGCAACGAAAAGTATGCAGCAGACGAAAAAAGGAGCGGACGAGCGGCTTGCATGCTTTCGCATTCACAACTCATAAAGAATGCATAGGTGTACCTCAATCTTTTTTTTTTTTTTTTTTTTTTTTTTAATAGTACACACTACTATTAAAAACAAGATACGGAAACAAATTATTTCTGTGGCAATTTCTTTGTGCACTAATAGAAATATATACAATAATGATAATGAAAATAAATCCAGGGCCCTGCCTGGGAGTACATGGATGTATGGTCCACGACTCTGTTACCACCCGAGCACAAAATTTTGTTCCGGTGAAGCATTCAGATATGTTAATGTGAACACTGGAACTTTCGTGAAAAAACAGGCCAGCAAAAATAGGGTTTCCAACAGCATGCTAAATAGCATACTCTTGTACTACTATTCCCCTCAATCAACAGCACAATTTTTGTTTTGTTTAAAGTCTTGCACAAGTTCAAGCACTGATAACAGCCCACTGACACATCAACCGAAGACTTACATCTTATCTTCTGTCTTGTCCATGCCATAAGCCAAGGCTGCAGCAGTTGGTTCGTTGATGACTCGCAGCACATTTAGACCAGAAATCTGACCCGCATCTTTGGTGGCCTGTAGTGCAGCAAGAGAACACAAGATTATGCACATGTGCTTTTCATCTACAATTCAGCTACAAGCTTTGAAGCTCAGTCAAGTTTTCTCCATCAAGGCATTTGTAGGAGACGAAAAATAGTACATCATGGCAACCTTGTTCAGCCTAGCCTTGGTTAGAAATAACCAAAAACTGACCTGCCGCTGGGAGTCGTTGAAGTAGGCCGGAACTGTGACCACTGCATTCTTGACGCTATGACCCAGGTAGCCCTCTGAAACCCAAAGCTCAGGTTACTAATAGTACACAGCGCCCAACATTTTCGAGTCCGACTTCACCTGATAAGTTACCGACCAACGTTAATACTCGAGGAATTCAAGAAACAGTCATGTACAGCAAGATAAATTCAGAGCTAGAAACTTCCTTGGCTATTTTTTATATTACATCAATTTGGCAATCAACATGGTGATGTAATAAAGATAAAATTACTGCTCAGCAACACATAAACAGCATGTGCAAAATGAAACAATTCGATTTGGCTTCTAAACAAAAAGAAAAAAGTGTCTAAATGTTTTAGGACAGGTATTTGGGCTGTCAGTGCACAGAAAGCACTCGTCTATTTTAAGATTTATGTCTTGCGTCCCACTCTCTTAAGCAGAATTGCCACCCCCCCCCCCCCCCCCCAATTGGTTTTCTCTACAAATAATTGTACTGCACTTTGGATAGCAATATCATACTGATATCAGCTGTCATGAGTTATATGAATGTCATTAGGGTTGAACACAGTCCACTTAAAGCATTTTTCATTACTAATATAAGCATGAATGTTGTTGTGTAGTAGACTTTCAAGTAACTCTATACTTGTACACCAATACAAATGTTATGCTGTCAATGGCCACATTTAAATAATCAATCAATTGTTTGCAGCTCTTTCTTAAGTTTTAACATCTTTCTGCCTGAAAACCTAAATGCGCTGACATAAAACCTTGATTTCTCGATGATTTTCGTGGAAGATAAAACCGTCTTTTAAACGGTAAATGGTTTGAACGGGAAAAAAAAAGAGCTGATTGTAGGGGGCATTCAACTACCGACAATTTCCCACCCTTAATTTACCCTGCATGACAGGTGCATTGAAAAGTATTACCCACCAGCAGTCTCCTTCATTTTCATAAGCACAAATGCTCCAATCTGGCTAGGGGAATACATCTTGCCATGTGCCTCCACCCATGCGTCACCGTTGGACGCTCTCACTATCTTGTAGGACTGCGTCTTCCTACAAACGAGAGACCCACCACACTTGTTAAATGAGGACATCAATAGAATGATGAGCGAGTACCAGACGTGCACCTACTCTACAACAGAAATGCTCACTACTTTCCTGTGCAGAAGAGCTTAACGAAAAAGCTAAGCTCATCAACAAAAAACTGCGCCGGTGCTGAATTCTGGGCATGTCAAATGTCGCACTCGGCATCGCAGCGCAACTAGCATTTCCAAACGAGAACAAGATTTTATTGTCGTCATTTCCCATGCTCCTCCTGTAATTTATAATGAATGGCTATTTGCGTCTTCAGCTCGTTGCTCGCCCTCCCACAGCAGAAACGGGAAGCGCTCTAGTGAGGGTCCCCCGGTTCTCCTGTTCAGCGGGCACGGCTGAACTGCTCGTGATCATGGCTCGTGAAATGTTGTTTTTGAATGCAAACAACACTTTTTTACCGTCCCAATGTAGTGGGGCAGCCGGTATGGGTTTGTACACAAACACTTCTTGTCTGACTCCAATTTCGTAGTTGGGTTTTTGTAGTGAGAACAAAGCTTCTTAAAGGGGTTATGACACGAAAATTAAACGGATAGATTATGCTTAAAATGGAATGCTCATAGGCCATTTAGTATATACACCAAGTTACGCGATTTTTAGGGCTCTGGTAATTGCAATATTCAATTTACGAATTTTTATCATTTTCATCTGGTGACCAGGCAACACTGCTCACGTTAGTCACACCATGGTGTCCATAAACCACGTGACCATGAACACTCTCTCATTCTAGGCGCCCCATGATCGCTCAAGCTCTCCCCTCGTCGCGGCACGATCAAAACCGCTCACACAACTCGGTAACCCAAAAGATATTCTAGCTCTCGCCCCCGGCCCGTTGACCTTCCACCCTGCATGCGCCTGCGAGATATTCCCGGACGACGGTGACCACGGCGAGTTCGTTCGTAACTCGTCGTCGCTGTAGCTGGTCGCCAGCTGGCCGCAGTCAAAATGAACAGCTTCCAACATCTCTTGGTAGCAATCACTCTCATCGCTGCTGCAATCAATGTCGAACACTTCGACAAGGCGAGCGATGCCGTAGACGTAATCGTCACGGACCGCATGCTCGAAACGTGGAAGGTAAACGAGCAAGCTGAGGCTCGAGAGGCCAAGAGAGCCAAGTCTGTAAGTGCGTGCAAGGAGACACCGCGCTGGAGGCTGGCTACGTAGCCAACCTCCAGCTCCGCCCGGATCTGCCCTTCCGAGGGGTCCGCATATAAATCGACTTATCCACGAAACTATCGCGCCATTTTCAAAACAAATTTAGCAGGATTATAGGAACATACAATGGGTCCTAGCAGTATAGTTACGTCATCTTTTATTTTTGGCGTGTCATAACCCCTTTATTTTACAAGTTTTGTAAACATGTTCCGAGCTTAATCGCCCGTGGCAATATTTTGTAAAACTTGAATTGATTCTGTTATTCTTGCGCTGGGAATAATGTTAAAGGGGTAGGTAAATGAAAATTTAAATATTCAGCTCTGAAATGAGTCAAGCATGACGGATAATAACTGTAAATGATAATTGCAAGTTTGTATTTTGAACGACTCGCTATACTTTTCGTTTTTAACGGTGCACTCGAGCAAGCGCTCGAAGAGAAGCGAACGCAGAGTGGTGATGCGTCATGGCAGTGGTTCTCAAATGGGGGTCCGTGAAGCCACTTCTGGGGTTTGCAAGACCCTCAACAAAATATTTTTTTTTTTTTTTTTTTTTTTATAGTTGGCATGTTTTGATGAATTGACTAAAATGAAGTGATGTGGCACCTTTGTTTTATGTTTTCCTGCTACATAGCAATAAAAGGCACCTGTTTCGTGCTCCAGATGTGTTAACTTACTAACGTCCCCCCCCCCCCTTGCTGCTGGAAAGGGTCCCCCCACTGCCAGCGGTCCGCAAGGGGTCCCCGACACATCCATGGCTGAGAACCACTGCGTCATGGGATATCCGGCGCAAACGAAAACAGAAAAAAATATTCCCCGCATTCGTGACATAGCAAAGCTGGAGTCGTTATGAGCTTTGCCGTTGGTGACGTTGTCAGCGTTGTGGTGGTTCAATAGCGTTAACGCGTTACAACCGAGCTGTTGAGGCGCCCCTCCATTTCCTCAAGCAAGGTGCGAGGGCCGGCGCTGGCCAATCGCAGCCGCCTATTCGTCGTCGCGATTGGCCAGCACCGACCCTCAAGCCTTTCTCGAGGAAGTGGAGGGGCGCCTCAATTGTAGTGATGTTTGTGAATTCGGCAGTTAAAGTATGCTTGCATTGCGATTTTTTATTTTGAACTTATGAAAGTTTGGACCAGAGCAAAAATTTAACTCCACATTCTATAGAATTGGGAATAAAAAAAAATTATATTTTTGTTAAAACATTTTATTTTGAAAAACCCCTTCGAATTTAACAGATAACAGTTGTGAGGCGAGAACTTTTTTTTCTCATCTCTTCGCTTCCAACTTTTAACAATGCGCTGGAAAGTTTTTGTCGTTTTTTTTTGCATACGTGCAGTTTGTCTTTAGCTTATCTCCCCTTCTGAATCGCTTGTTTTGTGGGCAACAATTTTGGAATCTTTTTTTTTTTTTTTTTTTTTTTTTGCTGTGCATGCGTGCAGAGTATATTTTAGCTTTCTCCTCCCTTCTGATTCGCTTCTCTTCGCTCAATTTTATTCGCAACTTGAGCCTTTGAAATTTTCCTTCTTTCCTACTTCTTTTTTTTTTTTTTTTTTTTTTTTGAGAAAGGAACAGGCTAGAAGACTAATATTGGTGCGGCTTTGGAAGCCTTCCCGGGGGGCAGTTTGATATAGTCAATACCTAGGTTGTTTGTAGTACAAAGTACTCTTCACATGCATTTTTATTCAAATTTTTTGTGAGTTCGATATCGACAATAATTCGCTGTATGTGGGTTCATTCTAAACGGGTTTCACTGTATCTTGCGATGAGGACAGAGTGCTTCTTCTAGTTCCGATACGAAAACTGTTCATTGGCAGGACAACTGAAACAAAATATTCAAATTTATCTGCCGCAAGTGGAATAAAGAAGTGTAACCGAGCAACGCAGTAGCATATGTGTTATTAAATGCTCTTCTCGGTAGCATGGGTTCACCCGCTCAAATTTTCTCGATAAGGGCCGCAGATGTTAAGAGGCCAATATTATAAATTTCTGGCTAAATAATCTTTTTAAACATAGTAGACTCTGTAACTCCAACAAACAAACCGCACCACGACACAGACAGCATCGGCTGCAGTGACACTCTTGTTGATAAGGGCTGGCGACTCACGAGACTTTGCGATCACCCTCCGCCCTCGCCTAACGCATATCAAGACTGGGCAGTTCATCGATTAACCTTCAGATTATTCAACTAATGCGTAAATTGCCTTTTTTTTTTTTTTGCCATTTAATTGGAATTTTGTGCTGGAGAAAGCCAGGGAAAAGTAAAAAAAAATGCCTGCTTTAATATTTATGACATCTTTATTTCTTTTAGGAAACATCCTTGCATGGTAAACCACTTCAGTATGCTTGTGATTGTCATCGAGCGTGATTATACTATTTAAATATTTAACTGAATATGCGCCCGCAGCAGACGATGCACGGCGGTATCCACGCTTATCTACCATTTACAAAACAAGCTGCCTTTTGCCCTCACCCGGTGTGGGCGCATGTGTAGAAACAATGGTCATGTGAGGTGAAGTGTCTGCACATGTGCCATGCTAACAGCAGCACAACCGCAGCGGCGTGACATCAGAGCCACACGTTGGTCTATAACCACACTCCACAGAAAAGCAGACACGCGTAGTTCATAAACAGTACATACAGTAAAACCATGAGACACTGGTAGGCCTGACTAAGAAAAATTAAAACAGCAGTAATTAAATTGCAAAAAGACTGCACATACACATTTGCCAGCAGAAGGGATAAAAACCTACAAAATGTAATGACAAAAACAGCTGGTGAATGCAATGAATAAAGCCTCGAAGCTGGGCCCACAAACAGGATGACACACACCTGGCTGTGAACTCTGCAAACCCGACAGGAAACAATAGCGAACGAGAGGATTATAAAATAAAGGCAACACTCACATGTCCTTCTTCACCTCCGAGTCATCGAACTTGCGCCCGATAAGGCGCTTGGTGGCAGAGAGGGTGTTGGACGCATTGGTCACCGCCTGACGCTTGGCCGGCATGCCCACCAGTCGCTCACCGTCCGCAGTAAATGCGACCACCGAAGGGGTGGTACGTGAACCCTCGGCATTCTCAATCACCTTGGGCGTCTTCCCTTCCATCACTGCTACACACGAGTTGGTTGTGCCCAGGTCAATGCCAATCACCGCACCCTTCACCTGGTCCGACCTGAGCTTGGCGCAAGGTTCGAGCAAGGAGACAAATGGCCCATTAGTACAACAGCCCACGTCTGATACGCAGCATCTAACACCCATGGCTTACACAATGCAAGGCTACATTGCATACCAATCAAGCTTTGGTTCTACCAGGGGTAAATTAATGTACTGCTTTCATTCAGTAAAATGGCAAACTGGGCAATTTTTCATTATGCACGTTGCACTTATGTCTCACGTATCTTAAGATTGTAAGGTTCACCCAACCGGCCAAGTAAACTTTGCAACCTAAATTTCTGCACATTCGAGAAACAAAGAATTACTACTAAATATTTTATAGTTGCTTACTTGTTCCTAAGTTGCTGTCCAATGGCATCCCTTCTGTGTACCAAGGTGTCCTTGAAAAACAAGATGCATACACGTCAAAACTATAGAACAGTCCAGGCTATAACACTAGACCAATTTGCACACCAGTGCAAATTACTAGACTAAAGTTAGCATAAAGATTTTTTTTATAATAATCAGACCAATACGCTACACTCTTGAAGAGAAAATCAAAAGGCAAATATTTTGAAGAACCAGAACAGCTACTGAAAGAACTCAAACTGATGCAAGAGCATGTGCAATTGTCGAACATTAAACAAACATGTGCCGACCCTACAACAGACAGTATTGACGACCAGAGTGAAGGAGTCTATCCCTCTCATGCTGAGCAGGTATTAGAATTGTTTGATGCTAATGCAAAAAAATGTAAACACAGTTCTGTTGGATTTGAATGTGAACACAAACATTGACCAGAGATAGAAAGGACAGTTTCATTCAAGCAGCTGGAAGCTTCCCAGTGGTAGTTCGGCAGTAGTCCCTCTACACGGTAGAAAACGGTAACTACACTGATAATGCCGGCACACTAAGAAACCTGAGGACTTTCATTTCATCCTGCAATTGCAATGTTAGTTGCACAAAGTAATTAGAAAGAAGACGATATGAAACCTGATCATAAAGTAATGAACTGCAGCAAAGTAGAAATTTGGGCTAGTTGGTTCATGATCAGTATTTACAGCGCCAAAAAACTCTCGTCTTTGTCCTGTCGTTTTTTGGCGCTGTAAATACTGATGATCATAAAGTAGTCCACTAATGAGAGTCTCTTGATAATGAACATGGACAACTGCTATCAGTGTGCACAAGTATGCTATCAGAGAGATTCAAAAACCCCTTAGTGGAAGAATATGAATAAAGACAGCCTTATGTACAGCAAGTGGGCTTTACACGTTTTAAAGGGGCACTGACACCCCAAAGGTCGTATTTATTTTTATTGTCTAAAACGATGCAAGTTGCAGTCATAGACACGCAAAAAAAAACGCATCGCGAAAAAAAATTTTCCCGCGCGCGCGCGCGCCTTTTTATTTTGGGCGTTTGATTTTCCCGCCTCTCGCCTCCTCGCTTCTTTTGATCGGTGACGTCAAAAATCAGGAAATTTAGAAGCTTTGTAGGCGACATCTCTTGAACATTTAATTACGGAAATCCTAAAACATGTTTTTTAACGCAATTGCGAACGCACTACGGCCCTTCTTTTTGAAATACCAAAAATCGGGAGTTCGTTGTGGTGTCGTCTCCTGGATTTGTATCCTCCAACGGAAAACAGGCAACACCGCTCAAAACCGGTCCGCGCCGCCCTACCTCGTTGGCGCCGCCGCTCACTCCTTTCCTCCTCGCTTTGGGTCGCCATGGCAACAGCAGGGAGTGGTGAAAGGAAGTCGACTCTCAGGTCTCCTCAATTTTTGACGTCAAGGCACCGGCGCCGATCGCGCGGGAACTTCGAATTCGGCATTTGGAAATTGTTTTTTCACTTCACGAATACTGAATTCCCAAATCTCAAATTTTGTGGGTAATGTCCCGGCATCGTTTTCAATCGTTTCGGATAATAAAAAAAAATATGATTTTGATGTGTCAGTGCCCCTTTAATACATTTCATGTCACACTGAGTATTTCCAAGGGGGTACAGCATGTCATATATACATCTATGAATGCTAAATGATTTATGTAATTTCTGTTTACCCTGCCATCCTAAAGTCCAACTGCAACCAAATTTTAATTTATTCAATCATATTATTCAATCATGTTTTTATCAGGATGACTATAATTAGGAATGTTCTATACCCTACAAAAAGTAAGGGCGCAAACAAACTGGTGAAAGTTAACATTTTAGACAAAATCCCGCGACAAAAAAAGACAACACAACACAGTCTCAAAAACAGCTCAAATTTATTGGACAAAATATTGTTGTTTTATGGGGTACAGGTGCCCCGAAAACCAAAAGGAAGGAAAAAGGGAGAGGATGAACTTCTTTTTCCCAAAAGTACAAGAAAGAGGAAAAGAAGTTCATGCTCTCCCTTTTTCCTTCCTTTTGGTTTTCGCAGAGGAACTTCTTTTTCCCGAACGTACAAGATAGGGGAAAAGAAGTTCATCCTCTCCCTTTTTCTTTTGGTTTTCGGGGCACCTGTACCCTATAAAACCACAATATTTTGTCCAATAAATTTCAGCTGTCTTTGAGACTGTGTTGTGTTGTCCTTTCGCCCCCACCAGTTTCAGGGTTTTTTTCTAAAATTCTATACCCCATTTTTAATTTTCTATGTATTACTCAGCTGTTTACGTTTACTCTAAATTTTGTACACAACACTTGGACTAAGCCATTTTATGCTGTTATTCGGAGATGGGACGGCCATGTCACCCTAGTAAGAGCAAAACTTGGGACAGTAATTTGAATGGGCTTGAAATTAACTACTACTGCAGCCAATATGCGCTGAAACGCCAGAACATGTGGTACTGCCAAAGCTGCCAGTCGCATTTTTCTGCAAAATGTGATGTATGTGTGCCACTCGGCACTTCCATGTCGCCTGTTAGTGAGCAAATGGAGGCGACATTCCTTTGTATAATCAAACCGCAAAACCTATGCATGACAGAGCATAAATATATGAACAAAAAGTTAGGGTGCAAATGAGCTGGTGAATTAACGAAAGAAAACTTAGGGTACAAACAAGCCGGTCAAGGTTTAACATAAGTTAAGACAAAACCCCGAGACTGGGGAAGGACGAAGGACAACACAACACACAATGTCTCAACTTTGTGTGTTGTGCTGTCTTTCATCTTTCCCCAGTCTCAGGGGATTTGTCTCAAATTATGTTAACATAAATATATCGAACTTTCTCAAAACAATTTCTGCAGCACCTTGACTTACGACTAGGGTTCAGTGTTTTCAGTATTTTTCTTCAAATTTGGGGCTACTTTTCAATGTTTCTTTTTTGCATCTGTGTTTTTTAGCATGATTTCAATGCTGGAGAGAAATTAGTGTTTATTGGGCTTGTGTTGTAAAGAGACTTTATAATCACCGGGGGAAATATAATTTATAACATACATAACATTACAGAACTTTATTGAACACATACCAAACACTGTACACAATTAATGAATGTTTAATTAATCTGGCTGTCTCTAGCTTGTGCAGACGGTTCTGCACTCTTCCCGGCCTGCGGAAGTTACAAAAAAAAAAAAAGACTGGTTCCGTTCTCCACAGTATTACGGGCGACGTTTTGCGGGCTGACTTGGATCACCCTTAAAGCCCCCAATGTCACTCCCATATCCTCTTTTCTTCCATGTTCCAGGAAACTTATGCCTGGCCTAAATACCTGGGAACATCATGTTGGTAAAGATAAGAGAAGGGAAAGGGGCAAGGAATATGGTTTTGATAGAAAGTAACAACCCCAAGGACCCAGTCCAGTTCAACTCTATTCCAAGTAAAAAAAAAAAAAAGTAAAATATGTTGGTTTTTTTTGCTTTTTTCTGGGAAGCTGCCATTTTTGCTTGTTTTCTTCTAGGACAGCTCAAATTTTGAATTTTTAGGTTTTTATCGATTCAGAGAATACGGCCTCGAGGGTTTATTTTCTGTGTTTATCAGTGTATACCGAAAACACGGAACCCTACTTACGACCACGTACCACGTAGTAAACCAGTTCACAGCTGAGTGGCTCAAACACAGATGTCTTTTCTGCATTTGCAAGAAACAGATTTAAAACCCTCAAGACTGCCAAAAAAATTGTGCCATACATCTGAGCAATAAAGAGTGCTGGCAAAGGGCGGTAGTATAGGGAAGGTCGTTAGCGACTGTGAACTGCATAATTTATGTGTAACGGGATGAAGGTTGACCTAGAGATGCACCACACAAAAATGTTCTCAGGCTACGAGGGATGAGAAACGCTAGCTTGTCGCAGCTCATCAGTGAACCCTATCCAATTGAAACAGGAGCTTCAAGAAAACCTGGCAATCCAGGTATCCATCCAGACATTCCTGCTACAGTTGAGAACTGTAGTCTTAGTAGCAGACGACAAGGAAGTTCAATGGCGCAACGAGAGCAAGAGGGGAGCAGTGGGACAGCGGATCCACAGGTGCTTTAAATCAGAACCAATTCCTGTCTCGTCTCATGGAACCCCCTTATTCACAGCATTCATTAATAGTTCTGTTCCCTGCCTCATGGAGGACAAACTTCACAACTGATGTTCCCGTTCTCACCTCAAATCAGATTCAAATAAATGGCACAGACCAATACCACTTCTTAATAACAGAAAAACAGAACTGGATCTTCTTAGGCTTCACAAGCCTAACCGCACACTGCTGCTCCACATCAATCGCCAGAGCTCACTATATATCCTGTGAAAGTTGTGAATACTAGAAAAGTCTTTCTGAAATCATCTGCAGGTTTCTATGCACGAAGCAACTAGACTCTCTCTCCATCCCAGGTGAGTTTAAAGACATGGACAAACACAAAAGCTTCAGTATTTATCAATGTCCTTTTTGACCCCATGGGCTTTGAAAGATGGCGATAATAAAGCCCTGATAAAACTGGTTTGCTCTACTGACATCTCACTCCTGGTTAGCTCAGCTGGTAGAGTGGTCCCTGGTTCGCCACCAGGACCAGGCGGATTTTCTTTGGTTGCACACCGGTCACCTCGCTGTGTTTGGAGATTTGTGTTTGTCCTTGTCCCCCTTCTACAGGAATTTATTATTGCCATTCTTGTCCAGCTCGCTTGAACCTTTGCATTAATTGCGTTATCATCATATCTTTGAAAGATGTTGGAAATTTTCACGCTGTTTGCTCCTGTGTTCAAAAGCTAGGGCAAAAAGGAAAAAAATGACGAAACTTGAAAGCATCACAAAATCAACAAATCCGTACTTTACTCTTGTCTTTTCAAATTGTTTTAGCTTTTACTTGCAACCTAAAACAATTGATGTCCAACATTTAATATGTGTAATAATATCAGTTAGAACATTTACTGTTACTAATGCCATGAACCTACTCTCCAAGATCACAAATACATGGCTTAATTGACGTCATATCAGCCGCCATTGCACCGTACCATGTTCCAGAGCCCGTACCCTCTGCGGCATACATTTGACACCATTTAATCTGCTCTCTACAATACTTGCTAAGAACAAATTCGATTTTGTGAAATGTGTGCTGCAGAAGATACGGGCACGGGAGCGTGGTACTGGTATGGTGCCATATGACGTCACATGCACGGCACGTATAAGAGTCCTTGATTACAGTCAACTACAGAGTAGAGGTTGGGCACGTGTTACGAAAGAATCAATGCGGAGAGCAAGTCGTCTGCTTTCTGCGCAGCGGTTGTGGTAACATCAGACCGACGCCGAGCTCCGATTGGCTCTGATTGAAAGGATAGTGGGTAGACCTGAATGCTTGATGCCTTGAGATCTACCCACTATTATTTTCCAATCAGCCAATACGATGTCGGCGTTCTGACATCACAACCCCTGTGCAAAAAGCAGACAAACTTGCGCTCCGCATATCCTTCCTTGCTATGCCAAGCACGAATGCGCGTGATAAAAATTATAATCGTTATTTATCCCAGCTCTGTATAACCTCGCATCGTCCTGAAAAGCACCAACCATTAAACGAAATGAAACTCCTTCTACTAGTACTCATCCTGATGATGGAGGTCATCATGTAGACGACGAGAAACATCGTAAAACGGTGCAAGCACACACCGCACACACGCTGTAACCCAGGCATGTCGCCGGCTTGCGCACAGGAGGGGTCGACGCATGCCGATTCATTCGTCATAGCACAAACACGCTCAACAGCTTTAAGCACTATAGCGATCCAGACACCGAGATAACGATGTGAACGACGTTAAAATCTATAATCAAATACCGACGTCAGTCTCCACTACACTTGGAGCTATGATGAGGCACGTTAACTCCAGTGAACGCAAACCGCACCTCGCATGCCGGTGAAAAAGGGAATTGTTGCATCACCTTTTGAATGCTCTTCAAAGCGATCAACATTTCCCCTTTAATTCTTCAAACACAAGAGAGTAAGAAATTAAAGATGTTTAGCAATATCGGCCAGATAGCAAGTGCTTGCCCAGAAAACAAAAATTTCGGCCAAGGCAATGAATGCGCACTTAGGCCTACTGCGCTCACCATGCAGAAACTCACCTTGGAAGTAAGAGTCACCAGACTACGTTTTAAAAGACTCTCCGAGACGGAGTTTGAGTTTAGAACTGATCGAGATGATACTCGTGCTGCGGTGAGCATTTTGGCAATTATCTTTTTTGAGAAATGTCCACAGAGAGCGTTAAAAGGAGACCCTGGCAGCTAGGCTCACCACACGTGCGTAGAGGCCGAATCACGTGATGAGCTAGTGTCGATGTTGCTTACTGGGATAGTTTTAAAGGGAGCATCCCGGAACGCTCGGAACGTTCTAGAACAGTGGGCGGAGCTTGGAGCCATAACCAGCGCTACAGTGTACCAGTGCCATTACTCGATGCTTGGAGCAAATGGCCAATATTAGCCAATATGCAAGATAGCAGCGCCCCTAGATCAGGAGACTGTGAACTAGTTTCGGTTTCGCCGATTTGTCGTCTGCTATCGTCTCCGCGCCACCATTGCTCAGTTCGTCCTGGATTGCTCCACACTTACGCGCGATGCAGTAAGTACTCCTTTTTTCTCGTCACTACATATCACACGCAGCAAATAACGAAACAATTATGATTTTGCTGGCACGGGGAGCGAGTGAAAACGCCGCAGCGGCAAAGTAAAGTGAACGCAGATCGACGTACGCCGATCGCTGTGCCAGCTCATGTGTGCATTTGTTTGCAACGTCGAGAAGAGCCACTGAGACTAGTACTTCAGTTTTACTACACCCTTGTTTACGTGGCCGATTTCCTCACAGCGACGTAGCAAGAAGTGCATGTTTGCGCTTGAACGCATCCTCGTACAGCGAGGTTCGTCATGAACGCGTTAGCCGGATTGAAAATAGCGATTGACGAAGCTTATAAAACTTGTTCTAAAGCCCTTTACAGGAGCATTTCGTTGAATGGAAATTTCAAGGTTCCCACATGTTACAAACCCCCCATTTTTAAACTTATTGTATAATTTTCAGTGTCACAGGCTTAGGTTTGCTTACGATAGATCTGGCCTAGAATGTGAACACATTGCGAGCTGGTCTGTATCACTCATTTCTTTAAAAACCGGACACGATGAACGAAAAACGATTCTTCAAAAATGTTCAACATTGCCAATCTTTGCACTTAAAACAATATTTTGATCAAATGATTCAGACTTAGAACAATGAACCTAACATTGCAATGAACCAGAGTAGTTCTCCATTTTCATCATGTCTGAAACTTCTTCAGGCACAGAAAAATAAATAATTCAATGTGCAAAATATACTTCATCAAGCACAATTAAATTTAAAAAAAAAAAAAAATAACAAAAACGTTGGTATTTAATACGCGTTGTACAAACAAGGGCCGATTGGAAAATAATGAAACTGTTTGTTTCTCTGAAGTAGAAGCTAGGGCAATGCTGTGCTGGTGTTTGTGAAGGTAATAAATTGACAAGCCTGAACCTGCAGTTGGACCTCCATAACCTTTTTGCATATGATTCCTCAAGAACAAGTGAAAGCATGTGTGGTCAAGAAGGCGCTGGAGAGTGAAAAGTGACCGAAAGGGAGGAGAGCGCCGAAGAAGCGTAAGGGAGCAAAGAGGAGACGACCGCCATATTGGTGCAGCATGCTGTCGGCATAGAGCACTGGCGATGCTATGCGTAGTCTCCGTCGCCAACTTGTGGAGAGCGGCAACTGCACTACCAAACACTCCAATCTGCCCAGACTAGAGTGCCTTCGAAGCAGGACACGAGGGCACCCAGCCCAGACTTATCACCGTGCAATTTCTGGGCATTCCCAACACTGAATAAAAAACTACACCTAACAAAAGTTATCTTCAGATGAAAAGTTGTAGCTGCAATGCTAAAAGTGATGTCACAAAACAGTATTTTTCATGTTTTTGGATCGTTTTTAAAGCATACGTACCGTGTGTGAAAGACGCTACTTTGAATAAGAAAAATGCTCGGAGCTTGTAGCCATTGGTTTCTGAATAAAAAAAAATATGTCATTACATATTAGTCAGCCTTCATACACAATGCAGACAAGCAATTGCCAATTTTTTTCTTTTTCTTTTTTGGAATCGAAGGGCTGTCATTCTAGTGTGGTGGAAAGTGCTCATTTGGGGCAGAACTAAGCAGTCAAATTTTGATGCCTTCAGACATAAAATGCAAAAAAAGTGCCAATGTCGTGTTCACACAGTGTTACGAAATGTAAATAGAATGATTACAAGCTTGGGAAGGGAAATTATTACACCTGACAACTTGCCGCAGGGAAGGTACAAGCACATACAAAGTGTCACACAAAAAAAAAATTAGTTTTCTTTTTCACTTCAATAATAAACTAGGCATCGCCGAACGCTCATTCTCCGCCCAAAGGTTGCGCTAGTCCCTAGAGGTCACAAAACCAGATGCCAAAGTTTCAGCCCAATCCAATACCTTATTCAAAAGTTGTGATTTTCTGAAAATTTCACTGGGAAAATGGAGCATATTTTTGCCCGTTTTCGGTTTCTGGTGACATTGAGCCCCATAAAGAATTCCACTATTTGAAGAACCAATGAGGCTGGCATTTGATTGGGGGGGGGGGGAGGGGGGGGGGGGTTAGGCCATATTGTGTTCCGCCAAGTGTGCCTGCTTTTATATTTTTAAAATTATGTCATTGAAATGAACCATTCAGTCGAAAGTTACGCCGCGTCCTGTCCAGTTCTCCCTTCGTTTTCGTCCATGTTGTTTTGGCATATTACACCATGATACAAAACCAACTAGCCATCCTTATTCTTTAGCATATCTGGCAGTTTTTTAGGCTCTGGTCCCAACTAGAGCTGGAATGTAAAGTTTAGGTACCAGTGTCTGAAGTTTTACAGATGTATATAATGGTACTCGTGGGGATGATGCAACTTATACTGTCTGAGGGCAAGTACACTGCCAGTGATAGAGAAAAGTTATCAATGAGGGCAAGTAAATTAATGCTTATCATAGTTAAGGGCACTAAAACCAAATGTTTTTAATGCAAAAGCATTGTCTCATGGAGAGAGCCGATGTCATCAGCTTTGAAGCCCATGCCAAACAGCACCTTAATTCATTTCTCAAAGTGAAGCCAGCTCCCAGCTATGAAACAACGCAACAGCCTAGCCAAACGGCACTTAGTTTTCCCAATCCCAAAGCAGCGGAGTAAAGCTGATGGATTTCGGCTTCGGCCCCATTGGCTGGCGCGTGCCGACTAGGCTCCCATTGGCCGCTGCGCGTCAGTTTCAACGACCGCCACCCCATGGCGCTGCACGTGCGCGAGATATTATAAGCTTAAATGGTAAAACAAAATGGCTAGGTGGCGTAAGCTACCGCCCGATCCAAAGGGCTCAGCCGTATTCATCCATCCATCCATACATACAGCGGCTCCACCACTCCACGCCCAAGGTCAGCGTGCCAAGAGCGATGTGCATGCTTTTGCATTAACTCATGCTTAGGTGTACCTCGAGCTTTTATTGAGGGTAACCTTAGTTTCCTCAAATGAGCTCAACTGGCTCCTCTCTATGGAGCATATGCAAAGTTTGCAGCTTCATTTTACTTGTCAATATTTCAGCAGAACTACAACTCTTTCCACATATTAGCAGAATTAGCTAGCCTGGCATCCCAAGTTTTGTGAGCACATCACTCAAATGTGACTAAAAGACTTTTCGGCAAATTACCCGAGCACTGGGGAGAATGATGGGAATGTAGGTACATGCACCCACATTATCAAAATAAGATTCAAAGTAAATCAAAATAAGGCTTACTTTAGGTTCTTGCCTTAGAACAGTTAATACTGCAGATGCCATCATGCGCTACATGTACAAATACACCCTCAGCGTGCTCTTGAAATGGTAACCAGAAACAATTGCAGGAGTCTGAAGAGGAGCCTCAGCCGTCAAGAACCTTTTTTGGTACTAACATTTTTGAATGAGTATTTCCAACAAAATAAGACTTATCAAGCAGTTCATCTACAGGCAAAATCCTGAGGTCAAAACAAAAGAAATGCACATAATGGTCTCTAACACAAGTCCCAGACTGCTGTGCATTTGTGCTCTTTCGTGTTCCCAGCCTCACGTTTTTCAAGATGAACTACTGCCTAGCTTGTTTTCAATCATTTCACAATACTCATTTAGTTCCAATTGGCTAGAGAGGATATACATTATTCATAACAAATGCTACTATTCACAGAACATTCTTTTTTTTTTTTTTTACAGTAATACTAAGCACTGAGGAGCATCAACATCAAATTTGAGGGTCGGTTATTAAGACAAATTCAGGCTTTCTGCACTTTGGTCAGTTTTGAAAATTAAGAAAATAAATGGCAAGATTCTTCTGACAGTCATGGGCACATGTTAATATCCCATGGAAATAGATGGCTGCAGCCTGCAAGGCAGCACATCTCATTATCGCTATTGCAGTAGCACTACATTGGGTCCAAATTATGTGAAACATGTTTAACAGCCCAAAATGCTCATTCACACAGCACAATGTGGGACAGTCACTGCACATATTTTATTAAACATTACTCTGCACCCAGTGGTCTTCCAGGCTATTGACCTATCCATTCTTGCACTTGATACAGAACAGGAATGTCAAAGCCTTGGCAAAGGCAAAGTTGAGTAAAAACCAAAGCATCCTGAAGCACACACACAAAAGGGCAACATTTGAATGCTTTTAATCTGGCAAGCTACAGTTGCAAATTGGAACAAATGCTATTCCATGTGCACTCACCAGTAACTGCCTTTGCAACAAAACAGAAAAAAGAAAACCAGCATTGCTTCTAGTATGAGGGACAATGGAATATGGGTCTGATAATGTCGCTAAACCCAAGGAAGTGCACAATGCCGATGCTGTCCCACTCAATGAAAACAGTGAACGCAGCAGAATGTACAGTGCTGACCAAAAATTTAATGGAACATGGGAACCGAGCGTCTTCTCATGGCAGAGCTATCCTGGATGAAGCTAAACAAAGGCTTCTTGACGTAACACTTCGGGATGGTTTGTCGAGTGGTACATCACAAAACTGTTGCTCGGCTGCTGCCAGCATAGCACTCTCATGAGAAGAGACAGTTTGCGTGTTCCATTAAAGTTTGGAAAGCATTGTACACTAAGCACACTGCTTACTGAAGTCAAGTACACAATGAATGTCTGGTATGCGCATGGGAAAACCAGGTGCTCTTGCTGTTGTGCTTCGGATTTTTATGGGCAGAATGATACTCGTGTGAGGCATGACAACTAAATGAACCATCAGTTTGTACACCATCTGGCTTGGTACGCCCACTTCATTGCAGCACATCAGAAGCCTTCTTGATACTGCCTTGTCTCCATCTTGGCAACGAGTACCTCCAGCTGACGCTTGGCTTCACACTGTGGGAAATTTGCCATGTCATAGTAGTTGGGGGCTATCTTTATTAGCCTGAAACAAAAGGAAAAGAAATATACATATATCAGTTAAAATACATATACAAGATCAAAAGAACAAACACTTCATTAAAACATTTTTGGTCATGGCCTAATTAACATCTTATTTTATTTATTTATAAGCACACCTACACTACCTCAAGAGGTAACACAGAAGGGAAAGCACATACACACAAAAGATTTTAAAAAAGCTTAAAACATGCAAAAATTTATGGTGGACTTCGGTCAAATAATTGTAGGAGTTGTTCCCTGTTACATCTGGAGTAAAGAAGTCAAAAAAAAATTTGGGGGGGGGAGCAGTGCACTATAGTTATTTTTTTAACAATTGTCAAACAATTGAAGTTTTGGGCGCCTCCCTACCACTCTCAACTCTTACACCGTCTTCCGAGTCACGTGCGCATTGACGTGTAGCCAACTGCACTGGTGAAAGAGTATCCAGCTGAGTACTCTTTCACAGCCTCCAGCACGCACCGAGTCTGCTTGCGATTCACATGGCGACCTTGAAGGTTGGTCTGACCGATGTGGAGGATGAGAGAGGGGCAAGTGCTAGCCTTGTTGTGAGGAAGTCAGACTGATGTAGTAGTGACGGGGTGAGACTCGAGTTTTGTTTACCTAGGGCAGATGGTGCCACTAAAACTGAATATAGTACAATTTTGTCGATGATATGAGGGTTTTGATGCATTTACTCATGTTGAAACAACAATATTTACAAAAGATAAATGATAGCCTTAGACTGCGCACATAATGGCACTTCTTCCAACTTATTACGATGCACCCAGGTTGGCATCACGCCTTAGTTCCCATGGCCGCCACTTGCGGCTGCAAAGTGCGACATATTCCAGTTTTTCGCTTTGCTATTACCGTATTTACTCGCGTATAGGTCGAAATCGCCTCATCAAAACTGGGGGGTCGACCAATACGCGAATCCCGGTATTATATTTTTCAACTTTTTTTTTTTTTTCGGGGGTCCCGAAGTTAGGGGGTCGACCTATACGACGTATCGACCAATATGCGAGTAAATACGGTATGTCACAAAATCACAATATTTAAAAAGAATGAAGTGGTTTCTCCATTCATTTTGGTACGATAAACAATGTAAAAATTAAAAAAACTGCAAATTCCTTCAAAAATAAAATTGTTGCATCGCCCCTTTAAACATACACTTGCACTTTGAAAAAAACAGCTACAACAATGTTGATTCAACTATATCATTAAGCAGCGTACTCCAGTCTTCAACAGACGGTGGAGAAAAAAAGACCATTTAAAAATGTCAGTTTTGTCTTTAAATGAACTTTTTAAAATTATATTTCCCCTGTGATGCATAAGTAGGCTTTAAAATGTATATAAATTTACAGATACCAGTACAATTGTATAAAAGTATTATGGAAAAGATTGAGATGGACGCATAAAATGTTTCTGACTCGGAGGAGTCCAGTGCAGTGATGACTTAATCTCAGTTATACTGGCTCTGAAATAATATGCTAAAACAAAATCAAGGGAGACGATTCTGTCTTTTCTATCATATCATTTTATCTGTAGGGGTCCCAAATTGCACTCACATATCAAAATATAAGCCACATAGGCAAAAAGTACAAGGTTTCCTTTAATAATACAGGGCAAGCCCCCAACCTATATTTCACTTTATAAATCACAGTGGTGGACTAGCTTTTGCTGTTACATAAACAATATGTTTATTCCACCTTAAAGAGGTACTCCAGCTATTTTTTAGCTACTTCAACTATTATATTTTATAAATCATCGGCCTTTCCCCTTTCCGACATGCTATTTAATATCGCGAAATTCAAAATAGTTTTTGTTAAATCGGCACATAAATATGATACAAAAACCAACATTCAAATATATCCGCGCTTTTTTCAGCGCCATCACATCACTAACAGGCAGGCTCGCAGATCAAGCAGACCGTCTAGAAAACAAGGTATACAGCACATTTGTTTCGGGCTGCTGTGCATTCATTTGACACCATTAAACTTCTTGTAATCAGCTGGAAACAAATTCTGCCCACAGTGAACCCCTGCCTTCTGCCGACAGCACTTTTTCACTGTTGCCAGTAGTGCTTTTCAGTTTGAAAAAGATGGTGAGGACCACAGTTGTAAATTCAACAACCTTGCGGGGATGGGTGTCTCCCCTGTCCTAAAGCATATGCATGCTAAATTTGGTTGTGGTAGGACAATATTAAGGGGAAACACTGGTCTCGGAGCTTTCATCTTTATTGCTTGATGGAACTTAATGAAAGTGCACAAGCTTGTTCAATTTTTCTTGCAGATTGCAAATATATGGCCATTTTTTCAGTCAGTAGTACAATCCTCAAGGTAATTACAACTCACTTGCCTTTGTTTTCAGAAACAATAGAGAAACAGTAAACAAAAAATTTATGTTTAATGCACCATGAAGTATAAAAAATATGTTGGAAGTACTTTTGAGATTAAAGGGAAACTGAAGCGGTTCTGTATTTGAGGAAAAAAAACCTTCAATGGCCTTCATTCGGCCTCCAGGATCACGAATATCGAGATTATTTATCAATTTGGTGCACGGAGGCTGCAGGAATTAATCTTTGAAGTACCGTCGAAGCTGCTGCTCCTCCTCCCCTCCCTCCCTCCCTCCCTCCCTCCCTCCCTCCCCCTCCCCCTCCCTCCCTCCCTCCCCCCCCTCCCCCCTCCCTCCCCCCCTCCCCCCCTCCTTCCCCCCCCTCCCCCCTCCCCCCCCCGAGGCGCGTGCTCTCTCGCATTTTCAGCGCATGTCAAAGCTATGCACGTGCACTCTTGCTATTTTCAAAGAGGTCGGAAAGAGACCACGACTGGTGTCAGCGCGGAAATAGGTTGGGATGGGTTAGGTTACCAGCATTCAGGAACGAGAATGTTTTTTTCTTCCACCCATCCGACGGTTGCTCATGCCACCTGTACCCGTGCCGTGTACTTTACTAGGACGAGATTGAATGTTGCCAACCAAGCTCTCGTTTCCCGCTAAATCTAGCGTAGCCGCAAACTTTTCTTTTTAGTTTTTGCGTTACTTTGGCGCAGTGTGGCGCAATTTCGACCAATTTCGCGTTTTTGGCGCAACTACTGCAGAATACCATGCATCCATCCACACCACACTAAGCGCCCATTCCTAAATTTGCAGGATCTGAGAAAATACACACAGTACAATTATATGTAAAATTGATGACTGGAGAAGGGCCCATCCCCCATTTTTTTTTTGCGATTATCTCCAAAGTTTGAGTGGGCGCTTGTCCAGTAGACACAGAAGATTAGGTTTGTATCAAAATGGCACAATTGGCGCAGATGTCACACCCCTGTATTATGAATTGATATTATATCACTAATATTGATCCACAAAATTAGAAACTTGGCAAAATAACGGTAGGTATTAAAATCCCCATTTAAAAAAACATTTTTAGGAAAATTTTGGCAACAAAGACCCATGTCCCCCCTTCAGAACAAAAATTATTGTGTGCAAACTATTAAATTTTCTTGAGAATTTAAAGCTACCGAGGAATGCGGCGGAGAGAAGACAGCTAGGCCTACTTCTTGAAATAAATATGAAAGCGGGAAGCACCATAATTTGAAGAATCGCACACACAAAAATAGCTTAAATTAATGCCTTTCTGGGTCGCCGGGAGTCCTTCAAGTGTGTATTTGACTAATTTTAAGATCATATTCGGTGCTTATTATTTTATACATAAAATATGAATATGAAAAGTCAAAGATAATAAAATGCCCCAAAAGACGAAATCACATCTTTACAAAACATTTCCATTTTTTTTACTTGCATTTTCCCTTAAATCGGATATAAAACAACCTTTTACATATTCAGTATCAGTTGAAAGTGCAACTGATCAACCACCAATTGTGAATGTTGTGGAAAGAATGTTAGATTTTCGAGTGAACCTCACATCTTGCGAGGTTCACAAACTCTCAGTATAAACGGCTCTGCCTTTTGCCAGAGCCGTTTATACTTAGAGAGTTTGGCCAATGGGCAGAACTTGTTGCCTGCTAAAACCAGCGGATTTCGTGATAATACAAAATGGTGTTACTTTGTATTTTTTACTCCTGAGAAATTGCATGGAATTTCTACGAGTCAGAGCCCCAAAATGGCGGACGGAAGTAGTCATCCCCCCCTTTGTCAGACTCTGCTGCTGTGGTTGCCAGGCTGTCAAAATCTCAACCCTTCGTTGACAAATGTTCCCTGCAGGCAACAACATCGTTTCAATTGTTTAATAGGTTGCTTTGTCACATTCTTCAAATCTAGTAGTCTGGCAACATTCTTGAATATTGAAACTACAGTGCCATCTAGTAAAAAAATATGCAAATAGTTGATGAAAAAAAAAATAGTGTTGGCACCAAAAATGCGTTGACCAAGAATGGAGGAAATCCATAAAATATGGATAAGTGTTTTTCTTTTGCCACTAATATTTTACGATAGGTGACCGTTTTATACTTGAGGCTATCGCATGCACAGATGTTAGTGATCCATAGAGGTTATGCAAGGGAGCCACTTTCTGACTTTCACCTTGTGTTGCCTACAGGCAACAAAGCTATTGGCGCCGTATGCAAACTACAGGGGGCGCTTCTCTAGCTATCATCATGATCATTTGTGACGTCACAGGTAGGACAGACTGGGACAGACCGCGCAGATCTTTGATCCTTCGGCTTGTCAGCTTGCTTCATGCACTGTTTGGGTAACATGCGGGAAAGTCTGTTTCACGCGTTGTGCTTATTTGGCGAAGTGATGCTTGAAGTAGGATATTTTACCAAAGTTTGAAACCGCATGTGGCACGTGTAGTCGTGCCAACAAACACTTTTGGTGCTCAACAAACACTTTTGGTGCTGAGGTGTCGAAGCGCTCGGATGGTGGTGTACTGTTCTCTACCCCAGTACAAAAAGCTTGATGATGAAAATAGAATATCCAGCACATTATCCCAGTACAAATCTACCACGGCGAATAGGATGTATTTTTTATTATGACTTGGATAAGGAAAGCAATGTCTCAAACTGAAAATAGAAAAGCGAAATTCGAGAACCTCTCACGTGTGTAGTAAACACTTTAGTGAAAGCGACTCCATGTGTCCTGTTGGTTCTAATGTGTTCTATGAGCGTTGGTCTCATTAGTTCCGAGTTGATTCCTTTATTTTGCAAACCAGTAAGTAAACAAACATTTCCACCAAATAACTGGCAGGAAGAAGCGGTGGCCGGCTTCCAGAGTCGTTTCAACTAAATTCCTGCTTATTAATCCGATCAATGCAAAATGTATGAGACCTCCCTCGCGATCGAGGTCTTAAATCTAGTACGTTAAAAAAAAAATGAGGAACACACTTGCTATGAATTACTATCGTTCGTATGTTAAAATTTTGCACACCCAAATGCGCATAATGCGCGATGCACTTTTCAGCCGAGCGATTACAAATTTGTAAACAATTCTTAGTAGAAAGAGGATAGAACAAATTAGTCAATTGCCTGAATTGGCTGGGGCATGGCCGACAATTTAAGAATTTAGGAAATATAATTTTTGTTTCAAGCAAAAGTCGCAATGTCACTAACTTTTTGCCACATATTTGATTTGGGAGGAGCTAAGCGTCAGCTGATGAGCATTTGCTTGGCAGCGACTGTCGAGTCACTTGGATAAAAGTGTCGGTATCGGCAAGCTCAATGTAGCTAAAACAAGTGTGCAGCGCTTTGCAACACAACTGCGTGCACATGCAGAGCTAAGATGACAGCACATCATTTACTCTGGTAAATGCATCCTTCTTTTTTGTACTGGGGTAGAGAACTTTTTTCTGCAGCAGCCTCCATGGATCCGAAAAAACAAGAATCAGAGAAGCTGTGAATAGCCCTAATGCACTCTGCGCAAGCTGTAACGTGAAGCTCCAGGCTTGTTTTCAAACATTTTAAAGTTTTTTTTAATATGAAAAGCAACTTTGAGGCACTGTTTTTCATTAGAAAAATCACTTACAAAAATGTCATACACGTTTCCCTAATAAATGAACCACTTTTAATCGGCATAGATGCAAACTAACATAGCCAGTCCGTGCTTTGACCTAGCGCGTCGTCTGCCTGCTCGCATCCTCCCGGCTCCGTCATAGGAGGGTGCCCGCAAGGTGACGCCACCAAAACATCCCATCACTAATAACTGGCCAATTCACCTCACGTTTTTTTTTTAGAGCGCAGCTCTTAGGGGCCCGTTCCCGGCTTGAGCGGCGTCGCCGTCGGCGTCGGCGTAACCGCAACCCTCGTAACCCTCGTGAGGGTTACGAGGGTTACGAGGGTTAATCTCATGAGGGTTACCCTCACGAGGATCACGAGGGCCACGAGGGTAACTAACCCTCGTAACCCTCGTAACCCTCACGAGGGTTACGGGGGTTACAAGGGTTAGTTACCCTTGTAACCCTCGTGAGGGTTACAAGGGTAACTAACCCTCGCGAGGGTTACTTACCCTTGTAACCCTCACGAGGGTTACGAGGGTTAGTAACCCTCGTGAGGGTAACCCTCATGAAGGTAACCCTTTTGAGGGTTACGAGGGTTAGTAACCCTCGTGAGGGTAACCTTCACGAGGGTTACCCTCACGAGGGTCACGAGGGTTATGAGAGTTACCCTCACGAGGGTTACGAGGGTTAGTTACCCTCACGAGGGTCACGAGGGTTATGAGAGTTACCCTTACGAGGGTCACGAGAGTTACCCTCACGAGGGTCACGAGTTTCCCTCACAAGGGTTACTAGGGTTACCCTCACGAGGGTCACGATGGTTACCCAGGTCGTGACCCCCCCTGGGGTCACGTGACCTGGGGATACCCCCCGAGGTCACGTGACCCCCCCGTTGACGTCATAGGCACTGATGACGTCGTCAGTGACGTCACTGATGACGTCACCGGCATCCGCATCGTCATCGTCATCATCACTGATGACGTCATTAGTGACGTCACTGATGACGTCACCGGCATCCGCATCGTCATCATCATCACTGATGGCGTCATCAGTGACGCTACTGATGACGTCATCGGTATCGTCACGTGGCCCCAGGTCACGTGATCCCCCGACGTCACGTGACGCCCACAAGGTCACGTGACTCCCACAAGATCACGTGACCCACAAGGTCACGTGACCCCCAAGGTCACGTGACCCCCAAGGTCACGTGACCCCCCCGCCCCCCCCGAGGTCACTTGACCCACCCCCCAGTACCCTTCCCTCCTCCTCCTCCTCAAGAGCTGCGCTCTAATTCGGCGTTACAGGGAGTTGTAAACGGCTTTTTTTTTTTATTTCTACTGTGTTCTTTTATTTGATCTTGTTGAACATTAATATCTTTAAAAAAATTAATGTTTTAAGAAATTCCTGTATATCTCATCAATAAAGGGTTAAAAAGGCCAAACTCTCTCAGTATGAATGGCTCTGCCTCTTGCAAGCAATGAGTGCCATCTGGGGAGCTGTTTGCTAACTACAAATGAAGGGCAGCCCAACGCGCCTCTGCCGGTCAAACACACTGGCATTCTGCCGTTGTATCGGTTTTAATTGGTTTTTACTAATACTCAAGAGAAAATCAAAAAGACAAAATATGCGCAAAGATAGACGCAACATGCTGGTTGTGTGGAATGGTGCCCTCTGAAAATGGCGACAGCGAGAAGCAAGGCCAGGAAAGAGGGTGTATGCATGTGCAGAAGCTTGCTAGAAAGAGGTCCATTCTTTATTCCATCCGAGCTGAATGAGTCGTTATCCGAATGGTGTGAGCAGGCTTTGCTCACACCAGATATAGGGAACGTCTTTCTGAGGTGCAAAAATGTCGCCACAGTCTCAAAGACAATCAGATTGAGCATAGCCATCCACCTCTTCAGAAATCTGTGCAGAATATGAGAATCTTCTGCAGAGAGCTTAAAGTACAATCTGTGCCCAAGTGCTAAAGCCCAGATGTCTACCGCAGAGATACTGCAGGTTGGCTCTTACCACTCTGGCTTGATGTCAGTGACGGTGCGGATGTAGTTCTTGGTGGTGAGCACAAACTCGTTGTAGACCACCCACTCGGGCTTGTGGTCCAGGCATGTTGATGGGTGCAGCTGCACCACTTGGTTGTCCTTGATGGTCAGGTAGTGGCCTGTTCGCTCCAGGTGAGCCACCTGCATAAGACAAAACAGACCCTTATGATACCACTTATGCACCTGACGTGTGCACTCCACAAAACTCCCCAAAATGGCTATTTAAACTGAAATAGTGAACAGTAAGAAATGAGGTCCAGTGCATGCCCCCCCAGCTCTAAAAATACAAAATATACCTTGTAGACAAAAACTATGCATTTGTGTGACAGAGAGGCCCACAATGTGAATCTCGGACGTACCAAACTCTCATTTCGCGGTGGATTTGTCTGCCTCTTGAAGGCTAATCTAGAGTGATAGTCTCATATAATGTATGAAATATTGGCCAATGTATTTAAAAGAGGATGCATTCATCTCTCTGCTCGCCTGTAGACTCTCAGAATGCAAGCACAACGCAATTCAATCAGTTCAGCAATTATCCAAAAACATTCTTTATGGATAAACGCAGCTTCAAATGCATCCCTGCCAATTTCAGGCCTAACAACATTAAAGGGATGCTGAACCAAAATTTGGATCTCACAAAATAAGCTTGCAGAAGTGTTCCCCCCCCCCCCCCCCCCCCCCCCCAACAGGGTGCCATAAACTATGAAACATCGCTCATATAGCCATATCTCGAGCGGATAGTCGTATTTTTGGAAAATAAAGGAGCGAATGAAGGAGAATGTTGACGTCACCTTTTATTTATTATCTTTTTTTTCAGTGCCTACCAACGGTCAGAAGCCTAGGACGGTAAAGCACCAAGTCATATTACAAAGGTGAAAACGACAAAACAAATAAATCCAGAAAATGACCCGACGACAATGCACTAAATCAGATTGTCAACGCTTTTCTTGAATGATGTGATGTCATCATTAAGGCAGGTATCAACATGATTAAAATAGTTCTGTATGCAAACTACAGGAGAGAAACAATGCATAGGATTAAAGGACAAACGTGCGGTTGTTGCAAAAATGTCCAACAGACATTTAGATTGATGCAAGACACAATAAAAGGACAGTCATAATACCCATGCAGACACTTGAACAAAAATATGAGATCACATCTGCTGCATCTTGTTTTTAACTCCACCAATCCTAAGCGATTAAGCACATTCACATATGAGTAGGGCTTGGATAGGTCTTGTCTTGCGAGAAAACATATGTGCAAATCGTTTTTGGGCACACTCTAACGTCGCTGCAGCAGTGGCACTAAGGATGTTCCAGACAACTGAAGTAAAGTCTAATTTGGGCAAAATAAGGCTTCTGTACAATACAAAAAAAACAACAAAAAAACATAAAAGGTAGCGAAACACAAAACTAAGGCGAGTAACAATGCCCAACATTTTAAAGGGCAACTCCACTCAATTCCAAAGATTTCGGGATAATGAGTGATTTCGAATTAAAAAGCCCTAGTAAAAGACACTACGTCGTTTGCTTCGCGAAAAATAAGATATATATTTTTAAATCTAATTTTAAACAAGCGGAAATCGAAACCGAAACTTCGGCTCCGTCTGGCAAGTACCTACCATGTACTTGGCGGCCTGAGGCAAGCCTCGGGCCGCCAAGTACATGGCCATCACACGGTATGAGATGTCACGTGATCCTCGGCCCAACGACGGGCGGGATGGGGACGGCGGGAGTGCGGCAGGCGCGAGTGTCGTCTGCATCGCACTCTTCGCCACGTCTTGGTGTCTACGGCATTTGACGACTTCTACACAACTGCGGCATAAGTCTGCGACTCTGCGCACGTGGTGTCCATAGTGTGGACGAAACTCCGAGAGGCAATAATCACAAACGGTGAGACGACGTCATGCGCTACGCTCGATCGGAAAAGTAAAAACAAGCAAAAGGGGGCCATGATGATGACGTTTAGCTCAATGTTGGCTCCGCCCATGCCGTAGCCTTGACTGCGCTGTTGGTTGCGCCTGAATTCGCCCGCTCGAGTCAGCCGATTTCGGCAACTTGGCGAGTTGCAAAGTTTGCCGGACCGTTTAAGAAACATTTAGACAGAACAGCGTCGTAATATTTGACGTGTGGTCTTCCAAAAACGATACTAAAGAGGACTGCATTATTTAATCAAAACCAAAAATGAAGTGGAGTTGCCCTTTAAAAGAGGTTGACAGGATCATTCCAACATGACTGTTGAAGTTCAGCTTTTCATCTAGCATAACGTCAAGATCCCGCACAACCGACACACGTTTAACAAGAGTGTTGTCTAGACAGCAATCAAAAAGAACAGGAAGGGTTTTGCATGTGAATGAAAGGACCTGCGTTTTGCGAAGATTTAGGTCAAGCTGATTATCTACACGCCATGCACATATAGCATCGATGTCGATTTGCAGCAAGGCGCAGTCATGAAGACATTGAATTTTGCAATATAGCTTCATATCGGCAGCGGACAGGGTGGAGTACTGTATCACTTCATGAATGTCATTAACAAACACATTAAAAAGTAAAGGACCTATATTTGAACCTTGCGGCACTCCGAAGGGGAACCGACCCCGTGGGAAATGCAGTTTAGTCTATCTCAAAGATAGCTAGAAAACCAAAAACAGTAACAGACACTTAAACCATGAAAAGATAATTTACGAAGTAAGATTTCATGACTAACACGATCAAAGGCCTTACTGCAATCGAAATAGACTGTATCAGTTTGTTCACGACAGGAAATGCTTGGTGCCACGTCGCTCAGGAAAGTGGCAAGGTTAGTTGCAACGAAACGGCAGCTCATAAAGCCATGCTGATTCTCAACTATGACTCTTTTGAAGATGCTAGACAGATGCATGTGTACAACTTTTTCAAAAACTTTAGAGAATGCCGGTAACAAAGAGTAGACACAGAGGCAGGGTTTCTTGATTTCAGTAACGGAACCAAAACGCCTTTCTTCCAAGTGCTCGGAAACACAGAATGTTTAAAGGCAATGTAAATATGTGAACAAGCAAAGGAGAAAAAACATCTGCACAGCCTTTTACAATGAACGAGGGGATACTGTCGTGACCACAAGACTTCTTGGGAGGAAGCTCATAATATTGACTAAAATGTCATCAAGCATAATGAGGGGTGGTGCGAAATCTTATCGCAGAAGAGTTGAGAAGGAGGAGAAATGGCCTCGCTCCCTTTCCTATTCGTGCCCTCGCGGTGTCGAAGCAAAAAGAGGAGGAAATGAGAATTGCGAGGTCACGCGTCTTTCCGGCCTTGCGCGAGCGCGCTTTCTTTTCCAGAAATACAACAATCCGTTGGAGATACCGCTTTACGAGTGACGTTTTGGGATTTGTATTGTCCCAGCTATCGATTCTGCGTTGTTTAAGAGGAGGAAATGAGAATTGCGAGGTCACGCGTCTTTTCGGCCTTGTGCGAGTGCGCTTTTCTTTTACAAAAATACAACAATCCATTAGAGATACCGCTTTATGAGTGACGTTTTGGGATGTGTAGTGTCCCGGCTATCGATTCTGCATTGTTTTCCGAAATTCGATTTTCGGTTCAGCATCCCTTTAAAGGAAGTAGGTGGCCAAATGCTCAGAAAGTGTGAGAAAAAAAAGCCTTACCTGCATGAAAAAGCCTGACACAAGGGTCTTGCGGATGTTGACGTAGTAGTCCTTGCTGGTAAACTCTGTAGAGGTCCGCCGCAGGTTGAAGCGGTCCATGATGCGGGACAGCTGTTGCCGCACGTTGTCGGCGCTCTTCATCGACCGGTAGTTGACAAAGTTGTCGTAGCACCACTGGGTGTCTTCATGGTCTGCGTAAATAGAAACAAAAGATTTAATATTTAAACAGCTAGAAACAGGGAGAAATCTATGGTAATGAGGCCTATTATTTGAATTAGTGCAGGGGAAAGGATACGAACCAAGGGAGAAAAACCAAAAGCTGCTTATAGTCTTTCATGAGCGGGCAGCTTCGAGACACTCGATGCTACCCGTTTGCGCTACTTGGACGTTCTGTGGGGCTGACTGGTGAAAGAAATGTAATAGCATTTAAAGGGGTCATGAAACAATATCAGGTTGGAATGTTCATGACTTTACAGAGGCGTACTGGTCCTAGCCTGGCCCAAGTATACACGCACGGACCGCCACTGATTCAGAAGCTTCTTGGTCGCGGTGAAATTGCGAGGATAAAAGTAAAGGGGACTAGCATTTCTTTCAGTCTCGCCTTTGCAAAGCTTGACGACGCAATTGTGGGATCGAAACCACCTGCCTCATGACAGTCGAGCATGGCTCATGGATTGGACATGAGAGCTGCGTGAGCACTCGATTTCGGCTCGTAACAATTAATGCCTCAGCGAACACTTGGGTAGTCACTAGTGTCCAACAACTGCGGTGATACGAATAGCCGAACTCTAACAACGCATGGAGCTCAGCACACGTTTTCTACTCCCAAAACCCCAGCGCGTGGCTATGATTAACGTTGGCGGCATAAGATACGCATCAGATCACGTAGCTGCTTGTTCTGGCTCAGAGTTGAGGGGATGAATGATGCTCATATTTCTGAATTTATTTGCCGACTGCTATTGCTTAGAAAGAAAAAATGAGGAAAGTTCATTTGGTTATTAACGTCAGCGAGTGATTCTGACTAGTACCCTATTTAGCGAAAGTTGAAAAAATTGTTTCGTGGACCCCTTAATAACCACCACTTCACAAGTCTGCCCCTTTTGCAATGTTTGTGCGTCGGGCTCACAATTTTGGGTTTATAGGTTCAATTCCCCGAGGATGACATTCGGAAGTTTCTCCTCTCTTCTCAATTTATCTACATATCACTCCTGTGCTTGCACATTCGTTTTATATTACAAATTCAGCTTTTCCTTGACACCTCTGCATAAGCAGAGGTGTCAAGGAGATTTCAAACCTTCTGCTCGTAAGCTTTTCTCAGCCTAGGACAACGGTCAAGTTGGCCCTTATCCGCTAGAAAAAGCAAAATATTTTAATCATTCCAAAGCGCCCAGAATTCACTTTCCTCTTCCTTTGGTAAGTTGTGTCATTGATGTAGTAGAACCTTTCATACAAAGACCCATCTCTTTTTGTCAGACTAGAGTTAGTTTGCAGGCATTTGGAATCAGGTGCACAATGCTGTCTCCTTGAGTTGCAATCATTTTTTTGAATCTGCAATAGACTACTTCCATAAAGCCCTGCATGCAACACGGCGCTCGTTGCACTCTGGGAACTAGTTGGCCAGGGAGGAGAGTGGCATGGCTTCGGTTTCGATCGACATGTCGACAAGAGGTCACACACAGAGCGTGGACTATTAACGGCCACTATCTCATGCTTTCTGGTCCCGAGAGCGTCATTTGTGGTCTCTAAACTAACCTAAATGGCCAGACCTCGAAGCTTTAGCACAAGCCCGAGACTTATAGCTTGTCTCAACGCATGCTTGTTGTATTTTTGTACTTGAACCTTTCTGTTAGTGTTTCGAGGCATGGTGGACGAGCCAGTGCTGGAAATTTCGACGCTGCGAAGCTCGGGGATCTTGCTTGTGTGCGAATCAGCAAGCTGTAGCAACCAATAAGTATGCATACATTGAGCTCGAGCCTTTACATTAGTATTGTTGATCAGGAAGTTTCTTTCATGCATCCATAGATGAAATATAACTTTTTGCGATTATCGTTTTTCTTAATACGCCTGAGTATGCGAGGTAAAACTCAGAGGCACCATTAAAAAGCTCCATTTGAACACAATTCTCATCTCTTATCTGTACTGCCCCGCAGCACTGCACGAAGTGATTGAAGTTTCCACCCGCTTGCATTCCACTAATATTCAACATTGCGTATGCGCATAAAGTTATCCTGCAATCAAATAGGCACATTCACACATACAAACAGTTTTAAGAAAGCAAAAGTCCAGCACTTGTGATAGGAATGTCGCACCATTCGCCGGAAGTGCGCGCTGCGCCAAACTAACGAAATTTAAAGTACAATTGACGGTTGCTAATGGCTATAATATTTGTTATGTGTTTGCAGGGATGGGAAAAATACATGCAATTATGTATCGAAATACAAATACAAAATACTTCGTCAAAAATGTATTTAATTACAAATCTAATTACATTTCCAAAAAAGCATTTAAGTACAAGATACAAATACAACCAAATGTATTTGGTCTCCTCCATATACTTTTCCAAATACATTCCTCAAAATTTGCGTCAGCGACTTCAGGGCACCTGCAACGGGTTTCTGGGTATCTCATTTTAATTTCGCATCGCACACTGGGGAGTTAGTGTGCGAGGCTCTAGTAACGTAATAGAAATATTATCACAAAAAATGTAATCAGCTTGGACGTAATAGTTGAAAAAAGTAAAGAGCTTCAAGCAGCTTTTTTTGTCGATTACATTTTGGTATAATCCAACAAAGAACCGACGACCAAGACGTGCAGCACTAGCTAGAGAATTTTTTATTGTTGCAACTCGCACCAGTTACGAAAATCTGGACGATCCACGCATTTAGGATGTTCCAGGCAAAAATATGGATGGAAATCAGGCTGGAAAGCATCACAAGTTGTCACAGGCACTCATTTAGCCAGTCTGCCTGTGAACGTCGACTTCGTCACTATTCTTGCCCTGGACTAGCACCGTAATCACAAAGTCATTAAACGCTTGTGCTTGATTGAGAGTCACTGTATTCGGTGCAGAACATAGCTTTCTTCCTACTCTGGACAGTGACAATAAATTTGAGGGATATATTTTCACCCACAAAATTGCATTTAATTACAATTGTATTTGAAATACCCATGTTTTAGTATTTAAATACACACATCAATTACATTCCCCAATTTGTAATTAAATACAAATGCAAAATACACAAAGTATTTAAAATAAGTATTTCAAATACTTGTATTTGAAATACTGCCCATCCCTGTGTGTTTGCTTTCTTCTTGACTGAGTATTCCGAGATAATTTCACACACACCGTTCAGGCACAGATATTGGGCGTCAGAAAAGCTCATCCAAAAAGGCTTATCGAGGAGTAGGGGACGCTTGTTAGGGCCTCTGTCGTAGCAAGCCGATCTCAGTGTTTGCGAAAACTTAATCTTCTATCAGCATAAAATTTGAGTGTGAGATAGATACCACGAGGAAGACATCATAGTAACTTTTGTGCAGTAGTGAGGTTGAATTTACTGCGTTTCCTTAAATTCATGCGCCCACGCTGGGCTCAACTTTGATAATCCTGTGAAGATACGGCTTGCTTTTCGCCCACTGAAGTAACAAGAAGCGGACGTTTGGCAAACAAAATATGTGTAGGGCTCAAGGTGACCAAATTTCAGTTGTAGTTCACTGGTACTAGACGGGATTACTGACATTGAGCTCAAAGATGCACTCGTGGGGTGAGGTGACTAAGGCACATCTTACTACATTTTCGGGAACCAAGCAAGGTCTTCGTTTTGTATCGCTCGAGAATGAGTGTATTGTACATTCATAAAAAGTTAGATAATCGAAAACGCAATCAGCATGTTTGGTCGCGGCGTGATAGCATGAGATGAGCCTGCTCATTCGAAACCGAAACCGAGTGGCCAACTAGTTCCCAAAGTGCACTGCGTGGTACTTCGCCACGATGGGGCACATCTGTTTTGGAAGAAGTCTATTTAGATTTGTTCAAAACAACCCAAAAGTGCCCGAAAGAATGTGGATATTTGATATTCCACTTTAAGAATGATCCTCAGCTAACCTTTGAGGCCCTTTCATCTATCTGTACCTTTCTGCACAACAACAGAATTATTTTAGACAATCAACTGGTGCAATGACATTGCCATTTTAATGCGAAACGTTTTTTGGCTAGGCGTTCCGCATTTCGTGAAGCCCAGATAAAGGCGTGGCCACGAGGCTCGACACTGGTGAGCGGGGAGGAAGAAGCTATTGCAGTAAAAAAGTGTTTGCGCCAGGCGGAAACCGAACCCAGACCATTTAGATTACTGTCGAGACCGGTTATAACAAAGTCAATGGGAATTGGAAATCACTTCGCTATATCCGCTATTTCGTTATAACCAACTTCGGTTGACAAAGTGCAAAAGGGAATGGGAAATCGTGATCGCTTCGCTGTAGCCGCTATTTCGTTATAACCGACTTCGTAATAACCGGCCTTGACAGTAGTAAGCGAGTGTCTTTCCAGCATGTCACAACACAATGCCATGAGCTGAGGTGCCATTTGGCGGGAAAGCCCTGCGTGGCATCCGCTCTACATCCAGCAGATAGCAGCTTGACACCCTGTCACACATTTTAACATGAAACATTCTTTGGCTATGTGTTCGGCATTTCATGAAGACTTAATAAAACCGTGGCTGCAAGGCTCGACACCGATTGGGTGAGGGGTGGGAGAGGAGGAGTGAGGTGCTCAACGATAAACCAGAGGTTTAGGCGAGAAGGAGCTCGACCACATGTGTGCACAGTAAGGGAGAGGAGCTCGAGTGTATGGAAGGCTCTGGAAAATCGCCAGGTTTATCTGCCCGATTAGAAGTAGTATCACTTCATTCTAGGAACAACTATCAAGTGTACACATGGTATAAACTACCTAATGAAACGGAAAACAAACATAAAAAAAAAAAAAAATCGAAAAAATGAAAGCCTGTTGCATAGAAAAAGTGTGAGACAATGTTGCATAGTTGGATGGTGAGTCCATGTAATACATGGGCATGTTTCCAATTATAAATATATTATTTAGAGGTGCCGAAAAATAAATTCATCATCCTTTGCTTCTCAGATGAACATCCTCCATTTAAAGCATACCTGCCAACATGTAGACTTTCAAATTCGTAAAACTCCAAAGGTCACGGAAAGGAGGGGGGGGAATAGGAAGAGGCAGGCACTTATCCCTGCTGTTAACGCGAAGCGATATGCAGCTTAATGTCAGCCTTGCCGCTGTGCGAAATGCTTACATCACACGTACACGTGCGACAGAATCCAAACTTCTCTCCCTTCTTGGATGGCACAAAGCACGGGAATTTTAACGTGTAGGATTTCAGGAACATCTGAAAGTACCTCTTTTGAGGTTTGGAGTTCGCCATTGCGCCACGAAGCCACTGCGACAAGGGAACTGCTATGATTATACGTGCAACAAACACAGACACCGGTCTGCTTGCCACGTAACTGGCCGAAACAGCGAGGCCCAACACGCCAAACCAACGTGCGTTGCCGAACACATGAACAAGCAAGGAGGTTATAAGTACTAGAAGGGGGCACGTTGCAATATGTGTGAAGTTTAGTCATAAAATGTTTAAACGATGTTGTGCCCAGCGTGACCCTCAGATCTCTCTGGCAATTGGTGCGCATGACATGTCACGTGCGAGGTGGACGGTTGATTGTAGTAGGATTCCTTGCAGGCTTGCATGCGCTCCGTGCAGAAGGTTTTTTCAGATAGAAGGCTAGACGTGAAGCAAGCAGCTCCGTTCGGTAGGTCATGTGCTAGGCCGATAAGTGAGGAGAGTAAGGAGGAAAATGAGAAAGAGGCGAGGCATCAAGAGAGCTTGGCTTGTGGAGTCTACACGGCTGACGTCATGCCCCCTCCTACCCTTTTAATCTCCTTGTGAACAAGCCACTATACATGAACAAAGGCTTTCGGCTTTGGATTGGTTTTGGATCCGTGGTAACCGGACAGACGAAGAGTAAAAACCACGACGCTGCCTTCGACGGTACCTATCGCCTTCTTATGGCGGTCCAAAATACCGCCAACAACTTTACAAAAAAAAAATTAAAAATAAAATTTGAGGCAAGATTTGAAAAATCGTAAAATGAGTCTCAATTCATACATTTTACGAAAAATTCGTAAGAGTTGGCAGGTATGTTTAAAATGTAAGAACTACACAGAGTGAAAATAGCCACACAACTCAAAACCAGCACATCAGCTAAAAACCTAAAATTCTGAATTTCGAGTCAACAGAAGTGAAAACCCTGAAAAACAACCTTCAAGTTTCCCTAAAAAAAAACTCCTCAAAAGATTAACCCATAAAGAAAACAGGTAGGTAGATATACACAAAGTGAGAACTGAACTGTGCAAGAGTTTCTAAATTCATAAAAAAACGAAACAAAAAATGACCGCATCTCCACGTGGTGAATGCTGTGGAATGGGGCGAAGCTCTGGTGGTGCTGATGATACTGATTTTGTCCATAGGTGTGCTGAGTTTTTTTTTATTGCTCAAAGGTTCCGGGTTGCGTTTCGACTTCATCCATGTCAGAAAGCGAGTGTGTGGTATAGAACGTGGTTATATACGCATTTGAGCATTTGACCGCAGCGCCCTCTCGTCTATAAACGTTTGCGCTTGTCCGTGTTTACTCGCTTGTAATTGTCCCCTGTGTCGCGCAAAAAACCTCTATACTGCATCATGAACCAACTAGGCCAACAACAAGTTTTAGTTGAGCTAATGCATGCAAAGTTTAACGCGATTATATATGCATTTGACCGCAGCGCCCTCTCCTGTATAAATGTTGAGCAACTACATGCAACGTTTCATCCATGATATCCCCAGCTCTTGAGTTACTACCACATCTCAGAGCCCCCTACTCGTCCCGCAGTCGTGGCCGAGTGGTTAAGGCGATGAACTAGAAATCCATTGGTGTCTCCAAGCACAGGTTCAAATCCTGTCGACTGCGCAAACATTCAAACATTTTTTTTTCTTCTTTTTTTTAAGAAGCCAGATGGGATGGCAATCGATGTGAGCACGGACGCCGGACGGACAAGGCTAGACCCTAAGGAGCTTCGCCCCTAAAAAAAAAACATAAAAGGCACAAGGACCTGGCACAACAGCTTTAGATCGACACTTGTTTAATCGTGCCCTTCTTTCTGAGCTGTAACATCCAGTCCTTGGCCTTCCTAAAGTTTCTTTCATAAACAAGAGAGGTTAATGATGTGCGCTGCCCATTTCTGCCTAAACCGAGCAGCTTATGCACGAAGCTGAAGCGAGGGGCAGCCAGCCTAGAGAGGCCTAGAGTGGAAGACAGGAGTCACTCACTCTGCTTGAAGGCATGGTACACGTTGAGCAGAGTCAGGTGGTCGCCATCGATGTGAGCAAAGCGCATCTTGGACTCGTCGGCTGCCTTCTTGGCCTCGTTGGGACGCACAAAGCACTGCGGAACTGAACAGTGTCGGATGGGGGGGCCGCAGACGGCACAGGCGCAGCCCCACATCCACCGCTGCTTAGTGGACACCAAAAACAGTCCCCGACCCGAGCCCCTCATGCCCCACCTAAGGAGCCTAGGAGCCCCCACGAAAACCCTTAGCCCCCCGCATACTCAAGAACATGTGAGTGCCTCATGCTCCAGTTCTGCAGGGGGCAGCTTTAGCAATTTTCTAAGTAAACTTTCTGGCAGACAATTATAGAGGAGGCAGAGCCCCTTAAACTTCTGGTGATTACTGGCGTTGCCTGGCTAAAACGATTCAAGTCAACGCAACTTGGGCAATGTTGAACGCAACTTGGGCAACGTTGAAACACATTTTTTCCCTAACTCTCGAGGCCCTCGAGGCCAAATTTCAATACAGACAAAACTTAAGTACTTTTAAAGCGCAGCTCCTAGGCACCCGTTTCTGTGTATAGCGGCGTCATCGTCGGCGTAGCCGCCCCGCTAAATTTAGCAGAAAATTGAATTGGTGTCGAGGTCATATGTCGTCAATTTTCCCGCTAAATCTAGCGGAGAAACTGAATTTGTTTATGGGTGACGTGACACAAAGTCATAAGATGTCATTCTCCCCGCTAAATTTAGTGGGGAAACTGAATTGGTGTTGAGGTTACGTGGCATCAATTTTCCAGCTAATTTTAGCAGGGAAACTGTGGGAGGAGGGGAAGAGAGGGTATGCAGGAGGAGGAAGGGAGGGTATGGAGCAGGAGGGGAGAGAAGAAGGAGGAATAGGGGAGAAGGAGGAAAGGAGGAAGAGAGGGTATAGAGGACAAGGAGGACATACCCTCCCCTTTGTACCCTTCCCTCCTCCTCCTCCTCAAGAGCTGTACTCTAATATTGCATGACAGAGATTTGTAATCATGTTTCATTTTTTGTTTTGTAATATAAGTTGCCCAGTTAAATCCTCTTATCTATTTTGAAAAAGAAATCAATAGTCACTTATTTGCATAAACTCCAGCCTCAATATAGGTCATCTATAATAATACAAGGTATACTGAAATGTTTGCACAGGTAAAATTAAAATTAAATGCATTTGCAATGAAATTCAAAGGAATATGTCACATAATATGCTTTTTTTTTTTTTTTAATTTGTAATGCAATTTATCTTTTGTTTTACTTCCATTCACCAGTTTCAATTTTGTGAAACAAGACAGACATTGTGTTTTCTCATTCTGAGCTAAACAAAGGTGTCATTGTTAGTGTTGCCTCCACTAAGACCCAAAGGCAGAACAAGAACTAAAATATAGTTAGCACAATGTCAATATTCCGCCAACGAGCTCAACCTTGCAAGTTAACACCCTTCTTGCTATTTTAGCGACAGCAGTGTCGGTTACTTTTGGTATGAAAACTAATTTAAACCTGTTAGAAAACTTTCTACGCTAGTTTTATTGTACTTTATTGGTTTCAATAAGTCTAATTTATATTTCAATTTTTTTTTTTTTTTTTAATAAAGCAGAGTTTGAATTACAGGGGGTTTCCTCACATAGAGATGCATAGGATGGGACCTGCATGTAAGTTTGAATTATCCGCAAGCAGGGATGGGCAGTATTTCAAATACAAGTATTTGAAATATGTATTTCTAATACTTTGTGTATTTTGCATTTGTATTTAATTACAAATTGGGTAATGTATTTGACGTGTGTATTTAAATACTAAAACGAGGGTATTTCAAATACGATTGTAATTAAATACAATTTTGTGGGCGAAAATACATCCCTCAAATTTATTGTCACGACTCATTTTGCTCATCCTAAGACGTGTCCAGAGCAGGAAGAAAACTATGTTCTGCACCGAATGCAGTGTTTCTCAACCAAGCACAAGCGTTTAGTGACTTCATGATTGCGGTGCTAGTCCAGGGCAAGAAGAGTGACGAAATCAACATTCACAGGCAGACTGGCTAAATTTAAGTGCCTGTGACAACTTGTGATGCTTTCCAGCCTGATTTCCATCCATATTTTTGCCTGGAACATCCTAAATGCGTGGGTCGTCCAGATTTTCGTAACTGGTGCGAGTTGCAACAATAAACAAATTCTCTAGCTAGTGCTGTGCGTCTTGGTCGTCTCGGTTCTTCGTTGGTCTATACCAAAATGTAATCGACAAAAAAGGCTGCTTGAAACTCTGTACTTATTTCACCGATTACGTCCAAGCTGATTACATTTTTTTGTCATTATATTTCTATTACGTTACTACAGCCTCGCACACTAACTCCCGAGTGTGCGATGCAAAATTAAAATGAGATACCCAGAAATCCGTTGCAGGTGCCCTGAAGTCACTGACGCAAATTTTGAGGAATGTATTTGGAAAAGTATTTGGAGGAGACCAAATACATTTGGTTATATTTGTATCTTGTACTTAAATGCTTTTTTGGAAATGTAATTAGATTTGTAATTAAATACATTTTTGACGAAGTATTTTGTATTTGTATTTCGATAGATATTTGCATGTATTTTGCCCATCCCTGTCCGCAAGTTTGAATTAAGAGAGTTTGAATTAATGAGAGTCGACTGTATAAAATACTGGATATGGTGCCATTTTAAAGGAGCACTAAAGGCGCTTCTGAGATTGTCTGTTCTTGGTGATAACTTTTCTGGCGGACTCCAAGCATCCTAGAAATCGAAAAATTATGCTTGTGCAACATATTTTTCCCTACTAAAATTGTGATAGAAGTTTGTGTCGCGCCCCTTTCTGAGCGGAAAAATCTGGAGCACAGAATCTAGCGGAGGCACTGGCGGCACCTCCACTTGCAATTGGTTGACGCGCGCCCATCATCACACTGCCAGCGCCACTGCTGAATTCTGTGCTCCAGAAATTTTTTGCGCTCAGAAAGGGGCGTGGCACGAACTTCTATCAAATTTTTAGTACAGAAATAGACGTCGCACAAACATAATTTTCAGATTTCTGTGATGTTAAGTTCATGTAAGCAATATGATTACTATAGCAATGTTGTCCAAGGAAAGCATCAAGGCAGCGGCAATGCACTAGCAACGAAGCTGTTGATGAAATTCTCCAATAAAAATATAAAGAAGAAAAAGGCAAAAAAATGCTTCAGTTTTAAAGAGCATCTTGCTGCAACCTAACCTAGTACAAAATAGAGGCCCACAGCTATTATAGAGCTGACATCTTCATCTGAGGACCGCTTTAATTAATGACAAAAATAAGTACTGGCACACCAATCCCACAAGATCAAAATATGGATAAAGTTACAAATCCCCAACAACTAAGAAATTTGTTTTAAAGCCACATAGAGAATGCATTAAAAAAAAAAAAGAAAATCAGGTGTTGAAACAATAAACCTAAACAAAATACAAGGTAAATATTAATTTAAAAAAAAATGTATAAGAACCTCAAAATCAAAAATTCCTGCTGCCTAAATCCGAAGCAAAACGGTTCACATACCGAAGAAAGTGAAAATAGGCAGGCAAGCAGGTGTGTTTGTTTGTTATTTTCTGTTTTCCCAGTCTAGTTTTTTAGTTATGGTTCACATACAAAGGCTATTCTTACTACCATTAAAGCAACAGAGCAACCAAGATACAAATTTTAAAAGGCAAAGGGCCACTCATTCCTTATTCTAAAGGTACTAAAGATTCAGTGTGACTAGGATGCCGATGTAGTGTAGTCTCACCTAAATAAATATTTAAAATATGGACTCTGACCACCAACTGCAAAACAGAGCCCCTCCCCAGTATAGTAGTACACAAGCACTGCGGAATAATCCCGTTGCTAGTGTGGCAGCCTGAGCCTGGCCTATCGCTCTTCCAATTCCAGCCTACAGTCAAAGCCCGTCCATCCCTGTAGAGCCAGTACCTGAGAGCATGGCAGTGATGGAGAGCGCCTCGTTGGAGCAGTTGTAGTCGCACGAAGTGATGAGCATCTTGGCCAGCTGGGGGTCCAGAGGGAATTCGGCCATGATCGAGCCCAGCTCGGTCAGCTCGCCGTTGTCGTCCAGCGACTGGAGGTAGTTGAGCAGCTCCAGGGCACGCATCAACGTCTCCGGAGCTGTCACAGAAAGGAAGCCACAAGGTTGGAGGTGCCTTCAACTCAACTCTGGTGCCTGGAACGTGTCTCCAACTAGAGCGTTTACTGCTTCCTTACACTCAATTTCAGTCTGATGACATTACACAAGTGTTATGTTGTCACCGGCCACAATCTCGGTGGTGTCACAAAAGCGGTGGAGAATGTGCAACTTGAGAGTCTAGCACAGTGGTCTCAAACTCAAATAGCCGACGCTGGGAAGGCCGAGGGCCAATGTTAGACCGGGGGGGGGGGTTCAAACAATTTAAAATTTAACAGACCTCGTGCTCTATGCTTTTTGTGAACTCAGTTTTGTCATTGACATTTTTAGATGTGATTTCTTTATATGACTACTTTGGGCCGTGACCTGATGGGATAACAATAACTAAAATGACACCGCCCCACCAACGTGCTCACATTTTTGATAAAGCAAAAGAGCAAGTACACTGTCGTTCATGGTGCTCAATCCGCTCAGGAATTAACCAAGCTAAACATTTTTCTAAAAAAACAACAAGTTATTTGGCAGTTCTTGCTTTCCTGACGATTTTGATTACAACACCCATACTTGTCTTTTAATGGTGATATTTTCTTCTTTCTTTTTTTAAGGCGAGATTCCCGAGCTTGTAGCTTTATCTTTGGCAGTTCCTTCTGCTGATCGAGAGTTTGCACAGCAGATATGCATTCTTTAACAAAGAGCTTGTGCTAGCAGCCGAGTACTGAAATTGTTGTGCATTACAAAAAGCTGGCCCCATAAGATAAAGCGAAAGAAAGGTTAAATGAACACAGATAAGTAAAAACGTTGAAAGAGCAGAGCGACATTTCAAGAGAAAATGAATCGGCAGAATGAGATCACTATAGCGCGTGCCATTTCTAGCGCTCCATACATGGAAACCGGGACGCGTAGCCGGTTGCCTGCGAGCCGCGTCCCAGCGAGTCGCGGGCCGCGTGTTTGAGACCCCTGGTCTAGCACCAACCACTAGGACCATGACATCCGACAATTTCAGACGCTGGCTTCTGCGACATCATTTGTTGCGACTTTGGAAGCATTTTCGAAGTACGGGCGAGACAGGTCGCTAAACACATTGGTCGAAGACGCTGACCAGGCGCCGAAATCTCGACGACCCCTTCTTAATCGGCACAGTACCCGTCGGGAAAGAGCAAGGCTCTAGGCACCTGGCGGGTCCATGAAGTCAAAGTGGACCAGGTCGTCGATGCCCAGCTTCTTGAGCTGCAGCACCACAGAACCCAGGTTAGAACGTAGGATTTCCGGATAAGTCTGGTCCTGCATCTCCGTCTTGTACGCCTTCTCTGTGTACAGTCGGAAACATTTGCCCGGCCGCGTCCGGCCCGCACGCCCAGCTCGCTGCTGTGAGCTCGCCTTGCTGATGGGCGACACCAGCAACGACTCGACCCGAATACGGGGGTTGTACACCTGCACAAAGATTGGAGGGCATGTGTATACACATTTATTTTCAAATTTGAAAACAAAGATGAAAAATTGCCAAGAATAGGGCTAACTCGAAAAACGCTATGGGATTTCGGGAAGTCTTTGCGAACCACAAACGACAGAGTAAATTTGGTTTTTGATAAGCTCTTTGTTAACAGTGTTGCGTACATGTACAATGCCGAAACTGATAGCGTAACAGCAATCTACATGTACAATGCCGAAACTGATAGCGTAATACCAATCTCGAGGGAACCTAGAGCCTCTCATGCGGCAGATGTCTCAAGGGAACCAATACTGAGTGAACCTACAGCCTCTCATTCAGCGGCAGTGACTTGACAGCAGCAAACCTAAGCCCCAAGAAACTGTTCTTCCGCTACAATCAATGCCGCCCTCTTTCTTTTTTGTTAGCAAATTCTTCAAGCCTACTGTCAAAGCAAGATGAGCTTGCGAGCAGCATCATATCTTGATTACCTGAAGTAGTCGTTGGAACCAAAACATGAGTTTCCGATACGGTACCAAATACTGGTTTACTACTGTCGTTAGAACCAAAACATGGCTTTCCGATACGGCACCAAATTCTGGTTTACTACTAAGTGCCAACTTTAACATATTTCGTAAAGATTGAGTGTCCAAACAGGGCGTTGGCGTCATTATCGGGGTTCAAAAGGACATTATCTGCACTGTGCTGCCAATTGACTCACCTCTTGAAACCTTTTGGGTATCTATTTCTGGTGTTACCTTTCAAAATGTGATTGTCGGAGTTTGTTATCGTTTGTTGTTATAATTTTAAGACAAGGGTTCAAAAGTTGACCCCCCTAGGGGGTGTGCCCCCTTAACTGATATTTCCAAATACATTCAATTTAAGTATCCACGATCAGCTCTTATTTTGATGGGCGATTTTAATTATACAGTAATCAGTGGTAAATAGACCACAATAGCTGGTTTACATGTTAGGCACCATTTCTTCAGTTTTCTTTTTTAGTACTCCCATGGATTTTACATTTATCAGGGGCATAACTATTGCTTATCTCAGTAAACATCTTTTGCCAGCTTAATGTATTTGAATATAATCATAGAGATTATCCCCATTTTGTGTACAGGGTTTAACAGACATAAGTTTTGTGACACTTGCCAATAAAAGTGGAAACAAAAAAAGAACAAAAAATGTTGTCTAGGGATTCTAGGAAAAGGTAAAAAAAACAGTCGGGGTTTTGCAACAGACAGTCCCCGAATTCTGAGTTTTTCGGAAATATCCGAATCCACAATTTGTTCACCCTGCAAGTGTCTTTCAGATTTTATCAGATTTATAGGAGAACACAAAATCCTAGTTATAAAAGATCAAGTTTTGAACTGAAATTTAGTTCTTATGTTACCCAGGCACAAAGAGCAAATATATTAAGCCTTGGCAATAATAATCCCTGGAGAAGAGGAACAAAGGACAAACACAAATATCTCCAAACACAGCTAGGGGACTGGTGCGCAACCGAAAAAATCCGCCTGGTCCTGGTCACCTAGCTGTTTGGAGATTTGTGTTTGTCCTTTGTCCCCTTTGTTCCCCTTCTCAAGGGATTATTATTGCCATTTTTGTCCAGCTCACTTGCACCTTTGCAATAATTGCACCAGATGTTTACGTCCCTTTCCCATGAATAGAAAACAAGATGAAACCATTTTGTGCAGCCTTACAAGAACTGAAAACATTGGGTCTTTAATTATTTTCAACAATATGTGCCGTACGACTGGCGCAACCGGCAAGAACCACCTATACCAACTATTGATAACGAAGATGACGGAGTCTGCAACATGCATGTGAACTACTTCGGTAATTCTTGGAGTAATCGGTATGCCGCAAAGCAGTTTCCACAAGTGCCGCAGACACTATCAGTTATCCGTCGGCTATCTGCTAAGTAAAAGGGCCAGTATTCCCAAGTCACTGCTCTGGCCATTGAACTCACACTGATGAATATGGTGCATGCTCATGCTTACTCTTGATATCAATAGCAGGAACCCTCATCCCAATACTCCGCAGTCTCGCTTTTGAAGTGCTACACTGAAATTAATCTCTTGGCATTCTTACAAACTTGGCAGGCTACTAAGGAGAATAAAAGTATGGTGCTCACTGAACTTAGATGGAACACGCATTTGTGCCGTTTCTCGTGGGAACACTCTCCTGGTGGCAGCAGAGCAACGGTTTTGTGACGTATCATTCGACAAAGCATCGCATTGTTTAGCTTCCACCAGGATAGCGCTGCCACGAGAAAAGAAAACACACAGTTCACGTGTTCCATGCAAGTTTGGTGAGCACCGGACGGCTTAAAAAGAGACCCTTACCTTCTGCTTGGCAAAGCCCGGGTCAATGACAAACACAACACCGTCGATGGTGAGTGATGTCTCGGCGATATTGGTAGAGACAACCACTTTGCGACCAATGGCACCGTTGGTTTTAGCCGGTGGTGGTGGCTCAAAGATGCGCTGCTGTAGGTTTGGAGGTAGCGACGAGTAGAGTGGAATGCACTTCATCTCGCCCACCTCGGGGCCCAGGTTATCAATCTCACGCTTCAGTCGCTTGCAGGCCTCCTCAATTTCCTGCACAAAAATTGTCAAGTATGCATTCCATTGAGGTTAATATGCGGGAATGGAAGAAAAACACAAAGCACCAAATACTACGGCAGAATGTCTGATATGATCTCAGTTAATGCACTTTTTCGGCTGTCACCTTCACGAATGCCGGTCCCGTTGAACACCCATAAGGGTATGTGTATTAATCTCCCACTTGTTGAGTTTGCCTTCCCGGCCTTAAAGTCCAAAAGCTGCCAGCTGACGCAAGGAGTGTGACGCAATGCGCCAACTGACAGTGGCTGCCTTCTTCATTTTGCTCTGCTCCCAGTCTTTTACAGCTCTCTGCCTGTTTGCGTCGTGTGTCTTGCCCGGATAGGCAAGACATTGAACTAGGCTTGGAACGGACTGAGGCTTCAGCAATAGCCCAATCATCTTTCCATATCCTTTTCTGGCAGGCATGCAAGCTTTCGAGTTTTTATTGATCCTGCCAGCATTGTCAGCAAGCATGCAAAGACCCACCTCTTGGCCTGTGAGGAACAGCAGAATGTCCCCTTCAACTTCTTCACACATGTGGATCTGGATGACTGTACGGATTGCAGCCTCCAGGTAGTCCCGTTCGGGCTCGGGGGTGTAGAAAATCTCCACGGGATGGGTACGCCCAGGCACGTTCATCAGTGGGGCATGGTCGAAATAGTTCTGCAGGTAATGAAACAATGCGTAACATTCACTTTCACAGCCCAGAATAGGACTTGTTTCTAACTGATAGCGCCTCTTGATTTACTCATTTATTTTTAATTAATTAAAAATAGAAGTATCATTTTGTAGTGCATTAAATTGCGAAAAATTGCGGTTAAAAATAAATTGGAAGCAAAGACATTCTGCTCTCCCTTACCTGGAACTTGCCAGCATCCAAGGTGGCGCTCATGACGACAATCTTGAGGTCGGGACGCTGGGTCACCACCTGCTTTAGCACGCCCATGAGGATGTCCGTGGCAAGCGTGCGTTCGTGGGCCTCGTCAAGCAGGACCACCCCATAGTTCTCCAGCAGGGGGTCACTCATTGCTTCCCGCAGCAGCATACCGTCTGTCATGTACCTGGGAATGAAGTCATCCACATGAAATCACTAAATCATTTAACTTTATAAGTCCTTTCCAACCTAACAATGCAAAATATATTTCTTCACAACCCTGTTAGCCCCAATGCAAGATAAGCCCGCACCTATATTCTCTCGTAGGTTAGCGTCAAGCATCAAACTGCACCGAGTGAGCTGAAGCTGCAGCCAGGCCAAATCTGTTGTACGCCAGTGTTTTCTTTAATTTATCCATGTCCACTCCAACCACCACAGAAAGCCACTATACTATATTCAAACCTTGAGTTACAAGCTCAAAGACGGCAGCTTGAGAGGACTGCTGTCGAAGTTGGCATCAGTTCTCTCAACTAGAGACAGGAGAAGACACTCAACATACAGGCACGCTGACAAACCCAAGACCAGAAAAAACGAGAGGCACACAACACAAGAAATGTTAAAAGCTCTCCTGCATAATGCTTTCCTTTGTCTCAGACCTTAAATTTTCCAACAAGATGTTATTGAAGGAGCTTTATGTCGGCAACATAATGCATATGTTATGAAAAGGAACAACCAAGCACGGTAAGGCCTCACAGATATATAACATCTCGAAGCTAGGTCTTTTACTTTATATTCTTTTACATTAGTCAAGTGCACCAGTGATGCGATTGGCCCGAGTCATTTTCTAGCACCTTTTGGAGCAGCCAAAAGTCCATTATGGAGCAGCAAAAAGTACTTTTGGAGCATAGGTGCAATCATACCACTGCAAATCTTATATGTTAAGATTCATGTGTTGGCCTATCCAACTAAAAAACATGCCTACTTTGCCTTCACATTCTGTGCAACCTTTTGTTTGGATCAAATGCATGGCAGGATTGATTCCCTCAGACACAGAACTAGCTGTTCAGTGGCACAGAGAAACACTAGGCATGGCAACCAGATGCTGACTGATGAAAGACAGTATGGACTATTGGGAGTGACCATTTCAGGAATGAAACCAAATGTTAACCAAATAGTATATTCTATTGAAATAATGTTAGAATAATATTGAGCACACAAATCGATGTTTCAATCAAAATGTAATGATTGTAATAGAACTAAAATTCTTAATGCAGATTTAAAAAAAAAAAAAAACTCTTCTGTTTGAACTATGAATATCAGTAACATTTTGTATGTAGAACTTCAAGATAACAAAGATTGGCACGTGAACAATAAGTATGCCTCCTTAAAACAACCCAGCCTAAGTCGTTAAGGTTGTTCCCAAGCTTCTTTCCACTGCTTATTCTAATTTACTTTTAATTTATTCTATTGACTGCACCTCGAACAGATAAAACCTATATAGAGGTAACAACTAAACAAGAGTTGAAATAAAAATAAGCCTATGGAGCACTTCATATCAATTTTCTTACGAGTACCCTCGCTAAATCTCGTATTTGAAAAAAGGTATTGCCAGAATACTGCAGTCTATCATAAATAATAGCCACAGTTTTATTCAGAAATTTTTACTGCAACCAAGAGCAGTTACATTAGCACTTACCAAGCTGCTTTCTTTTTTTAATATACCCGAGTGTTTATTGTCCCGCTCTGGGGGAGAGCTTTCCCTTCAGCACTCGGATGCGCAAAGGTAAGCAAAATTGCGATGCCAACTTTTCAGTTGTCGCTTCAGTGCAGTACACAAGAGCATGGTGAGAAGCGCTCTCAACAAAGCTAACTTACCAGCCAGAGCAGGCTATGAACATAACAGATATTGCGAAAATTACCAGTACTGTCAGTGCTTGACACTGAGAGAGAAATCTAATAGGATAGTATATTATTTGCGACTATAACCGAAGGTTCTGGAAATTCGCACAAGACTACCATAACAATTTGGATGTGTAGTGGGGCCTGAGCCATTATACCTTTCAGTATTATTAATGTGAAATCAAGTCTTGGTACAATGTTGGCACAAATTCCTCACATTTGGGCTAAAGGTGACAGGATGAAGCAGGGTAAGCTCCTTGGCACAGTTAGGTGAAAATGGCGCAGCAATAGCATCACTGGTGCACCTTATGAAAGCCATGCTTCTAGTACCTGAACTCGATTATGAGGGGCAAGCAAGCGGTGAACCAACAGGGAAACTTGAAAGTGTTCACTCACTTGAGGAGAGTCTTAGGGGACGAGCAGTCCTCAAAACGAATGCTGTAACCGACTTCCTGACCAATCGCCACATCCATCTCTTCGGCCACACGGGCAGCTACGCTCATGGCTGCCACTCGTCGCGGCTGTGTGCATGCCACACCCCGGCGGCCTCCCTTCTTGCGCAGAAGTTCCACACACCATTGCGGGATCTGCACCGTTAAGACAAATCATGAGCTACAATGCAACGGAGCCAACCACGGTCCTGAAAGCTCTACTGCAATCGCAAAGCTCTATATGACCAAAAGGGAAACCTAGCATAAGGTTTCATGTGGTGCTACACACTTCACAACAAATAGAAAGAATAATTTTGTTTTCAATACATTCACAACTCAAATGCAGCACCAGTGACAAGTCTGCTTCCACCCTTAACATAACGACACTTTGTCAACCAAATGCCGCTCATGAAAAATAAACCGTTCAAGAGGGGCAGCCACTTTTCTTATCACTTTTTACATCTGCTCACCTAGCAGGAGAAAAAAAAACTGATACTAGGAGATCAATCGAGCAGCTGCACAATTTTTATCAGAGTGGCTACTGGATGGCTAAATAAAACACTGGTCGTTCTTTGTATAGCTACCGTTTTGAACAAAAAAACTTCATTATTCTGTATGACATACTCAGCCTCCGACCAAATCCATGTCTCACGTTTTAAATGCCTGTCGGATAAAAATAATATTGAGCAGCTTGCTCAGCCTCCTTTGATGCAGCTCCTTCGAAGTTACATACCCTTGCCCAAAGAAAGGAACATTTGCACATACTTTTCTCGTTAAAATAGTTAAAGACTAGAACCGACTTCTCAATGACAAAATGCAACTCAGACTTAGACCATTCCAAAGAAGCACTGATAGCTTCAGAAACATTTGTGTTATTACTACTGAAAGCCATTCCCAGTTTTATTTCTTCTTTTTAGGCAAAACCCCGAGACTGGGGGGAAAAAAGGACAACACAATACAAAGTCCCAAAAATTATTGAGACTGTGTTGTCTTGTCCTTTTTTTCCCCCCAGTCTCAGGGTTTTGTCTAAAATGTTAAAATTTTACAGCTTGTTTGTGCCCTAACTTTTTGTTCATATTTCTTCTGTTGTTTTCCTTCTCATTCTATTTTCCTTTTTTGTGCATTTTGTTGAAAATTCTCTGACTTCATGCTGTATGAAACCCCACCCATTATGTAATGCCCCTTTGGATGCTTTTGAGGTAAAACAAATTTTAAAAAATCAGTGAATATAGTCAATTCTAAATTTTAATCAGTACATCACAATGATACAAGAAAAAATAGGAAGATATTCAGTTCACCTATACTCCGCGACAACTTTTCTTGGCAATGCAGTGGAAGGTACAGGCCCGCGTCCCCTCTCCCATTTTGAGTGTACGCAGGCTCTCCTCCTCCCCCATTTCCGGGGAGAGGAGGAGAGCACGCGCACACTCAAAATGGGAGAGGGGACGCGGGCCTGTACCCAGGGTGTTGGAACGAAATGTTTTTCGTTCCGTTTTCATTTTCGTTCCATACAAAAAAGTTCCGTTCCGTTTCCGCTCCGGAATGAAAAAATAATGCTCCGTAACAGTTCGTAACAGTTTCTTCCTAAAAAAAAAAAAAAAAAATCGCAACAAAAATTAAAAGGAACGTAACGTTTATTTTTACACAAAAATAGATAATTCAGGCGCTCCAGAGGAATCCGCGGAAACGACATTGCTTCTGAGATCATGTTCATTGCCTTGAGAATGAGATCATGATCAAGGCACCGAGCATGATCTCAGAAGCAGCACGTTATCAAGTGTGCTCGGTGAAAGGCAGGACCTCTGGTCCGATAAAATAAATTTCAGCGCCGAAAAGGCCCTGAAGGCCCATAGGGATGAAGAAGTACACTTTTGCAACAGAGTATCAGACTGCCGTATCCGCAGAAAAACAAAAGATGGACTTCTACAACGCCGGGTCACAAACTTCCCGCGCTTGCCGTGATCTGTTGTCTGTCTGTGTCGTCCGAAGAAAGCATGGAGGGAGAGGGCGCAAGAGCCAAGGAGAGCATTGCGAGCGTGTGGAGGCGTCGCGTCACCGCGCTCTCATTGGTGGGAAGCAATGGCGCCTTGCGTCACGTTTTTTGTTTCTCGTTGTATTTTTTGTCTTTGTTTTTGCTATGCTTGTTCTCCCGGAGTTTAGACGCGGGGGCGATGGCTTGCTTGTCTTCTCTTTAATTATGGTACAAACCAACGGCAGTCTCTTCGCTGCGTGAAACGAATTACTGAAATACCTGATATTTTCCCTTGAACCGAAAACCGATAAGAAAATTTTTCGGTTTCACTCCGGAACAAAATAATAAATAACGTTTCGATTACGTTCCTGTTCCGCCAAAAAATATCGTTTTTTTCGTTTTTGGTTTTCGTTTTGTTCCGATACCCTCCCTGCCTGTACCTTCCACTGCATTGCCAAGAAAAGTTGTCGGGGAGTATAGTGACATTGCACAAGTATTGCAACAAAAAGAAGCTTTTAATTCTTATTTGATACACTACCTTTTATGAAACAGAAGATTTGTCCAAAAGTCACTCTGTACACAATGTAAGTATGCCAAGCTTCTCTTATATACAAAATGTTGATTTTAATTCGAACAATTTTTTTTTTTTAAACATGGGGTGAGAGGCGATTTCTGTCTTCACCATGTATTTATCAGGCTCGGAGGACATTATATGTGGGGATCGACCCGGTAATCCGACTAATTAACTCAAATTTCTCAATTAACTTTTTAATTATTGGTTTTAGAGGTCATGTTAGAATTGCAGTATTAACAGCAATACTATTAGAGGCCACACCAATTTAAAGAATTTGCATAAACGGAATAGTTTTAGAGATATTAATCAATAAATTTTCATGTTTTTTCACCTGATTTAAAGGGATGCTACAACGAAATTTCGGCGCTCATTTTTTGGTCTATAGACCGTTCCATTAGGGTCATAGCAGAGAGGGTAAAAGAGAAAAAAAAATGCACTCCCCCTCTCCCCCGCAAGCCGTCCGCTCCGCCGAGTGGGCTGTAGCTAGCGTCCGGCTGGCGTGCAAACTCTCTTTAAAATCGCGCCATTTTGGAACTTTCAAGCGCAGATGCGCAGATTTTGGTACGCCAGTTATCGTGTAATACTATGCTAGATAAAAAGAGTCACAGGGTCCAATTGCACTGTTACCTGCGTGCAAATAAAAAACAAAAATAGGGAAAACTGTGTCAGATTGGCTGGTCTCTTTGGCGAAAAGAAAATCCGGTTGCTGTACCTTTTTTACTATACAAAAGTTCGTACTGGTGTAGGCCTTTAGCGACCATGATGGAAGTCTGAAATAATAAATAAAAACGTGCTCTCCTGCCGCAATACACGCAGTAGTTGAGGGTAGTACTGCCGGCTGACTCAACTGCTATTTAAGTAACGGAAAAAAGATATGCTCGTTTATCATTTAGCAAAAAAGAACAACAGAGAGCTATAGGCTGATTTTGGAGTAGCCACAACTATTCTAAGAACGCGAACCACTTCACAACGGCAGCCACGAGCGAGAGTTCGGTGTTCGGTAGAGCCCGCCGATACAGCCCAAAGATGGAGAACGGCAACCTCCCGGTTTGTCGTCTGCTAGCGGAGTCGGCGGCGTGCCCTCTCTCTCGTTTTACCCCGCCGAACCCGCTGCTTCCCGGATGTGTGGAGAGGGCACTGCGGTCGAACAAAATGGTGCCGCCCAAAGAGCGCTAAATGGAATGGTCTATATGTGTTCAAAGGAGCAGCATCATATCGAACATACCAATATCTTGTTAAAAAAGTCACGAAAAGGAATTTTAAAATGAATTAAACTATTAGTAAAGAGCACCTCGCTAACGCCTCGCTTATAATGCCAGTCTAGGAACCTTGACAGAGGTTGTTTCGCCTCCGGCCACGACGAGAGAAGAGGGGCAGGAGGAACTCCCCTCTTCCCGAGAATGCCTTTCGTGTGTCGCAGAAGTCGCTATTGTCCCCCTACAAGATTACAGAAGATTATCCCGTCACTCAAAATTCGTAAAAAAGCAGCCGCTTCGGTGGCTGGAACGACTAGGCCATCCTCTCGACGTCAGCCTCGCCGTAGCCTTGCTCGTCCTGAGACGACCTACGTCACGATTGCGTTGGCTGTCACGTGGTCTCCGCTGGGCCTTCTCCGAGCGCTTGCCAGAGTGGGCCGTTTATAACGAAAAATACAGCCACCAGGCTCAAAACACAAACGTGCGATTGTCATTTACGGATAGTGTGGATCATATTCAACCTATTTTTGAACACAAAGGGAATATTTCAAATTTCGTTGAAGCATCTTTTTAAGAACTGCTCTCGTAAAGAGTGTCACAAGTCCTGCCCACAATGACGCTTTGAAGAGTGACATTGTTTCAATCATGCCATCCCTATTTATTTATTTATTTTACAATACTCCAGGCCAGTTCTCTGGCCCAAGCAGGAGGGGCAAAAAATACAACATATGGGTGCACATGAAAAAAATGACACAACAATAATACAAAAGACAAGACCACTGCTGCGGAATGAATTATCGAATTAAGTATCGTTCTAATGCCTAAATAAAATTGGCTGACTTAATAATGGTTTCTGGTAATAAATTCCAATCCGAAATAGTGCGAGGAAAAAAACTGTGCTTAAAGGCATTTGTTTTTGTGAAGATGGGTTGCAATGCGTGATCCCTACTGTGTTGTGTTTTTCTAGAACTTATTTACCGTAAAATACCGGGCAAGCGCCCACTCAAAATTTTGAGATAATCATAAAAAAATGGGGGATGGGCGCTTGTCCAGTCATCAATTCTACATATCAATGTACTGTGCATATTTTCTCAGATTTAACAAATTTGGGAATGGGCACTTAATGTAGTATGGGCGGGTGCACGGTATTCTACGGTAATTGAGATATGAGAGTGTATTTAAGCTTACTTTAGATATCAGGATGTTGTAACGAAATAAAACACGATTGATTTTCCAACGTGCATCGAGAGGTAATATTTGGTTATCGCTCCTAAGTTCACTGGGTGAGTCCAATCTATTGTATTTACTAAATATAAACCTAACTGCCTTTCTTTGTTCAAGTTCAAGCTGGTGGATGCCTTTTTTAGTGTGTGGATCCCAAATGACTGATGCATATTCGAGTTTTCACCTGATGAGCGTATTGTAAGCGAACAGCTTAACGCTACTGGGGACGTGTTTGAGCTTTCGCCTTATCTCAGCAGCGTGTCCTTGGCAGGTGCGCCGACAACACACATGACGACGTGACCTAAACGACTATGCCACTCTTCAGAAGCATCATTGTGGGCAGGGCTTGATGCACTCTTTGCGTGCAAATTTTAATTTGGGCGAAAAAATGTAAAAAATTATAGATCAACATCTAAAAAAATAATTACTGTTACGCAAACTCTCTAAATTGATCTGGCCTCTAATAGTCATTGCCGTCAATACTGCAATTCCAACGTGACCCCTAAAACCAATAATTCAAAAATTAATTAAGAGGTTATGAAGATAATGCAAAGGTGCAAGCAAGCTGGACAAGAATGACGAGAATGACCTAGCTGTGTTGGGAGATTTGTGTTTGTGTTTCGTCCCCCCTCTCCAGGCATTATTACCGTCGTTAATTAAGAGCTTTTAATTAATTAGTCAACTTACCATAAAAAAGATTTGAAGTAAATAACCAAAATAAGGCACTGACAAGAATGTATGTGCTAAGTATCATTTGTTTTAAATTTTGGTTTAGAACAGTTACTACTACTGCCGGCATCAGCACATACAGTGTGTGCAACTACACTCGCAGCATGCTGCTTAGTGCTCGAGTAACTAAACAAAAGGGCTATTAACAGCAATCTCACAAGTACTATAAGGCATCCCTTCCAACAGAAAAAGAAAGAACACAAAAACCTTACTCAAGAAGGATCAGAGCTGTGTCCACATATGCATCAATGTACAATGCCCCTAAAACTTAACGCCGCAACTCGGTTACGGAAATATTGATCTATTGCATGCTACCCAAAGATAAATTGGTCGCAGAAGCTGCTGGAATACCTTCCCCTCGTTGGGTTTTCATCGGGACGCAAGTCTTCATCAACTAGTTGGACCACTAGGTTCAAAAATAGCTCCAAAAGTGAAGAAATCGGACTCTCTCGTGGCGGCGTTAAGTTTGGGGCGCACAGTACTTATGTAGGGGCTAGTGAACATGACAGCCGGCAGTTCACCGCTGCAAAGCTTACCTGAGTAGTCTTCCCGGAACCAGTCTCTCCAACCAGCACCAAGATCTGGTGGGTGCCAAGGTACTCGAAGAACTTGTCCCGGTATTCCCAGACAGGAAGGGCAATGCGCTTGCGAAACAACTCGTAATAGCGGTTGGAATAAGGCAGTCCTGTCAGGGCATTCAGCTGCTGAGACTGCAAACACAATGGCACTGGTTCAGATCCTAGCTCAAGCACCAACAGCCCCAAATGCCAGTGTCTACCTCAAATTCTAATTATCATAACTTGCACTACCAGTTACAGAGGACAACAGCTGAGCAAAGTACCATGTCACATAGAGGCTGAACTCCATGGAGCGAAAAAAAAAAAGACAAATTTCGCCCGGCAGTGTTCGCTTTGCAGTGGCATCAGCGCAGTGGCATCAGCACACTGGCTGCTGCGTCGAGCACAAAGTGAGCATGCAGCCGTGCAAAGTTTGTCAGTTATTCGTTGCATATTCGCTCTATGGAGTTCAGCCTTAAAGGGAAGATGGGGCAGTTCTGCATTTGAGAAAAAAAAATTGAACTGCATTCATTTGGCCTTTAGAATAACAGATATCACAATTATGATTCAATGCAACGCATTGGAGAGCCATAAGAGCAATTTCAAAATAGGGCTGAAGCCCCGCCTCCCTAGCCTTGGGCAGCCAAAAGATCCGTCAATGACTTCACGTGCAGCGACTGCCTTTCGCATTTTCTCGCGTTTAACAATACTTGCGTAGCAAACGGTTTGCGTATTCGGGTTCACGGGGTAAAATACACTACAATTCACTTCTAACTCGTTTTTTTTTTTCAAGAACCTCCGTAGCTTCCCTTTAAGACTAAAGATAAATAAAAACTAGCGTTTCTAATTTCTTTTTGAAATTTCATAGATTTCTTATTTTGGCTTAGTATACCATACTTCTGTGCTACAACAAATGGGAACCTTTATGTTGCAGCTTACAAAATATTTATTACGAGCGAGTTTGGTCTTCCTATGGTATAGAAGCTCCTTTGTGCGCGGCTTAAGCCAAATATAAATTTGGGGGTTGTGTAAAATGAAGTACACAGTACAACACCACATCCATTCTTTTTCACATTTATCTCAATGCCTAACTTGGTTCCCTGAACAAGCACTTTATACCACTCTAGGAGTTTTGATCACCACCTTTATTTCTAAAACAGAAATGGCAAAAAACTGACGATTTCTAGTTTGTGCTAGGTGTCATACTCAGTGAATACACAGCAAAATTATTTTTGTTATTGAAGACATGTCACTCATTACATGTGTAGGAAAAAGCCCAGACATCTAGTTCAAGAAAGCAGACGCGTGGAATCGGCCGAAATGCAGACTCCACAAAACAAGTATTCAATCCTTTACCATGGTCACTGAAGGAGCGCTGTAGCAGTTCTCGTCTCCTCGATCTCGACCCCGGTCATCCCGGTCGTACTCTCTGTCAAGGTCTCTTTCCCTGAAAAAGATCAAATTAATTGAGCTGAAACCCTCGGATACATGCAGCTACTGGGTGTTACTACGCATATATAAAACTATATTCTGTTTCAAATTTGCAAAATAGACAGAAAATAAGGCAAGCGCAAGCTCCAAAGGAAAAGAGAGTCTGTGCAAAACCAATCTTCGTAGATTCAGATCCGAACTTACATTTGATTACAGGGTTGTGATCACAAGGCTACATTCCCTACCGCTATCACAAATGTATTAGCATTCTGCGACTTCACATAATTGTAAAACATTTTGGGTGACTCTCACATGAAGCCTAGGAACCCTTCTCTTATACAGATTTGTATTTCTTTTTCCAATACTTTGAACAAAAGTTTTGGACATCTTCATCACAAAGATATCTTACAGCGAAACTAAACTATAGTCCATTGCAACCTAAGAACGAAGGGCGAGGGTAAGACGAACCGGGGAGGAGGAAGTGGACCGAACGCTGGAGAAGAGAGGGGGAAACCTTCTCTCTTTAGCGTTCCGTCCGCTTCCTCCTCCCCGGCCCGTCTTACCCTCGCCCTTTGTTCTTAGGTTGCAACGAACTATAGTTCTCCACTGAGACATGTCAATTTCACTGTTCACATAGATGTACTAAGGTGAAATCACATTGGGATAAATACATTAGATTACAAGCTTCAAAACAAACTTTTACAATCACTGCTACAATATTGAAACAGCATTTCGACGGATAATGAAAGTGAGCAGACAGTAAAACAAGTAGAATGAATAATTAAATGCTTGCATGCAATAAACTTTTCTTAACACTTCTTTACAACATTAGTAAGGTTAACTTTCTATAAAGTTATAAAAGAGTTTAAATAAAACAAACTATCAGTGCAGGCCAGTTATATTTAACAGCTTTTCTTTTGTAACACTGATGACTTTTGGTCTGGAGAATGGTTTTAAGTTCAATAAAATAGAATCTCATGGCCATGCAGAAAACTAACCACTGTTTTTGTTTCTTCTGTTCCATTTCTTTCTCTCAGTGACTGCCTAACAGCTGGCACTGCGACAAAAGAAAAAAACGATCTAGGATGGAGCAGGACAATTAAGCTTCGTTGTGGTTGTTTTCAGGGGCAACTGATCTGTCAGACATTGCTGTTCGCACAGCAATATGGTCATAAAGAAAGTGCACATTGAAATGACCCAAACACCATGTTTGCGGTCTTGAAAAATATGTTGAAATACCAATAAATTACAAACATCACAGTAGGTGTCTGCATTAAGCAAAACAAGGTTTGTGCCAAAGCAAGCTTGCTCATGTTTCAGACAGGAGCATCAGCTGCAAGTGACAGTAACCAACAGCGAGTCTTCATTGTACCAGTATACTATTAGCAGGCTGAAGTTTTGCCAATATTCATTTTAAAATAAAATCTGTAGACTTTATATGGTTATTTGCTATTTCATGACTTGTTCGATATGAGCACAATATTTCATTCTCAATAGAAAACAGTTGCTAAACACAACAGAAAAGTCAAATAGTTAAAGGGCCCCTGAAAAGAAACAAAAGGTTTTTTTTTTTTGAAGCCTGGTTGGAACACGCGTGTCAAAAAAGAAATTTTACGCAAAGAAAAAATTTTTAGAGCAATATTGAGGGCGCGATACACAATTTAGTTGCTAGTCACCTCCTTTCCACTTGTTTTCTCTCTGCATTTAGGCCGCATGGAGGAGAAGTGGACCGGCTTCACCCTCATGACTGCGATGGTCATTCCGGAATGAACAGTGACATCACGGACTTTGCGCGCAGCATTAAAAACAAAATCTCTTGCTGTCAATATTGCTAAAAAAAAAAACTTTTTTTCTGTAAAATTTACTTTTTGACACGAAGTGTCCCAACCAGAATGTTTAAAAAAAAAAAAAAAAAAACCTTTTTTTTTTCTTTTCAGGGGTCCTCTGAGGAGCCTCGATTTACAAGGCTGAATATGCATAACTGCCCTACCCACAAACTCACATTAGACACATTTAGTTACCATGGAGGCTGTGAAAATCATAAAATTTCAGCAAAAAGTTGCAATTCGGGTCCAACAAGTCACTGCTGTATCCCAATCTTGAACTAGCAACGGTCAAGATACAGGTGTTTCTTTGTGTGTTTTTTTCATTATATACAATTTTATTTTTTCACTACCAGCCAACATGCATCTGCACCTATTCATGAAATTCAGGAAGTCTGCAACCTAGCTACCATCTAGCACTCAGAGCTAGGGGTGTCGCGAACCGGTCGAGGTTCGAATTCGATCAGGTTCGACTTTTTCAAACTTTCAGTGGAGAGTTCGGCGAACCTTGTATTGAGGTTTGACCCGTCTGCACATGCGCGACAGGCCGGCCAGTTGGCTTCGGATAGGATAATGATGGCTAAGGGATGAATTAAGGACAGCACCGACTGGTTAATTCAGTTAATACAGTACAAAAAATTAAGTTAGTAACTTTGCTAGTGATTAGAATGTTTCTTTTAATTGTAACTGTTACTAAAATTAAAATAACCCTTTGATTAAGAAAAATTCTTCAAACCTAGACATGCTTGTATCAAGGGCCTGGCCACACTGTCCACAAAGTCTAAACTGTCGAACCTGGTTAAAAGTTCGAAGGTTCGTCGAACCGGTTTGAACAAGTCGAACCCCGAAAGTTTGACTTTCAAATCCAGTTCGACAAAAGTTCGCGACACCCCTACTCACAGCTCTCATCCCAGTCTAGACGAAAGATGACTAAAAAATGTTTGCATCATTTATCAGTGAAGCGATTGATTAGCTCACATTTTTGGGGAGGCAAAACACTGGCATTCACATAAATGTGGAAAACACTCATGGTACAAGATACTCTGCAGTACACTTGTCACAAAGCCAGAGGCATGTTCAATGAGGGAGCACACTTCCTTTCTCTAGGAAAAGCTCTAAATACGTCTGAGCTGACAGGATAGGCCGCTTTGGTGAAGTAAATATATGTTAAATTCATCCTATGGTGCTTCATGAAACGGCTAAAATCCGGTGGATAAAGATGTTCCAAGCATAAAACTCCTCCGTCATCCTCAAAACCATGCGTAAAAACATGTTTTATGAACAACCTTAGCATTATTTACAACTGTAACATACAAGCTAGTAAGCGTCGTATTCACGAATCAGTGCAACCACAAAATACCCAAAACGTACGATCGACGTTTACCGGCGTCTAGAGGAAGCCACGGACATTGGCGGGCCTCGAATAACGCTCGTACAAAATGACCATAACACTATGCAGTTATAGTATTTTCCACACTCCGAAAACTTAGATTTTTCAAGGATAGTGTGTAATCTACCAGCACCGAATAAACAAGACGATTTCTTTTAAAAAAGAAGTTCTTATCCGAATTCCGAATGCAAGGTTCTTGGCGCTCACTGACGTAAGTAACGCACAAAATTTGCAGTTAGCGAAGTAATCTCTTTCCACGAGGCCCATATAAGCGATCACTAGTAGAAGCTGCAGGCTTCCCGAAGTGGAAGCTTTCGCCAATGGGACTCACTGTCTAGTTTTAGCAGGTATCTTCAAAACCTGACGATTCCTTAGCGCAAATAGGCTTAATAAACAATGAATGAAAAGGTTCCTTCGGGGACACCTTTAAAGCAGCTTAGAACAGTATAGCCACAAACCTTTTTTTAGTTACAGGCCCGTCTCCTACATCAATTCTGTGTCTTTTAGACATTGTATACAAGGTATAACGTCGAGGATCAGACCCCCCACGCGACTTCACGAACAAAATATGGCGTTGTAATCGAGCCAGTGGCGGCGAGCGGCAAGTGATGCCAGTGATGCTGATGTTGATGCCTGGCCGCCCTGGCCGCCATATATGTAATGGCGCTGGCTGCAATTGCTGAATGATGATGATGGCAACTACTGAGCCGACCGAACGGACGACAGCCCGACAGCCACAGCAACCACAGAGGAACAGACTAAGCGGGAGTCAACTAAGCCAACTAAGCTCCGAGTCCGAGCTGACCTAGACGTAACCAGACCCCAGACCGAGCAACGAGCTACCACATCTTTGTATTTTATGCTACAGCGTGTACAGCAAATCGTATTTTTCTATCCAAGAGAAGCCACAGCCACAATCCACTTTGTTAATTTGTTTATTTATTTCGCATTCGTCATTTCCGCCGTGCGCACCATCTTTCTGTGGTGTCCGTGTTGCCCTGTCCACAGGCCACAGATCTGCGTTCCTCTCGGGCTAGCGGTCCTATCTATCTCCTGGCAGTGACCGCGACAATTAATTTATTGCTTATCCGTACAAATCTTGACGCAATAGCTAATCCGCTGCACACTCCCCTCGTTGAAATATTTGCGGTTCTACCAGAGCAACGACAGCGAGAAAATCCTGCAAGTTGTGTTTGTCCGATATGCTCCGACCACCCAAGAAAAACTCAGAATGTAAGCTCAGTACTTCCATCTAAATATCAAAACCTCTTCATAACCGAAAAAGAAAAAAAAAAAAATATATATATATATATATATGTTGTTAAGTTCTTACGCCACCTGAACCAAGGGCGACTGTTTCTCGCTCTGATTCACCGAGGTTCCTCAGCGTCACGGCCCATGTATATCGCACATCCTTCGTGAGCCTCTTACGACAGCATCCGCTGTGCTACATTGGCGTTAATTGCGCCCGTGAGCGCAACAATTAGCACTGGCACAGACTACTTAACCCCGGTAGCCAGTTGTATCCTGCCTTGCCCCTGTAAAGATGGGCCATAGTGCTAATAGTGCGCGTGGGGATGGTTTATTTCAATTCAAACAGGAGGATCGTCCTGCGGGGATCCGGCAAGAGGATGGCCCGTTAGTTGCTGTCGGGGCCAGACATGCACACTATGCCGCTGGAGCGCACGTTGACGCGGCGGCCACAGCGCTGGAGGCTCAAGGAGCGCGAGCGCAACCTTCCTGCAGCCATCCTGAGCATCGTCGTGATTGCTACGCTATCCACGGCCCTGGTGCACCCACGTTGGTTTTACCTCCAGGGGGGAGGCTGTGGCCACAAATACCTTGGTGTGCAGCAGTTCTTCTATGTGGGCTACTTTGAGACGTCCCCGCGGCTGTTTGTCAATGGACTGTCTCGACCACCCTCCTTTGTATACTACGGATTGAATGAAGGCAAGTGCGGCGTTTGTTTTGGGTGGAGTTGTCTACCGTTGAGGAGGCCAAATTGATTGACACTACTATCACAGTAGTCTCGCTAATTGCTTCATTGACTGGGGTGCAAATCGATGTACAGCGCTCCTTGAGTGGTTTCTGGCCATCGTAGTTTAGCAGAGCAAACACTGGAGAGGTCGCATCCTCTTCAGCGTTCGCTCTGCTAAAGCAGAAAGGTGGGAGGAGCTTCCCCGGAACTCAGCTTGTCACCAACTATAGTATGCAGGACTAATACCCCATTCACACGGGCGGGATAAAGGTACCTTTAGTATAGGTCCCTTTCCTAAAGGAAGATGGAGTTGGTATCCACACGGCGCAGAAAGGTTTCCTTCACTAAAGAAGGGTTTAGAATAAACGGAGCTCGCAGACCTCCCTTTACAGCTACAGGGAGTAGCCTCGGACCCATGAATTCCAAATAAAAATCTAGCATATATGCTTCTGCTCTGTTTATTGCATTGTAATAAAAATATTTGCAAAGGGAAAGATTATAAAGTAAACGTGAGCACAGACCTGATTGAAGACACTAGCGAGAAATTTATACTCGCGACAGCGGGCAGCAGCAGTGGCACGAACGCAATGGCGGCTGTACAGGTCCCTCAAAGTAAAACGGAGTGCCGGAGCGGCGACCGAACTGCGTTGCCGCGCTATCTAGCAGCGCTGGCTGGAACTGATAGACTACATCTGCGCATGCGAACGTGCCTTCCGCTGGGGCCTCCATCTTCTTCTTCCAACCCGCACGTTATCGGTGGTTCAAGCGGCGCAACGATCTTCCTAAAATCGACGCCTGATAGCACAAGGGGCAACGCTCGTCGACAACACTGGCCCTTTCCCACTTGCCCTCAACGTTATCTCCGCGTGTGAGCTGAACACCTAGTGGTGTTTATCGGAATAGCGTTTGGCAGCTCGAGACGCCGATAATGTGAGGATCAAACAAGAAAGACGAAGGACACTGCGAACGGCACGTGCGCATGCGCAGACGGCACCTATCAGTTGCAGCCAGCGCTGCTAGATAGCGCGGCGATGCAGTTCGGTCGCCGCTCCGGTACTCCATTTTACTTTGAGGGGACCTGTACATGCTTTGAGTAGCAGGTACACTCTACTTCGAGTAGCGACGACGATTCATCCACTTCGCCTGCCCAGAGCATTTTAGTGACCATGATTTCGCCTGGTGGACCTGTGGACTTGGGTGCCGGCACTAAGACCAGACCAGTAAGAAAGGCTCTCGAGTTCACTGGTCCGAGGCGGAAACATGGTCGCTAATTCGTCTCTGGGAGGACAACATCGGCAAACTCCGGCAACAAAGGAAGAACGCCGAAGTGTAGATTCGGAGGCAGACATAAATAAGTAGCAGAGCCAACTCGGGGAAACACGTTTCGCACCTTGTGTACTTCCCTCCTTTGGATTTGGATTAGATAACACGGCGGGAAATTTGGCCACACCAGCGAGACATTCTTAAGAAAAGCTGATTTTTTACTTGCACCATGCAATGAAATCCATAAAACAATTATTAATTTGTTTTGAAACAACATATTCCACTTCTAATAAAATAAAGAATGTGTCTCGAACCTGTTTAGACCAAAAATGATATATTGTTTGTTTGCCCCATGGTTTAGCCGGGCTATCCCTGGTGGAATAAACATCAACTCTAAACCCTCTGTTTATTTGTCGTGTGATCCTGAATGCCTTTTGATACAGGCAACTTTATCTCGGGTCCTTTAGGCAGCCAGTGTGAATGGGGTATAAGTCTTTTTACCTGGCCGTATATCCACTGAATGCAACGGAATGTTTTGAAGGCAAGGCATTCCCATTCATTTCAAAATATAAAGTCGAAAAATTCCAGAAATATTCCTGTATAGTGTGTGACTCAGTTAACTATGTCAGTGGCAGTTTTGTTTCTTATTCATACAAACTCCAGCTTTTGCCATAATAGCAGTTTTGACTGGATACATTCGTTTGCGAGATAAAAACTGAAAACCAGCAATTGTTTGTTTGTGTTAACTGTGTCATCCTCTACACATGTAGTTTGATACACTGTAAAATCATACATTTTCGTGACTTTTATGCTATTTAAGGGTGGAGAAACATTTTTGCTAGAGGTAAAAAGGTTCGAAGTTTGTTGAATGGCAAAGCATGCCCCTCTCATGAATCACCTTAGATATGGGGGAAAGAAATGGCTCTGCGGCATCCTTCTTCTGTCTCATACCAATGGTGCCAAGATCTTGCAGTCCTGTCTCCGAATAGTTGGATCAACTGTGCTAAATTGTATTGTTTCAGTAATATTCCTGCATCGTTCAAGACGCTTTCTTTTGTGGCCTGTGAATATGTTGTGCTGTCAGTTCGTCATAGTCGGTAGTTGGTTCTCTTCGTATGGCATCTTTCTGTTCTAAAGTGGTATTTGACTAACAAGTGACTTGTATCTTTGTTGTACTCTGTGCAGAGATGAAGGACTGTGTCACCCCAACCATTGTGAGCCTCCAGAGGGTCCTTATAGTGTTATGTTTCCTGGCAATCCTAAGTAGCTTGCTCCAGTTCTTCATGGACGCCTTGGGAGTCATGTATAAATGGCTGAGAGTGATCCGTCGCAATGCTTTCTGCAGTGTTCTGACCGGTGAGACAACCGTCAATTTATCGTAAAAAGTGAAAGTACTGTAAACGACTTAATTTTTGTGAATTTTTGCAAATTTTACGACTTGGAAAATATTGTGAAAAATTGATCTCGCACATACAGGGCATTTCTTTTTTTAAGCTTTACAGATTTGTTTAAAGACTACCGTGAAAGCTACACTTGTGCGGTTTGTGCTGGTGAGTTATGCGATCAGTGGGACAAAGTATAGGGGGCTAATCGTAACAATCTCTTGACTAATTAAGTTAAATTTGTTAATTAACTTTTTCATTAGTGAGGATAGACATATGGTTTCAATTAGAAACTTTCTGAGCATCATCGAAATCCACTAACTCAGTATTTTTCAGAAAGACTTTGAGCACGTAAGAAGCGCAGTAGTAGTGCACTAGAGTTTCCACTTGTACAGCAGGAGCAAGGCTACCGATGCGATAACACGCCCACACAATTGTTTCGTCTCTTCTCATAGCCCCAGCCTTGTACTTTTGCACAAGGTGTACCTCTAGCGCACTACTACGCTTCCCACGCACTCAAAGTATTTCTAAAAAGTATTGATTTAGTCGTTCTGGATGACACTCGGCAAGTTTCTAATTGGAACCACATGTCTATTTTCACTAATTAAAAAGTTAATTAACATATTGTACTTAATTAGCTGACTGATCCTTACGATTAGCCCCCTATACTATGTCCCACTGGCCTTTAACTCACCTGCACAAACCACATAAGTGTAGCTTTCACAATTGTTTTTAAACAAATCTGTAAAGCTTAAAGAAAAAAGCACCCTGTATATCGCCCCATGGTAACGGATATACCGGGTGTTTTTTCGAAGACTTTCAGAAATCCTAAAAATTAGGGCGTTTGAAAAAAGAAGAAACGGTGGTTTTCTTCTTTTTCGATAACGCTCAGCAACTTTCTAATTAGAATCGTATGTTTATTTCCACTAATTAAAAAGTTAATTAACAAATTTTAATTAATTAGTTGGCTAATTACTATGTTTTTGGCAATTCCTGACGTCCGCCGTGGCTGGTAGTTTGTTCCCGAAGAAAGTTTTTTTCTTTTTTTGACGCTTTAATTTTTAGGATTTTTGAAAGTCTTCGCAGAAACACCCGGTATATATATAGCATAACACTCCAAATAGTGAAATTTCGTGCCAGCAAAATACTCCCGAAACCCACACTCCCCGAAATTTGCAAAATATTGAGCACGCGAAAATGGTCATTTATAGTATTCTTCAAAAATTTGTCATGAAAGCGAGTTGCTGTAAAATGTATATTCCAGAGTGCCCATAGACCAAAAACTAATGTGCATGAGTTTGGCACTCCTAGAATATATCCGAGTCAACTTTTCTAAAAAATGTAATCACTCTTGGCAATTAATCCGCTCCTGCAAAGTCAGCTGCAGGCATAATTTCTTCGAACATAGTGACTCTTTTTGCAGTTCCGTATTTTCTCTTTATCGTCCATAATTAAAACAAGTCCACAATTCTAATGTCTTCATCAGAGTCTCTAAAATGATTGCAATCGGTAACATTATACTAGCTCCATTTCCAGCCATTGCATGTCAGAGTCAGTTGGCTGAACTAATATTCTTAAAAGTAGAGTAAAATTCTCGTTGATAGCTTTTTTTTACAGCAGAGCTGGTAAGGGCTAGGTTCCCCAGGATTCTGTTCGTCCACACAGAAATGTTGACACAACACTCTGGTTGCCGCCGCCGTCGCAGCTGTCCAGAGTGTTGTGTTTGCTGGTTGTCTGCTTGCCGCTGTCGCTCATAGACCGTGGCAACCTTTGCAGCCTTTCCACTCTGGCTTCTCGATTTGTGGATGGCCATTACTTCATTCCCACCATAGTACAGGTTCGCTGGTCTTCCTTGTTCACCAGAATGGAAAGGCTAAAAGTTTTTTTTTGTTTTTTTTAAGTTCATGGTTAGACATGTGGCTTCCTCTTTCAGTGGTCCTGTGCCTCGGGGTTGTGGGGACGTGCTACTGTGTGGCAACACTGATGGAAGAACAGCAGGAGGCCACCAAGCCGAGTCGTGCTTCCCGGGTCCAGGTGCGCTTCAGTGTGAGCTACCACCTGGTGGCAGCTGCAGGAGCAGTTGCCGTCTTGGCTGCGGGCGCTAACTTGCTTCGGCGCTCTACACCGAGCACACTAGCGGGAGATTCGGCCATGGACAGTCTGCTGCTGGATGACGACGCTCGCGAGACGCTGGCGGTAGGCATCTCCCACTCGGAGATATGGCCCTACCGACAGGACTTGACATGCATGCACAGCCTGCCACCGTTGCCACCTTATTCGCCCTGAAGGACAGCCCGTTAGGCATATAATTAGCTCTTGTATGTCCACGTGGCAATGGCCAACGCACCCAACTTCCCATCAAGCAGATAGAGTTCATCATTGCGTTCTGTTGTCATCTGCCCGGCCACACGCTAAAGACAGCTTATGCCGATACGAATGGCCTTAAAGTTGTAAATTACTGAAGAGTGATAAACTGGGTCGCCGCTCAGAGCTCGTCGGAGTTCCCCAGGAACCCAGGTGCAAAAAATTGAACGGCTTTTCCCAGTACGGCTTTTTGCATGTTTGTTGTTGTACAAACAAGTTGTGAAAATGTGTATACTATTGAGGACTGCTTGTAGCAGTGTACCCCTATTAATTCATATTTCTGGAACTGTATAGTTTTTGTGTGTAGACTTTGTTGGAGTGTTGCATTTGTGAGCTACTACTGCACATAGGTTGGAGCCACTAGCGAACAGTAAGTTGTCAGTTGAATGAACTTGAGCTTCTTGGAAGGACTAAGAGTTGTTCACTGGAGACATTTTACCATAATAAAATGTCTCAAGAATTAAAAAAAAAAAAAAGATTTTATAGTAAATTTGAAGTGTTCACTAATATGTATATGGTTCACTCAAGTTGTATGCTAATGCAGTAGTAAACTGGAATGGGAGTCACTTATTGCACCATTGTTTTGTACAGGCCACAAGGTGCCTTTAAAGTCTTCTCCCATTTAATAATTTAAACAAGGTGCCTAGAACTTGAGTGTATCAACGGAGAACAAGTCATTTTAATGCATACCACTTTTTTTTTTTTACTAGGGGAGAATTGAACATGTGTGTACTGCATTTTAAACTGCTGTGATTTTTTTTTTCTTACAGATATGTGCATTTAACATACTTGACTCATCAGTAACAAATTTAGCTTTGTCGCTTACAAAGAATTCTAATGACTGCTGTGCTTTTGTCGCATTTTGGAAAACACTAGGAGGAATTCACATGTCATTTTGCCATATTTATGGGCACTGAGGCATTTGGCATCTGGAAAAAGATCATTTAGTGTGAAGGGAAATACTATTGAAGGGAATGCCCACAATTTTAAAGCGGTGCCAGTGCATACCTCCTATGGTTTACATAAGTTGGGATTATTTACATAGTATCACACACTAATTCAGCACACCTCTTTTTTTGTTATTGTGCTTGTAGAATAGCCATCGTGTTTTATCTGAACATGTGGTTGATCTTGCTCACCTTACTTATGCTGTGGTTCACTTTAGTGTTCCACGCAGTATGACACAATCTCTCCAAACTTAGTGAAGCCACATTATTTCCCATGTTTCTGGGAGAAGCACCACTCCTGAAGATATGTGACCATGTGACAGTGCACACAAAAGCTTCAGCACAGGGAGTAGGTCAGATGTTTTCAGCAGGCAGCAAATTGTAGAGTGCAATTTTGCAACAAACGATGGAAGCAGGTAAAGCATTTTCAGCCTTTTTTTTTTTGCATTGTCGTTATTGGTTTATTGGCAAGCAGTTTATGGCATTAAAATGAGCAGAAAATGCAATGTGCAACTTACGGTGTATGGCTGCCTATTGTCACCTGCCTGTTTGTTTCCATCTGTATTTTCAAGGTCATAGCCATCTCACTTTTTACTTGCAAGCAGAATTTGCATCTGCAGTCCATATAATATAATAACCATCTGTAGGCACATCAAATGAATACATCTGCTGGTGTCACGTGAAGAAAAGGCCATTTCCTTTGTTCTTGCATACCTCTTGGATACAGCTTGGGGACATGTGCCAGGGGAAAACTTCTTTTTTAATTATTACGATAACTGAACAAAATCTTTGCCGTTTATAGTGCTTGATCTTTTTATCAATCTGGTGTTAGTTCGATATAGCTTGCCTTTTATGTTCTATATGCAATGCACATGCAGAAAAAAAAATATTCCATGTACACGCATTGGGGCATGGAAACACACTTAAAAGAGGCTAGTAAAATAAGCCAATTCACTCCCTTTAAACCACTGAGTGCAATCAACAAAAAGAAATTGTGCAAAACCTATTGTATTGTAAAATACCTGAAAATTGCAAAAATGCAACTTTCAAAAGGTTTACGAAAGTTTCTTAATTTTTTTTCTCATATATATATATATATATATATATATAAAATATACATTCTAGCCAAACCTTGATAGTTGCATTGTATGTATGCTAAAGCATATGCATTCCAAGTTTTGTTGCGATAGGAAATGTTACGAACAAATATTCCTGTGCACAAAGTGTGAGGATGTCCCAAAATTACAAAAAGAAAAACATTTGAATATTATCATAGATATGTAGTGAGTCTTTCACGTCGGGAAAAATAATTTTTGTTAATTTTCTGTGAGAAATTGAAGCTGCAGAAGAATGCGATGGAGAAGACAGCTAGGCCTATTTCTCAAAGTAAATGTGATGGCAGCTGACGTCACAATTTCAAAAACCATGCACACAAAAATGGCTCAAATTTATGTCTTCCTGGGTAGCCAGGAGTTCTTCAAGTGCAGATTTGACCAATTTTGCAATCATAACCAGACATTATTAATTTTATACATAAAATATGAAAATTCTGACAAAAAAAAATGCAATCATTTTTTGAAAATTATTGGTTTTTCGACTTACATCTTTCTTGGATCTTTCAATGTGATTGCTGTTTTTTTTTTTCTACACCATCGGGTAAACTGCATTTGCCATGTGCATTAAGAAGACATGCTGTTGGTCAATGTCTGAAGAATGATAATGCCAAATATTGAAAGTGTGGTACATGCTCCCAAATCGCCCTCTTGCTCACCTCAATTCTTGAAAATGCTACACTGCAAGGCAGCATGCTGTCTGGATATCTGACCCCCTAAGAAAAGCATGGCAGCTTTAAGGGCGGAAGAGAGTACACGACTTGTGGGGGGGGGGGGGGGGGGGGGGGGGTGCATTACATGGGGACAGGCATGTATGTTGTATACTATTATACCTCCACAGGATTTTTGAATGCATTACATATGCAGGTCTTATTTTCTCTTTATGCTAGAAACATAAAACACATCATATTTTGTCACATTTTATGGAAATTTAGATGAATGTTGAATCAATAAATAAACCAAAGTCTTTATTCTACTGGAGTTTCATACCTCTGTATAAAATGTGAAAGAAAAAGGACTCGTATCAATTCACTATATTGAATAAACACAACTAAAGTAACAATTAAAATATTCCAAAATTCTACTGGATGTTGAGACTGCTGCAGCCACTTGTTAGCATTCACTGCAAAGAATACTAAAATTTTGATTTAAATTATGCACATCACTGGCAACAGTAAATGTGCCTATCAAAATCGAGCTGAGTTCATTAATGTTATTTGCAAGCTTTCATTCCATTGGTAAACTTAATTTAGTTTCAATTTTAACTTCACTGCTTGTGCCCTTCAACAGATGGAGGTGTAATAGAGGTTTTAAGTAAACTAATCAACATGATTCATTAACCCTTTCCTGATATCCAAGCTTCAAACTACATGATATATATGCAAGCTACTTGACAGGATGTTTCAGTCTGTCAGACTAAATGCGGTTTGATTAAGCTTTTCTTTTTATTTTTTCTTTGTCACAAGGTGTTTGTTGCACCAGCATTCACCAAGTTATATACAGGGTATTTATTTTTTAGGCATTACAGATTTGTTTAAAAAATCCCTGAAAGCCACACTAATGTGGTCTTTGCAGCTGAGTTATGCGGCCAGGGTGACATAATGTAGGGGCTAATGATCACGATAAGTCGGATTATTAAAATCTGTTGATTAACTTTTTTTAATTACTAAAAGTAAACATGGTTCCAATAAGAAATTTGCTGAGTGTCGTCGGAAACCACTATATAGTTAATTTTTTGAAAGATTTGGAGTGCGTGGGAATCGTCGATGCTAAGCGCGGGGTGGTGTTACCATTCACGGTTTCACACCGCCAGCCCTAAACCTGTTGCGCGAGTCATAGCTTTAGCGCACCCACTGCACTTTATATACGCACAGCAAATTTCTAATTGGAGCCACATATTTTTTTTTCAGTAATTGAAAAAGGTAATAAACAGATTTTAGTTTATTATCCTACTTAATGTGACGATTAGCCCCCCATATTATGTCCCCCTGGGCGTATAACTCGCCTGCATAGACCGCATAGCGAAGCTTTCACTTTTTTTTTTTGTAACAATTTTGTAAAGTTTTGGAAATTCACCCACTATTCTACTCTGGAAGAGTGTTTTACCCGTAAACACGAGGTCGCGCTGCGGCCGCTGCGGCGGAACAACATACGCAGAGTCGCAATGGTGCCGTAGCTTCTGTGTACTGCACCAGTGCCACGGCAAGAAGCGCACTCAACGGAGCTCATTAAAGGCCGACGTACACCTCGTGCTTTCCACTTTAGCCCGCTTCCTCCTTTCCTGTATCCTCTACTTTTTACCTTGTCCTAACTTGGCTCCCTTCGCAGCTTAGGAGTGGGAAGCACCAAGAGGATTATCTTCCTTGCAGCAACAGAGGTTGTACGTCGGCCTTTAACCGTCCAAACAGACCACAAATAGATATAGTGAAACTTCAGAGCATTGCGTCGTGTTCAATGTGAAGACCAAATCAAACTTTATTCTAAGTGATGGTCGAAAGTTCTGAAAATTCGCACAAGCTTACCATGATTAACTCTTTCCTGACCCACGCCCGTAGGCCATCGATCACCGGTAATCGTTAGTTTCCAAGCGCCGTCAAAAAATTAAATTTAGTGCGGAGAATTATGTTCCACAATCTCGTGGAAAGCCGAAGAACTGTAGTTTCGGTTTCAACATAGGTTTCAGCTTGATCACAAACCGATGTGCTCTAAAAATAGTCCCTGGGAACGGTGGTTGCACTTGTCTAGCTTGGCTAACTGCTTGCATCAGTCTTCGTAAGAAAGATGCCATTATTTACATAATTCAACTGTATTGTGGCATATTTCTTAGACCTTAAGAGCTCTGGGGACACTTTAAAGGGACACTGACAGGGTATTTATGCTCGCCAAAGTTTTCATTTGTAGATGACATACGAGAGCTGAACTACCCAGAAAACAATTTGCGGCTCGAAATTCGTTTTCCTTTTGGCCGAAAATCGCCGATCGAGAACTGGCCGGTTCGAGTTGCGCTCACTCTTTTCTCCGTGGTCACGTGCTGTTTTCTGTGGTATCAAACACAACCATCAAATATGTGGTATCAAATATATAAGTTGTGGGTCATCGAAGACACACTCACAATAATAAATATAGAAAAGAAATATGATTCTCATTTTTTGTGGCTTATAAAAAACAAAACAAAAATATGTCGATTGAAAAAAAAAAAAAAAAAAAGTTGCACAGCCACTTGATTTTTGATGTCCCCCATCCAGTTTCGGTTTCGAGCAGTTGCGTTTTTTGACTTTATTAAAAATATACCTACGTGTCACTGTAGCAAAAGATTGAATGGGTAGTCTTTTAATACCATAATAAATCGCCTGACAAGAAATAAAAAAAAAAGTTTTGGGGGTGGTAGTGTTTCTTTCATAGGTGTAGACTACGGAGGGGGGGGGGGGGGGGAGGGAAGGGGGGCATCGGGAATCGCGCCCCCCCCCCCCCCCCTGGTGAGATCCGAGGGGGGGGGGGGCGTGCCCCCTCTGGTGAGATCCGAGGGGTGGGGGGGGGGGGGGGCAGAGCAATTGGCAGAGCCCCCCCCCCCCCCCCCTCTTCCCCCCGGGTTATGATATGCCTTACCGAGACGTTGTTTATGTGCCATGTAACGAGCTTCTAGTAGTGGCATGTAAACAAAATAACGCCCACGTTTCCCTTACTGACAAAATACGTGGAAAATGGAATCCCAGCGTGCTTTCGTTAACTTCAATCTCCAGTTCTGGCGAGAACATAACGCGGCATCAATCACTTTTACGTCCGCTTGGTCTGCTTCCACAGCAGCCAGCCATTTTCCGATGTCCCACCAAAAAAAAAAAAAAAAGATAGGGCGCCTACTCCATCCGGAGCTGTTCCCAAAGTCCGTTTATTGGCTTAGTAGTGACTCCGACGGAGTTACCTGAACGGAGTCGCTGAGTCACAACTTAACGCGCCCAATGAAGCGATAGATGATGCAGTCGTCCGCGAAGGGCCGCATGCGTGAGAAAAGCGTAGCCGTGTGACGCGGCTACGCTTGCACGGTGATTGACATTGACACACAGCGACGGACACAAGGCGATGTGTGTACATACGCTGTAAAATGTACCCCCTAAAATAAACTAAATTGCGCAAAAAAGCCCCCCCCCTCCCCCCCCCCCCCCCCCCCCCCCCCCCCGAGAAAGTGGAAAGAGCCGCTGGTCCCCTTTATTAACAAATGGTTTTTGGTAAGCATC